TTTGCGCATTTTTTTGTAGCTAATATTTTTTATTTAATAACGCATTTACTAAAAAAAAATTAAAGAGCTTACCGATACGTGGAGATACACACTACCAATTCCCACGATTATCAGTCACTTATTTGAAACGATGCGATGCACAGAAAAAGAAAAAAACCAACATCCGTAAATCACATAAAGTTACAGTTAAATGTATTAGTAATCACAACAACACGCGATGATACATGCAGTGCAGGCGGAGTATGACGTTGCCAGTTGTGTGAAGGATTTTGTTTGTTTGTTTTTCTTCGGAAAATTGTATTTGATAAGCAAGAAAATTAGGCATATGAATTGAAATTATTAAATTGCAAAACTAACTTTAATTGATGACTAAAAAGAAATAAGTTCAGCATTTTTTTTCTCCGAAACGGTTGATTTTCGGACATAGGTTATAATTAGCTTGTTTGCTTAGAATAATGCAAGGAATCACCTCTTAAAGTTATTTCCCTAACACCCTGTATATTTTACCTAAAATGGAATAAATATTAGCAAATACTTATACACTGAAAACCAAATATCATGACGCCGTAATAGCGTGCAATACGTATGTTAGAAAGAGATAGAAACATCTCGTTGCCTAACAACCAAGTGACGAGGCCACGGACGTCATCGGCGCACTCTTTCTAACATATACTAAGTGACATATAAATCCGAACACCCAGTTTAAATGGTTTTATTTTAATAAAAGTTGGTGAATGTATTTATCTTACTGTAAATAACAAGTGAGAAAATTTTCAGCCTTATCAGTTGGACATTCCAGTTTTTATACTGCTTTTTTTAATTCACTAACGCTCTAAAAATGAATATTTCAGCCGCAGTAAAGAATCAACGTTGGCGGATTTTGGTTCTTGACATCCTTTATGATCGGTTACGATGCCTAGAGTACGGAGACCTGTACGATTTCGTCAACTTAGTGAGTTTGATAGGGGCCGTATAGTGGGACTTCGGGAAGCTGGACTTTCTTTTCGGGCAATTGCAGTTAGAGTGCAAAGAAGTGTAGACACTGTGGTTAGGTGTTGTCAGGCATGGCTTCGAGAAGGCCGTACGCAAAGAGCAAGGGGCACTGGACGCCGCCGTAGAACAACAGACCGTGAAGATCGTCGCCTAAGATTATTGGCCTTAAGGGACCGTTTCTCCACTACCAGGTCCATTGCAAATGAATGGTTTGCAGAACAGGGAAGACATGTTGGCATGCGAAGTGTTTACCGACGAATGAGAAGTTTTGGCTTGTTTTCATACCGGCCACACTGGGTCCTCCCTTTAACTTGAGAACACCGACGTAATCGCCTTGAGTGGTGCAGACAACGGTCACTCTGGGATCAGGAATGGAACAGTATTGTCTTTAGTGACGAGTCTCGATTTTGTTTAGGCATGCACGATGGTCTTGCCAGGGTTAGAAGGCGACGTGGTGAAAGGAGGAATTCACAGTTTTTTGTTGAAAGACATGTTCATCACACTGTTGGAGTTATGGTTTGGGGTGCTATAGCTTATGGTTCCAGGTCACCTTTAATCTGCATCAGAGGTAACACGAACGCGCAGCGTTATATCCACGAAGTTCTAGAACCCCATCTTTTACCCTATCTTGACACCCTGGCAGATCCAACTTTCCAACAAGATAATGCCCGACCACATGTTGCAAGAGTCACAATAGACTTCTTTCAACATAATGATGTCACATTGTTACCATGGCCACCAAGATCTCCCGACTTGTCCCCAATTGAGCACGTGTGGGATATGATGGGTAGGAGATTGCTCAATTTGCAACGTCCTCCTCAGACTCTAGAAGCACTTCGAGAGGAGTTGGTGGTTGCCTGGAATGAGATACCACAGGAGGACATTGACCACCTGATCAGAAGCATGCCTAGGCGCGTTGGAGAATGCGTAGCACATCAGGGTGCATCCACACATTATTAAATGTCAAAGGGCTTTAAAGCGTGCAATCATTTTGAAATTTTTATCATTTACTTATTATGCTTCATTAAGTACTGATACAAAATTTTATTAAAGTAAAACCATTTAAACTGGGTGTTCGGATTTATATGTCACTTAGTATACATTCCACGCTTCTCTCTCGTGCATATTACGACGTCAGCTAAAATTGAACTTCACCGTATATCAATTCAGAGTAGGAGGATTTAATGAAAATAATAGATTATTTACTTGAAAATTTGCGATTTGCTGTGAACGCGTGTTACAGCTTCAACGGCGACGACCGAAGTTAACAACAAGAACCTTTTTAAAAAAATAACGATGAGAGCGACTTGCCATCGCGTTTGTGTTTTTGAGTTCGATGGGTGTTAATGTGATTAGAAGGAATTTTTCAGCACATGCTGATAAAACTGATAACTAGGACTTTTTAATAAATGAATAAACGGAACTTGTTACACTTAGATAATTTGGGACACTGACATGATGGCGAAAAAATAACGGTGTGACATGGGACCGTATATAGATAAGAAACATAAAGATCTGGCATAAAATTGCACACATTCAAAGAAAGAAGAATCTTTAGCTATGGGGACACACCAATTACTTAGCGTTGTTTTAGACGAAAGGGGAAACCATAAATTAATTATGACACAACAGTAAATGTGATATACACAACTGACCAGAGTAATTTATTAGACTACTACTAAGCATTTAGGCAGAGACGTACTTATAGTAGTTAAAGGAATAATTATCATGTGCAGACTAACCGTAAATAAATAGATCGTTTTATGCTTAGTTGGCAATCAAATGTAAGTAATGTTAGATGCTATGCTATTTTGTAATGATAATAACAATACATTGCTTTGATTGCTCATGAAAGTTCAGAAAATTTTGATGCAGTGAGCCCGCGGCAAGGATCGCTTCATTGACAACCATTAGTTCCGCGATTTTCCACCTAAACAGAAAAATAAAAGTAATATATTAGTAATAATAACAATTCCTGTATAATAGAGAAAAGTTAACACAGATAGATATAGACATACAATGTTTTAGAACTACATATTATACAGGGTGTCCCAGAAGTCGACGTCAAGCCGAAACCGGGTGATAGGCAAAGTCATAACAGCTATCAGAAAAATATTTAAAAAAATTTTATGTATATGTTTTGAAAATTTTAGGTCTTTGAAAAAAATATAGAAATTTCACACCCTACGGCAGTCTGTCAACTCCTGTTACTACAAATATTAACTTTTTTTGGATTTTATTTTCACAATGTAATGATGAATAATGCATCTTCAAACGGATGTCTCAACCTTACTGCCAACTTTTCTCGTTCAGGAAAAATTGCCACTTATTTCCCAACCAAAATTTTCATCAGTCTTTCTTCAAATAACAATTGTGCATAAGTTAACGAGTTATCTTCTAAGTGTTATACCATTTTGGAATCCTTATTAAATGCGCCAACTTTTAAGGTTACTTGCCAAACCCTCGTAGTACATTTTTTCCAGTACAGCCAGTTAAAGTTGAGCAAAGTTTTACTTTGGAATACTTGGTTGGGAAATAAGTGGCAATTTTTCCTGAACGAGAAAAGTTGGCAGTAAGGTTGAAACACCAGTTTGAAGATGCATTATTCATCATTACATTGTTAAAATAAAATCCAAAAAAAGTTAATATTTGTAGTAACACGAGTTGACAGACTGCCGTAGGGTGTGAAATTTCTATATCTTTTTCAAAGACCTATAATTTTCAAAACACATACATAATATTTTTTTAAATATTTTTCTGATAGCTGTTATGACTTTGCCTATCACCCGGTTTCGGCTTGACGTCGACTTCTGGGACGTATACTAAGTGACAAAAAAAGTAAACACCTACGTATGTTTATCGGATTGTAATAATTTTTGGCAGATATCTTCAGTGTCCCCTAGTAGTAAAATGATTGAATCGTCAACTGACTGCAGAAGCTGGTTCAATAATGTATTGAGGATCCACGATTTCTTATACACTCATTGGCACGTCTGGATATCATGCTGATAAGGTGCTTAGCCTCCCAAATTATGAGGTGCACTCCAATCTGAGAAAGAACGGGGAAGTTGTGGTTTTTGTCCGCAGCGGTCTTTCCATCTCCAGAGACGTCTTTGGAATCAGACCGAAAGGACATTCTCTGGCTTCACCTCAACTCCAAAAGATAACCCAAATTTATTTGCTGCCTTTATCCATCTTCCTCGGACCATAACTGGGATGAACTACTTGATAACCTCGCTGTCAAGATCGACTTCCTGGACATTAATCACTCCGCTTCAGAGGTGGTTCTCCTCGGCGATTTCAATGCACAGCAGGAGCTTTGGTTGGGCTCATCAAGAGTGATGCAGTAGGTCGTGTAGTTGAAGCGTTCGCTATTAGCCGAGGGCTGACCCAGCAAATGACGAGCCCTACTTCTTCCAACGCGTTTAGTCACATGCCTGCTTCCTTTTTTTTATTCTCCAACTACCACGAAGGTCTAAGGCCTAAACACCCATTGGGTACCGTGGGGCTATAGGGGGATACAGGGGAAAGGGGGAACGCCACACGGACTCTGGCGAGGGAACACGTGTGCATACAACATACACACATTCTGGCTCCGCCTACGAGATCCGCCGGGTGGTACCTCCACGTTCGACAGTCAGAGACCGTCTACCACCTACGGACAATCACAACATCCACAGCCAAGAGAAAAATTTCTCCTGGGACGGGACTCGAACCCGCACACCGCACGGCGACTGATCAGGAGATCGAAGAGTCTACCACTGCGGCCACCGCTGCTGCCTATTCTGACCACGCATACTGTCCATTTCGATCAACCCAATCCACAGCTTGGCTGATGACAGAACTCTACATGCAGGAGTTCAGTGACAAGCCGATCTCTGCCGGTGAGCCGGAAAAAAGAAGACTAGCGGCGACTTCCTCTGCTCGGACGAGAGACCTGGATATTATCATTGCTTGGGGACGCAAGAATTTTGTACAGTTATTGCTAACAAAACACACTGTACCAAAGACTACTACAGCTACTACATTTCCCTGAATCCCTAAATACGCCTCTGCATAATGTGAAATGTGACCAATGACATCCTCATTAACAAAGATATTAAAAAACCGATGTTGACATCAAAGATTTCTGTTTCATGTATAAAACAAATGAGTATAACGAACGCAGTTAGTAAAGGCACAACAAACATAAATGAAAATGTGTGATAAAGTCTGCTAGCATTATGGTCGCGGCTATATGTATGTGAAGTTATGACTCTATGAATTTATTGTAGTTTAGTTTTTGGTCTCAGTTATGCCGTTGTAAATTCATTTTAACTCGCAAAAATGATGTCAATCATCTAGATATTGATGAAAAATAGATTTCTCAGTAAGAACTATGAGATGGCAGCGTCAATTTTGATCGATCGGAAGATAACAATCGTTATCAAGAAGTAAACAAACATATATATGTGGTTATTTAAAAGATCCATCATCATCACTGCTCGATCACTAATTTTGCGGCTGGGTACCTTCAGGAGTAACCAGTAGGTAAGTGGTTTTATCTTTGCTTTAGTCTCCTGATCAACAAAATTGATAAAATAATTTATAATTTTCTTCTATGCTCCTTATTGACCTTTTTATTTCTGTCAAGCGATTTTTGGAAAAAGTCTTTTTTCTTTTTTGTCACCTTTGTTAGTGGTCGGGAATTTATAAGTGCTACGTCAAACAAATTTCAACCTTGGGGGTAATCTTTTACTATACTCAACGTATCAATCCATTCGACAGATTTTTTTAAATTCTCAGAAAGAATAAGTGATGTAAGTTGTTCTGAATTCTATATAGTTACTTCCAACGTATTAAAATCACGAAAAATAATTTAAATGAGAATGTTTTTCAACGTTACATTGGGATTTTGATTAAACTTTGAAACAAGATTACCACTACGCTAAGGCCAAAGAAACGAAAAAACTAAAATCTACTCAATCTTCGTTGTTTGATGTTTTACAGGCTCCTGCCCATTTTCAGAAAATCTTTTGTAGGGGTTGAAAATCAGGGTTGAAGGGTTGCTGATGTGGGGGATTGCAGGGCATGTATGAATTTTTAAGAGTTAATATATTTATATGCTTATAGTCCTTGTAATTATACGACCTCCCTGTAGTTCGTTCTAATTTTTTTTATTCACCATTGTGGTCAAAATGTTTTTAGACGGATCATTAACTTGAAAGTACTAACTTTCATTATGGTTTCATTATTTCAGAGCGTAATAAAAACGAATTACAGTTGTTTAATATTACGAGAGGTCTATCGTTTAAAATATTTGCATTTAGTCAAAAAATGAAATTAAGACGCCCCATTCCTTCAGCGTTTCAAGAAACAACTATTAAAACATAACGAGCTTTTTTATGGCCAGAAGATTAAGAACTATTCTTAAAAATACTTTATATTAACTAAAATATATTTTAATTATCATAATAAACACGCAATCAACAACATAAACGTGATCCTCGCTAGAAATCCAACGTCCGACTGACCAAGTTTGACATTTAATTTCGTAGCCAACGTTTGAATTTTCGATTATTTCAAATAACATGCTGTAATACATGCTTTTAGATATTCGAGGTTTTTTTGAAAGTTTTTTGAGGAACAGATAGCAAGAGTAAAAAAGTTTTAGACCCAACTTTTACATAAAATGAAGTAATAAATGTTTAAGTGCGCTAACGTGTTAAAAAAATTAGTCACATTTTCAGGGTGCATCGTAGCTTTTCAATCCTTTCGAATGATCCATTTGAATCTTAATTACTGCCGGTTAGTGCTCTGTGATACACTCAAAACTTGTACAATGGGTGAAAATTATAAGAAAATAAAAAGGTATGGTGAAACCTTAACTCAAAATGCAAATTTTATTGACGGTAATAATAATAATAATAAATGAGCAGATGAATCATAGCAGATGTTCAAAATGTTGTCCGTTATTTTTTTAAGAAAAGTCTGATTCTTTAATTTAGATTATTTACTGCTGGATTTATTAGTCTTTTTCTGTCTCCCAAACTGTGTTGACGCGTTAAATTCGAGGTCTGTAATTATATACGAAACAAATGAAATCTGATAATTCCAAGGCCTACCAAGAAACTTCTGTTTTTCTCGAATGACTAGGTTTTGGTAATGCCAGTGTGAAATCAGAATTGAAAACTCTATTCATCTGCGCAAAGATCCATAAGCAAAAAATAAAGTTGATGCTCGAGAACAAGAAAAGTGGCAATGTAAATGTGTAACTTATTTTGAAATCCCACTACAAATAAATTCAGGAAAAACTTGAAACGTATCCGATTCGATCTCCCCGGAAGTACTTTGAATTTCGAAACTTTCTAAGCGGTACTTTGTGGAAAACCTAAATAGTCAACTTTGCCCCATTAAAGCAAATTCGTATATCTTACAGTTTCCGAGATCCCAATGGTGAGGGTCGAATTTGAAACACCCTGTATAGGCTACTTGCGTTAAATTACAATATTTTGGGTTCCCTCACATGCCCCTGCGTTGTATCGGTTCTTAGTCAAAACACCCTATATAATGTGATAATTCCAGCAAAACGCTGGCTCCTTAGGCCCGTATCGTCAGTCGTCCCTAGAATTGTAGGGCGCGTTTATGGCCTCCTTGATTGTCATACTCCTTTCTCTCCTTCAAAAAATTCTAGATTACACTTGTCCCGTGTCAGCGTCAGCGCTCTCCTATTACGAAGATATGTTTTCTTTTTAAATTGTAGGAAATTTGAGGCTGATAAAACATGATATAACTCAAAAGCAAGCACAATTTGATGCAAATAGATGTTTGTGACATAACCTCAAAATAGAGCGCTGACACGGAGAAGTAGAAAACTATGACAATCAAGGAGGCCATAAAGGCGCCCTACAATTGTAGGGACGACTGACGATACGGGCCTAAGTCCTAACGATTCCTTTACTTTCCCGAAAATTAAAAACAGACTGCGTGGTCAAAGGTTCGAGTCACCAGAAAAAGCAGTTGACGCATTCAAAGATGCCGTTTTGGATCTGCCAGTAAACGAGTGGAATAAGTGCTTCGAAAATTGGTTCGAGCGCATGCAGATGTGTATTAATCTTCGTGGAGAATACTTCGAAAAACAATAAAGTCATTTAAAACTACCTACCGTGTTGTTTTATTTTAAGCCGGATCTTAGGCCTGTATCGTCAGCCGTCCCTACAATTGTAGGGCGCCTTTATGGCCTCCTTGATTGTCATAGTTTTCTACTTCTCCGTGTCAGCGCTCTATTTTGAGGTTATGTCACAAACATCTATTTGCATCAAATTGTGCTTGCTTTTGAGTTATATCATGTTTCATCAGCCTCAAATTTCCTACAATTTAAAAAGAAAACATATCTTCGTAATAGGAGAGCGCTGACGCTGACACGGGACAAGTGTAATCTAGAATTTTTTGAAGGAGAGAAAGGCGTATGACAATCAAGAAGGCCATAAACGCGCCCTACAATTGTAGGGACGGCTGACGATACGGGCCTAAGATCCGGCTTTTCATCCTTATACGGAGTCGGTAATATGTAGAGATGAAATTATGACAAAAAAATCAAGTAGTGAAGATCTATCAAGGGTATAGTGAAAAATTTTTGCTGTAAAATATCTTATCAAAATAAGTAGAAGCACTCTTTCAATAATGGCTTAATACAGTATGAAATATGAACTACTTTTCTAAAGATGACTCAGTTCTGTTTGTTTTCTCGCCATTTACATAGACAAGGTATCTACAAGTACTTATGACAAACACTCAATATTGATGATAAAAAACAATTACAATGTATAAGATCGTTCTATACTTGCAAAAACACGTCAGCACTAAATGTAGGTGAAATATTTTATCAATAAAAAATCCGCAACAGGTACTTCATAATTTTATGTGTACACGTGTCTCAAGATGAGCAATTTGTGGAATGTACTAGCAAGTTACTATAATTATGGCATGATTAAGTAACTTGTTTGTTTCAAACCCTGCTGCACGGCTATTATGTAAAAAACCTAAAGAACTTCAACAAAATTGACAAAGTGTCATCTTGCAGACTAGGTAGTTTTTAGTGTGCAAATAGTTCATTCCATATTTGCTCGCTATGATCGCTGTTCGCTGACATTTAAGCGAACATTTCTCACAGTATTTAAATCGATGTTCCGTTGACGAAGCTCTGGTTCCAAAAATGTGTCTAACATTTCCACATAACATTGCGAATTGACCGTGACTTCCTCAAAAACATAGGGGCCAGTTATACCGAATCGCGACACTCCGCACCACACAGGTGTGTGGAGTTTTCTGGGATTTTCCGAACACCAGTAGCGAAAATCCTGCTCATTTACGTAGCTTAATAACTCGAAATGCGCCTCATCAGACATAATTAAGCCACCTAAAGCGTTTTCATCCAGTTCCAGAAGTTCATTGCAAGAATTCAAACGGTCTAAAAAGTCTTCAGCTGTCAGTCCTTGAACAATTGCTACGGGTATCACATATCTTGAAAAGTGACATTATGCCGATTTTTTTTGACATTATGCTGTTTTTTTTTGACATTATGTAGGTTTTTCTACAAGATGTTAACTTAGCACTTTGTTGTACGTGTTGCCTAAATGTCATGAGGCTTGTTATCAATCTTTGGCTCTGATGTGATGTAAAATCTGCTTCTGAGATGGCGTTACTGGAGGTCTAAGCTGTAAGTTGTACGTATTGATGATAATTACATTAGGTTCATGTCTCAAATACACTTAATTGAGATTCAAAGCTAGAAATTAGTTGCGGATCCACTTTTTCTTATCCATTCTGGAAATTACATATACAAATTTGCTGGATTTCAAAAATGAGACAGATAAGAAATAATTATATTCACTGTACACAGTCGAATTACAAGCCATATACATGCTAACAGTAATTAAACACAACGCGGGCGCGGTGATGATTTCCCGTAATTCTCCTCAGTTTTTCGTAATTTGTAACTTTGAACATAACCTCTCTTCAGAAAGCACAACATAAAAATAACCCGTCGGGCACAGCCAATAGATATACTTCATTGGCAGCATATTCAGTAATGATTTTCTCACACAGCAAATATCACTGATTTTATACACATGCAGACCAATACACATAATCATCCAGATGCGATCTTGCTATTCAACCAACTTTCTTCTCAGAGATAGAAACTACAGACAAGGACCATTTGGCATCACAAAACATATGCAACCAATAATGCGTGTAGTTTAGTTGAGTGATTCCTCCTTAGATGGACGTTCACAACGATCCTAGAGAGAAACGTGGAATGACTTTTTGCGCCCTAAAAACCTCCTAGTTTGCAAGATGACATCTTATAGGCTTTTTTTTGGTATGTTTTATAGGTTTTTTACATGATACCCACGTACACGTGACGCAATTTTTTTCTGTGTAAATGAAATAATCTTGTATTGCAGGCAAATATGTTGGTACGACACGTCCTCTCCATTGCAGTGATCATAGCATCAACACTCGCTTTCAAAAAATCCTACAGACTTCCAACAGATGTCAAGCCCAAGCTTTATACTCTGGACCTTACCGTTGATCCGGATGCGGATACCTTCAATGGAGTCGAACATATAACTCTCTTAGTTAACAAAGCGACAGCTTCTGTTAGTATGCATGCTTCACCTAAGTTCATCGATATCCAAAGTATCAAATTGATAAGGGCCGGTAAACAGACATACACGTGTGTTCATGTCACCGATGAGACCACGGAAATATTAAGAATTGCATGTCCTGTAGATGCTGTCATCAGTAATGATGTGCTGGAAATAACTTATCAGGTAAGTGTTGTATTTAAGCCGCTGCATATAGTAGACAAGCGTCTAGCAAGCATTATATTCTGTAAGAAAGGGTAGTCAGTCTGAGCCGAGCATTCCAAGTGAACATTCGTTAGACCTAAATCACAAACTTTGTAATGTAACGCTTGATGTGAGCATTACAATACAGGGCTCGGATTTAGTCAGTCGCCGCCTTTCCAAACGCAGTGCCGACAACGCGGTTGGGTACAATGCAATGGAAGCTCTGCTTGAGGATTAGGGAATGTAGGGGATGCATAAGGGCCCGTTTAGGTGGCCTATGTACCGGTTTCTTATGGAGGCCGGTATGCCTATAATTTAGTTATTCATTCAGTCTGACAGTTAAAACGCATTCTCCACAGGAGATACCCAACTAGAAGGAACAAGAAATAGTCTAGATCAATGGTCGCCAACCCGTGGATCGCGAGCTACTGGTAGATCGCAAAGGCAATTCTAGTGGCTCACAACATATTTTAAAAAGGTGTAAAAGTCATAGAAGCTTCCGTAAATTTTGTAAATTCTCATAATAAACACAAGCAGCGACAACACTGCGGTGAGCGATCTGTTCGAGAACGATCTCGATTACTTTGAACGGAATAAATACGCAAGGTGCGGTGACAGTGCGTTCAGTTTAAAACTGAACGGCAAGTACAGCGGTTGGGTTAGGGCTGGGAAAGACGGGGAAATGATGAAACAGGCGTTTTTAGAAGCTGCAGACTCGTTATTTGCCAACTTTTGAAATAAAGACGAGATAGTGTCTGCTATAAAATCTATGTAACTTTCTGCTAATACAGTGATGAGACGAGTAGAAGTAATGAGCAATGATAGAGTTTTGCAGTTAAGAATTGACTTCGATAACTGTGCTTATTTTTCACTGCAGCTGGATGTCGTTGATACCTCTCAGATGGCCGTGTTCGTCAGAATGATTTTTAGTGATTTTACGATTAAAGAAGATCTTTTGAAGTTTATTCCAGTAAAAGGGCAGACTACTGGGCAGCACTTGTTTTCTTCTTGTAACAACATTATTTCTTCTGAGAAAATTCCAATATCGAAAATGGTAGGCTTGACAACTATTTTCGCTCCAGCTATGGTGGGTCGTGATAAGGGCCTCGTGGGGTTATATCGTGAAGATGAAACTTTTCAAAAAATTCTCTATTACCACTGCATTATCCATCAAGCAAGCATTATGTGGATATTTTCCAAAACTAAGCAACGTTATGAAATTGGTAATAAAAATTGTGAAGAATGTCAATACGAGGGAACTACTTCTTACGACTAGGTAGCTCACCGTTTATTCCAAAATTATCAAAGTAGCTCAACACACTGAAAAGGTTGGCGACCACTGGTCTAGATGCAACACGGATTGTCTCCCAAGTGTTATATTTTCCCCAACGTTCCTTGAATATCAACACCAGGTCTGAATTCGATGAAACAGTAGGTATCCAATGGAATTGACAAAAAATATTTGCAGGGTAAACTATCATCAGAAGACATGGATGGTTTCTACAGGAGCTCTTATACGGAAAACGGCAAGCAAAAAAACCTGGCAGCCACTCAGTTCGAGCCAGTGTACGCTAGAAGGGCATTCCCATGCTTCGACGAACCAACTTTCAAGGCTGAGTTCCAAGTCAGCATTACGCGCCCTAAGAATTATACGGTATTGTTCAATACGCCAGAAGCACAGTCGTTAGCAGTTGCTAATGGGTACGTTACAAAAATAATTTTTAGATAATAGGCCAACGGCTATGAAGTTAGGGTTGCCATCACCTAAATTACCAATGCTGGAGAATATATTTAAAAATATGGGATATTTGGGCGAAATTGAGATTTTTCCCCGCTCACTTCAGACTATTTTTATAATGAAAATAAAAACAACGTTATTATATTACAAAAAATTGAAAAATCGACTTAAGCGTACAGCATAACAAATGAAATACCAAAGTCATTAGTAGGCAATAAAATTATAATTTTCCAGTGTAATGATTATAATGCATAATACTTCTGTAAAGTAGTGTAAGTAAATTAATAAGCATCTAATATAAAACTAGAAACTAAAAATAACCCACGTAACAGTTTTGTAATACCTAATGCTAAATACAAACTATCTAATTTTTTCTACGGAGGTTCTTCTGAATCATTGTCTGATAAATCAGAATCAGTTGTACATAAAGCGGAAGTAGATATACGTGATGATGAGCTAGTGCTAGGCTGTTCCGTGTTTAAATCTATTTGCTTTTCGCCAGGTGTTAAAAATCGCTTCTTGATAATTACCAATCTAAAATTAAAAAAAAAACAATAAAAAGGCATAGGTAAATCTGTTATCTACACATATTAATTAATTACTTACCTTTTATCTTGCAAATTTTAAAATGCACAAACGAACTGTATCAGTTTGATAGGATTAAAATATGAAGAACACACTTTGGAAAATATAAATTATAAAAAAAGCGCTAAAGTAATTATAGAATATTATCAGATAATTGAGAACGTGTCCACGATGAAACGAAATGACGAAAACCAAAACAAGAACAAGGACAATAGTGAATCCTACAACAGACTAGATCGATACGTATCTATACAAGACGCGAAGTCGCGGTACCGGTCCGGAAATTTAGTAATTGTTGGAGTTTTTGGTTGCTGATTGTTAAAAATTTTCAAAATCGGTAACATTTTAAGAATCACCAGAAATTGCCATTTTTCAAAAAGCTTTTCACCAATCACCAGATCTGGTGAAATTATACCAGGTCTGGCAACACTGGACTGACCATTTCGAATGCTCAGATGTTAATGATTCATTACAGATTCACTTCGTCACCGGGTTGCAGCGTTGCCGAACCTACCTATTTTCGGTATTTCTACCGAAATGAGAACTCACTTATCGGAATACCGATGTCTTCATTTTCCACGGATTTTTTAAAATAATTCAGATATTTCCTTATTTTATACTGAAAAATGTGTCGTAGCCTATATAATTCTATGGCCCACAATGCGTATGCTTAGGCTTAGGTAGTCGAACACACGAGGGACGTAGATCTGGGTTGCCTATAAACTTGTATGCACACAACCAAAGGTCGCCTGTTTTTAATAATTAAATATTAAATCATAATATCAGATGATGAGGTTTCAAGTTCAGGGGTAAAATAGAAAAATATACACATCTTATAAACAAAAATGGAAAAAGAATTTTCGAGGATGGTTGCAAAGAAGAAGAAGAAGAGTATGCATATTGTAAAAATTTTAATAAATGATAAAAACCTGTGTTGTGTGGTTGTGTGTGCACGCGCAATTAAAAAAAATATTTTTCTCATAGACGTGACGCAAAGGCCCTTGATCCACTGCTGATCCTGCGACGGCAATGATGTTTTTCTTTTATCGATTTTGTTCTTGAATTTACCGAATTCCAATGACACTACCGATTTCGTCTTTTTCGGTTCGGCAACACTGACGGATCAGTATCCAGGCCATGCGAAATAAAATCTTTGCACCAGATAGTCTTTCTGTGCACTCGCACTGCACTGGCGTCGCTTGGCTCGTTAAACAGGGAGGTGCGAATATTCTTGTACAGGATGATGCGGGTCGTTGTACCGGGGTGATGTGAGTCGTTGCACTGGGGTGTACATCAAAACATTTGTTTGATCATACGTATTGCATTTCACAAGGTTCCTGTGACACAAAAAGTGTCCAGGAAATCCCCTTTAAACGTAGTACAAATCCGGATAGTCCCGGATGGATGGCAGCCCTACATACGATGCTACTCTCTTGAATTTTGGAACCTGACTGTTTTTTATGTTCAAATTTCCAACATTGCATTTAGTTTTACTTTCAGAGACAACATATTTGTAAAAACCCAATTCGAGAAAACTCCAGTTATGTCCACATACCTGGTAGCCTTCGTGGTGTCCGACTTCGTGAAAGCTCAGAATTCAGATTCTACCAATAAGCCGTACCAATGGAACGTTTTCGCGAGATCCACTGCCAAGGAGTCTATGGGCACAGCCCTCAAGTACTCACCTCAGTTGATCGACTTCATGGGCAAATGGACGGAGTTGGATTACGTCAAGCTGGGTAACAAGCAGGTTCACCAGGTGGCTATCCCTGACTTTGCTGCTGGAGCTATGGAAAACTGGGGACTCATCACGTACAGGTACTTACTGTCTAAATGACCCTGTCCGTAAAGCGAATTCCACACGCTCGATATCACAGAATGTAACAATAACTCAGGATGGTGGAAATCAAAGATAATTCTGAAATAAATTAAAACACTGAGTCGCATCAAAATTGAAATAAATAATTCTAATCAAAATGAAAACAAAATATTGAATTAAATGTTCCAACAGCCCTCCTTCTGGGGTTTGACGTTAACCAAACGTATTATAGAAGCCTGTGTGAACATTTTATGGTATAACATATTGGCAACGCGGCAAAGTGGTGACGATTCTATTCAATATTTCAATAGAAATCACTGTTATTCAGATAGTTTTGACCGCTTCCGTCAAATTGCATTTCAATAGGCTCTTCCCTTATTCGTCGAAGCCTCCGTCAAATTTAAATGTTGGTGAAATCCAAGCCTTTGCAAACATTTTCTGGTATAACATATCGGCAACGTGGTGATGTCCTTCGCTCTTCAGCCGGCTTCTATCTCTTTCTAACATGTGTTGCTACACACATCTCGTACACATTGAACTCAAGACAAAATTGGTTTTCTCTGTATATGTTATGGATAAGAAAGATAAAATATGGGACGATAATACCCAATTTGCCTTAATGGTTCGCTCAACAGGTATGCAGCTATAATGATTACATGTAAACACTCAGTATGTAGAGCTAAACAAATTCGAGATTGCCATGCATTAACAAACGTCCAAACATGCTATTAAATTTAATAGCTAGGAAATCGAACCATTACTTATCGCATTCCCATTGACTGGGAGATAGATTCGCCCGTTATTTGTAAATTCATAAAAAATAGCAAAATACATTAATGTTCTCCTGTTTTCTCTGTAGGAAAGCATCATGTTGGAATCAAAAAGTGTCCTTGTTTATAATACAATCGCTTTTTTAAGATTCTATTCAATATTTCGGTAGAAATCGCCAGGTAAATGAACATTTTCAAAAACGAAATATTATGTTTTTTCGATGTACATGACAGAAAATAATGTTCATCGGTCTCTATCTGCTTGTCTGGCTGCCAAACATTGATTCATCTATAAATCTGAAAGTACAGCTAGGGTTTTGATGACATTTTGGAGCAAGGCTATTACTGTACAAGGATGAAGACTGTGTGAAAATTGGAGAAGTGGCGGCGAAGCTACGGTGGAAAATAAAATCGCTGAAACTTTGTTTTTGACGTTTCAGAGAATCCTGCCCATTTCCAGAAATTTTTTTTTCTGAAGGGATGAAAAAAATGGGAGTTGTAGGAGGTGGGAGGTTGTTAATTAAGGTTGGAAGATGTCTGCAATTAAGAAGCTTCTGACCATAGTAATGCTAAGAATCATACATTTACCATTGGAACTCAAACTATAGATATACATTTCATAGTTTGAGATGTAAAGGTTCACGATATATCGAACTTGAGGGAACAAACCCAGTCAAGTTTTGATATCGTTCGAGTATTTTGAACAGACTTGACTTATCCCCTTTTGATACATTGAAAATTGAAAAGTATCAGAAATCATAACGAAAACTAGTCGGTGTACTTTACGCCATTATCTTATATGGTCTTTCTACTTGAATTTGATCTACCAAGAGGTATTACTCACATTTCAGCTCTTTCGGTAAGATTAATTATTGATAAGTTTTAATCACCGTTCTTCTTAATCTTCAGCGCATCTGCTACTCTCGCCAATACGCATGAAGTGGGTAACAGGGGTCCGCTGTTTTCATTCTCTTCCTGGAAATACTGTAATAAATTTAGCAGGAGCTATCGGCCTTCTCCATTGATCGTATTTCCGGGCATTGTACAATTTTATATAGTCAGAATCACGAAAGATGACTATTACGTCATACCATAAATTGTAATGATACAATCAATGGACGTACGTCGATGATAAAATCGCGATGCCAGGAATAATGACAACAAATTTATATTAATACTCTTATTAGTGCGGAGTTTTTGTTTTGAAAAACCAGTTATGATTATAATACCTTAAGACAGAAACACCAAAGACCAAAGTATTATTCGAAGACAACCTAACCTGCTTTAACATAACCTAACTATTCATCTTTCAAATAGATCGATCATGCAACATGAAAACATCGTCTATCTTTGTCGGATACATGCATATTAGCTATACAGTTTGTTTAGACAATGAAATTCTGTTTGTCTCTGTCTAGCATATCTGAAACTTTATCGACAATATTCACAAATCGCTAACGTTTGTCTTTACTACAGACTAAAATGATGACGTAATCGTCATCTTTCGTGATTTCGACTATATTGAAGATTGATAACAGGACAATCGAATTGCTCGCCGATGTCATTGACCTTACCGAACAAACGTTCACGCACAGGAGTAGGTTGCATGTGTATGTATGACGGAGATGGAGATATACAGGGTGTCCCTGAAGTCAACGTCAAGCCGAAACCGGGTGATAGGCAAAGTCATAACAGCTATCAGAAAAATATTTAAAAAAATTTTATGTATGTGTTTTGAAAATTATAGGTCTTTGAAAAAAATATAGAAATTTCACACCCTACGGCAATCTGTCAACTCCCGTTACTACAAATATTAACTTTTTTTGGATTTTATTTTTACAATGTAATGATGAATAATGCATCTTCAAACTGGTGTCTCAACCTTACTGCCAACTTTTCTCGTTCAGGAAAAATTGCCATTTATTCCCCAACCGAGTATTCCAAAGTAAAACTTTGCTCAACTTTAACTGGCTGTACTGGAAAAAAATGTACTACGAGAGTTTGGCAAGTAACCTTAAAAGTTGCCGCATTTAATAAGGATTCCAAAATGGTATAACTCTTAGAAGATTACTCGTTAACTTATGCACAATTTTTATTTGAAGAAAAACTGATGAAAATTTTTCAAAATTTCCTAATTAAACAGCGATTATGAAAACGGACAAGGACCCTTAAGGATAACTGTTTGCACAACAGTGGGCGTCAAAATGCTGCTGATGTTGATTTACCTTTACAGCAAATGCTCAAACTGTTTTCCTTCAGCCGCAATACACGCTCGACATCTTAAAAAAGATCGGGTTATTAAACGAGCGAATCCACGGTTATTAATAAACTCAGCTGCTTCCAATAGTCTTTGCCGTAGCTCAGCTACATTTTGAATCGGCTTGAAATACACTTTTTCTTTTACAGTTCCCCAGTAAAAAAAATCTAACGGATTAAAATCTAGTGACGGGGCTGGCCACGGTATTGTACCAGACCGCCCTATCCATCTGCCTGGAAAGTTTTGATCAAGATACTCTCTCACTGAGAGTGCATAGTGCGCTGGGCAGCCATCACGCTGAAACCACATGTCCCTGTAAATACTCAGTGGCACGTCCTCCAATACATTTTCTAAATGATTTTGCAAAAAACCTAAATAAACCTCAGCAGTCAAAGTCTCTGGGAACTCAAACGGACCGATTATTTTACCATTTAAAATTCCTGTCCAATGGTCTATCTTGAAGCGATATTGAGATTTATCTTCTCTCATTAAATGTGGGTTTGCTACGTGCCACTCGTGTAAGTTATGCAGGTTCATGTACCCATCTTTCTTAAATGTGGTCTCATCTGACCATAAAATTTTTTCAAAGAACCGTGGATCTTCCCTGTGTCTTTCTAACATTGTGCGACATAAAGCAACTCGGGGCTCATAATCCCGGGGCAGAAGAGCTTGAACACGCTGTACGTGGTATGGATGGAGCACGTTTTTTGCAAGATTCTATCGGCTGTACTTTTGGGCACACCTGTTTTTAGTTCTACTGCACGCACTGAAGTACTCGGGTCTTCTTCGACAGCTCCTAGCACCACGTCTTCGTAAGGAAGGAAAGATCTTCCCTCACCGTGTGATTGGTTTGGTAGTTGGCCCTCTGAGAACAGTAAGCGGTGCACATTTGTGAACACTCGATGATCTGGATGACGAGCTGCATTCGGGTACCTGTCACAGTAAAGTCTCGCTGCAGCACTAGCGTTGCATCTGCATTCCCCATAAATGAGGTGCATGTTAGCATGTTCTTGTACGGTGTACACGGACATAGCGGCACTGCACAATCACACTATCAAAGATAGTCTAAGGAAAGCAAATGTTGTTTTGAAGAGTAATTAAACAGTCCAAATCCAAATCACAAGCGATCAACAGTCCAGTTCACGAATCCAAACGAAGGAGCACTGATCGGTATCAAAGTGTGCAATAGCAAGTAAGTGATGTGCTTCATCCATACCACATACAGCGTGTTCAACCTCTCCTGCCCCGGGATTATGAGCCCCGAGTTGCTTTTTCTCGCACAATGTTAGAAAGACACAGGAAAGATCCACAGTTCTTTGAAAAAATTTTATGGTCGGATGAGACCACATTTAAGAAAGATGGGTACATGACCTGCATAACTTACACGAGTGGCACGTAGCAAACCCACATTTGATGAGAGAAGATAAATCTCAATATCGCTTCCAGATAAACCATTGGACAGGAATTTAAATGGTAAAATAATGGGTCCGTTTGAGTTCCCAGAGACTTTGACTGCTGAAGTTTATTTGGATTTTTTGAAAAATCATGTACAAAATTTATTGGTGGACGTGCCACTGAGTATTTACAGGGACATGTGGTTTCAGCATGATGGCTGCCCAGCGCACTACGCACTCTCAGTGAGAGAGTATCTCGATCAAAACTTTCCAGGCAGATGGATAAGGCGGTCTGGTACAATACCGTGGCCAGCCCGATCACCTGATTTGAATCCTTTAGATTTTTTTACTGGGGAACTGTAAAAGAAAAAGTGTATTTCAAGCCGATTCAAAATGTAGCTGAGCTACGGCAAAGACTATTAGAAGCAGCTGAATTTGTTAATAACCGTGGATTCGCTCGTTTAATAACCCGATCTTTTTTAAGAAGATGTCGAGCGTGTATTGCGGCTGAAGGAAAACAGTTTGAGCATTTGCTGTAAAGGTAAATCATCATCTGCAGCATTTTGACGCCCACTGTTGTGCAAACAGTTATCCTTAAGGGTCCTTGTGCGTTTTCATAATCGCTGTTTAATTAGGAAATTTTGAAAAATTTTCATCAGTTTTTTTTCAAATAAAAATTGTCCATAACTTAACGAGTAATCTTCTAAGTGTTATACCATTTTGGAATCGTTATTAAATGCGCCAACTTTTAAGGTTACTTGCCAAACTCTCGTAGTACATTTTTTCCAGTACAGCCAGTTAAAGTTGAGCAAAGTTTTACTTTGGAATACTTGGTTGGGAAATAAGTGGCAATTTTTCCTGAACGAGAAAAGTTGGCAGTAAGGTTGAGACACCAGTTTGAAGATGCACTATTCATCATTAGGTACATTGTAAAAATAAAAACCAAAAAAAGTTAATATTTGTAGTAACAGGAGTTGACAGACGGCCGTAGGGTGTGAAATTTCTATCTTTTTCAAAGACCTATAATTTTCAAAACACATACATAAAAATTTTTTAAATATTTTTCCGATAGCTGTTATGACTTTGCCTACCACCCGGTTTCGGCTTGACGTCGACTTCTGGGACAACCTGTATAAAGGGATACTGGTAGACTTACTTTGACCCGCCAAGAACGCTGACTACAACTATATTTATTTTATGATAGTGCAGGAAAATTTTATGTAGAAGTAAACCATTAATTTGAAAAAATACCTCTATTTTTTTCAACTATATCCTTATTTACTGGAGCGGCATGTTTTCAGGGAAGTCGACTTATTGGACGAAGGGGCAGCTACATCAGCCAATTCCAAACAAAATATCATCCAGACAATAGCTCACGAATTGTCTCACCAATGGTTCGGTGATTACGTTACAATTGATTGGTGGTCAAACTTGTGGCTCAACGAAGGCTTTGCCACCTATTTCCAGTGTCATCTTGCTAATCTAGTAAGTATGCGAAACATGAACACCTCATTTTATCATTAAGGCTTCTTGAAACCATTCCACTTGACGTAATATTTGAGATAGGATAAATAGTTAGTTAGTAATCCTCCATGTTTGTCTCGCCACTAACGAGGAGGTTTCGGCCATAACGGTTGCCTTTTTCAAGTGCAATTTACAATTCTAACAATGTACAGGGTGGCCAATAAACAGTTAATTTCTCGATTTGGTGATGTCAACTGGCCACCAAGGTCACCGGATTTAACGGCTCCTGACTTTTTAATGGGGATTTCTGAAAAATTGGGTTTATGTCAACAAACCAAATACTATACAGCAGCTGAAGAGCAATATTACAGAAGCGATTGAAAATATTCCTCCTGAAACCTACCAAAAAGTGATGGAAAATGTAATCAAGAGGGCTCAGGTCTGCGCGGTTTCTAGAGGCGGACATATGTCCGATATCATTTTTCATACATGATTTTTAAGTTTCAATAAAAAAATAAGATGCAAAAATGGACGTATTGTATTTCATTTCACAAGTATTCAAGATACAAACCAGTCAGTTACATATCGGCCACCCTGTATTTTGTTCATCTATCTTTCAGGTATAATTCGTTTGTCTTTTTCTTTCATTTGCCCTTTTGATATACAGTAGAACCCCGATTAACCGAAATAATGTGGACCCAAGTGCAAAAGTAAATGCTTGTGTTAAGTGCTGTCTCAACCTTACCGCCAACTTTTCTCGTTCAGGAAAAATTGCCACTTATTTCCCAACCAAGTATTCCAAAGTAAAACTTTGCTCAACTTTAACTGGCTGTACTGGAAAAAATGTACTACGAGAGTTTGGCAAGTAACCTTAAAAGTTGGCGCATTTAATAAGGATTCCAAAATGGTATAACACTTAGAAGATTACTCGTTAACTTATGCACAAGTTTTATTTGAAGAAAAACTGATGAAAATTTTTCAAAATTTCCTAATTAAACAGCGATTATGAAAACGCACAAGGACCCTTAAGGATAACTGTTTGCACAAATGTGGGCGTCAAAATGCTGCTGATGATGATTTACCTTTACAGCAAATGCTCAAACTGTTTCCCTTCAGCCGCAATACACGCTCGACATCTTCTTAAAAAAGATCGGGTTATTAAACGAGCGAATCCACGGTTATTAACAAACTCAGCTGCTTCCAATAGTCTTTGCCGTAGCTCAGCTACATTTTGAATCGGCTTGAAATACACTTTTTCTTTTACAGTTCCCCAGTAAAAAAAATCTATCGGGTTCAAATCTGGTGACCGGGCTGGCCACGGTATTGTACCAGACCGTCCTATCCATCTGCCTGGAAAGTTTTGATCGAGATACTCTCTCACTGAGAGTGCATAGTGCGCTGGGCAGCCAGCATGCTGAAACCACATGTCCCTGTAAATACTCAGTGGCACGTCCTCCAATAAATTTTCTAAATGATTTTGCAAAAAACCTAAATAAACCTCAGCAGTCAAAGTCTCTGGGAACTCAAACGGACCGATTATTATTTTACCATTTAAAATTCCTGTCCAATGGTTGAAGTTGAAGCGATATTGAGATTTATCTTCTCTCATCAAATGTGGGTTTGCTACGTGCCACTCATGTAAGTTATGCAGGTTCATGTACCCATCTTTCTTAAATGTGGTCTCATCTGACCATAACATTTTTTCAAAGAACCGTGGATCTTCCCTGTGTCTTTCTAACATTGTGCGACAAAAAGCAACTCGGGGCTCATAATCCCGGGGCAGAAGAGCTTGAACACGCTGTTCGTGGTTTCAGCATGCTGGCTGCCCAGCGCACTATGCACTCTCAGTGAGAGAGTATCTCGATCAAAACTTTCCAGGCAGATGGATAGGGCGGTCTGGTACAATACCGTGGCCAGCCCGGTCACCAGATTTGAATCCGTTAGATTTTTTTTACTGGGGAACTGTAAAAGAAAAAGTGTATTTCAAGCCGATTCAAAATGTAGCTGAGCTACGGCAAAGACTATTGGAAGCAGCTGAGTTTGTTAATAACCGTGGATTCGCTCGTTTAATAACCCGATCTTTTTTAAGAAGATGTCGAGCGTGTATTGCGGCTGAAGGAAAACAGTTTGAGGATTTGCTGTAAAGGTAAATCATCATCAGCAGCATTTTGACGCCCACTGTTGTGCAAACAGTTATCCTTAAGGGTCCTTGTGCGTTTTCATAATCGCTGTTTAATTAGGAAAAATTTTCATCAGTTTTTTTCAAATAAAAATTGTGCATAAGTTAATGAGTAATCTTCTAAGTGTTATACCATTTTGGAATCCTTATTAAATGCGCCAACTATTAAGGTTACTTGCCAAACTCTCGTAGTACATTTTTTTCTAGTACAGCCAGTTAAAGTTGAGCAAAGGTTTACTTTGGAATACTTGGTTGGGAAATAAGTGGCAATTTTTCCTGAACGAGAAAAGTTGGCAGTAAGGTTGAGACACCAGTTTGAAGATGCATTATTCATCATTACATTGTAAAAATAAAATCCAAAAAAAGTTAATATTTGTAGTAACAGGAGTTGACAGACTGCCGTAGGGTGTGAAATTTCTATATCTTTGTCAAAGACCTATAATTTTCAAAACACATGCATACAAATTTTTTAAATATTTTTCTGATAGCTGTTATGACTTTGCCTATCAGCCGGTTTTGGCTTGATGTCGACTTCTGGGACACCCTGTATAAAGTTACGTAGAATATAAACATGTGGATACAAACATACATATTTAAAAGTATTTAGTAACAAAGGAAGTAATTTTTAACTGTACACGTTTTGCATTGGCAGCAATATCCCTCCAACGTTTGATAAGTAGCACATCAGCTGCTGTCGCATTTTCTTGTTGTTTGACGTAAGTCAACGCCTTCTGTAGAGCTTCTAATCCCTCAGAATGTGATATTTTGACAGAGATTTCTGTCTCATTGTCACTAGCATCACTTAAAACTATCTCATCGCCATTGTTACAACAGTTTTATTAGTTCTGTATCAGTTAATTCGTCCACCAATTGATCACCATTAATCCACTCACCAACATCTGCTTTTCACACCCTGCTATTTTTACGACGAACTCATGTAAATGTTCGTTGCTATTATCATAGTCTGCGCAAATTTCCATTTCTTGCTTGATTATTTTCGACCAAGATTTTTGTAAAGAGAATTTTTCACTTGGCTCCATGCTTCTGCTATCCAGTATGCCACATTCTTGAGGTTAATCTCTTTTAAACAATCAACGAGGTTACAACCATTATCAACTTGATCTAAAATTTTCACTAATAACAAATGTCTGTAATTGCGTTTCAAATTTTCTAAAACTCCTTGCTCCATTGGCTGAATCAGTGACGTTACATTAGGAGGCAAAAACATCACTCGTATTCCTCCACTTTTAAGTTGCTCCTCACTTCGGTGGCTCGGAGCATTGCAAAATAAATTCGTCCATTCAAATATCGTTCTGTCTTGGGAACAAAATGATTGTAAATCCAGTCCTTGAATAGAGCGGCATCCATACAGGCAAATTTCAAAAGAGACAGAGTTCCATGTAAATCTCGGCAATCATTGCGTGCATAAATAACAGACAACTCTGTCTTTAAACGACTTTTTTTTGTCATTGTCTTGCACTATCCTTCTACACAGCCACAGTCAGTCAGTGAGTCACTAGTCACTCAACGTAAGACCCAAAATACCTAAATAAAAAAATTTTCGAATTCAAATTTTAAGTCACGTCACGCGACAAGCCAATACCGCCGAGGACCGAGCTCCGACCGACCAGTCACATATCGTACTTCGCATAGGATCTGCTCGAGTATAACTTGCAGCACATGCTTATGCTTAAATCGCACATTTGATTTTGTAGAGAGAGACAAAAGCAAGCGCGTGCGGCTTGTGTCGAAGTAGTGCACACTGCACAGACCACCGGCACACACCCTTTTCAAGTGGCCCATGAATAATATTACGCTGCGGTCGCGACGAAAATGACAAGTAGTCGATTATAATGCTTTCTCAGTACAAAACAGACTCGACGCCGTGTCTTGCAGGGGCAGCGTTGCCGGGGTTGTTTCTATTTGTGTGATAACATGGAAAATAAATAATGATCAAATTACTACTGCTTTTTTCTATTAAGACAAAAGTTTTGGCAGTTCTGCAGCTCTGCAGAACTTAAGGGCCAGCCGCTCCTGGATCTGAGATTTTTTTAGTTTTATATGTCCTCACGACACTAATGTGTCATTTGTGGAAATCGCCTTGTATAACCCTAATTTAGTTTAACAGGCATTTGAGATGCTATCTAGAATAATTTCTTTAAAAGCCTCATTTGATAATAAGTGAAATAAATAGCATATCGGCGATTAGAGCTCATTATTGAATTGGTCGACTGTAATTACATCATATTGGAAAATGAATCCGAAGCTAACTGCAGGGACTGACATTTTATCGGTTTTCTTTTCACATCATATAGGTTTTCTACGTAATAACCCTGCCCGTATAGTTCTACAATAAACCATTGCTCTAACTGAGCCGAATCCATGTGATTGTATCTTGAATCTAAGCCACCATAAAAATTCAAAAGCCCTGTGATAAGAACTTATAATCCATGAACTGTAATTTGTAGGTTGAAAACGGTACTATGGAATTGGACAAACAATTCATAACTTGGGTTGTTCACAGGGCTTTCCAATCGGATGCTCTGTACACTACGACACCAATCTCCAACGAATATAGTGAAATCAACACGCCCACGGAAATAAACAAAAAGTTTGATGATATCAGTTACTCCAAAGGTAAATTCAATAAAATCAATAATATGCAGCGACATTATGTATTCTAATTTCAGCTGGAAGTGTTATAAGAATGATGGAGCATATGCTAGGAAAAGATGTATTCCAGAAGGCGTTAAGAAACTACTTGAAAGGAAAGTAAGTATCAGAAGTTCAATCGGCTAGTAGACACTTTTTAAGTAATTCTTAAATAGTTAATATTTGATCTATTATGCCAAAAAATGAAATATATTTTTTTAAGACCTGAAAAACCGTAAAACTTTAACCAATTTGACAATATATTTTTTTAGATAATTCGCCACGTTTGGCCCATATAAAGGGTGTCTCATAAATATTTTCTTATTTTATGCCATAAATAAAAATACTTAGAATATTTTTACAAAGATAAATTTATTACCAAACGAAAGCCTAAACATTAATTTTATTTATGGAAAAGAGTATCGGATAAATGAGCACCGTTCATGTTTTCACACTCTCTTAATCTCGAACTGAAGTTTTCGATCACTCTCCGAAGCATTGCTCGAGGAATGGCGTTTATTTCATCTGTTATTTTTTGCTTCAACTCTCTCAAATCTTGTGGCGGTGGGGTGTATACCTTACTCTTCAGGTATCCCCATAAGAAAAAATCTGCTGGTGTCAAATCGGGACTTCTCGGTGGCCAGTTAATGTCTCCTCTGCGACTGATGACCCTCTCTGGGAATAACTGATGAAGAGCATCCAAGGATTCATTCGTGAAATGAGAAGTCGCTCCATCTTGCTGGAAAAACGTGTTTCTATCGTAGCCACCATGGTTCTGTATAGCTGGAGTTAAAAAAGTCCTAATCATGTGGCAGTAGCGCTCAGATGTTACAGTTTGAGCTTGGCCACGATTGTCTTCAAAAAAATACGGGCCAATGATTCTTTGCCCTGACATAGCAGCCCAGACGATAACTTTAGGCGAGTGTAATGGCGTCTCATGAAGATTTTGCGGGTTCTGCTCGGCCCAATATCGGCAGTTTTGTTTATTAACATGCCCGTTAATGTGAAAATTCGATTCATCAGAAAACCATATGTTGTTGTAACCGTTAAAATGCTCTCTCATTGTTCTACAGAACTCTAATCGATTAGCGGGATCTTGTGGTTTTAATTGTTGTGTAACAACAATCTTGTATGGGTGAAAATGCAAATCCTTGCGAATAATGCGATGAACAGTTGACTTATGCAAAGTTAGAGACGCTCCACGCAGTCTTAATGATTGCCGGGGATCCTCGTTAACGGACTGGCGCACACGTTCAATATTTTCGTTCGATCTTGCTGACCTTGGCCGTCCAGGCGGTTTACTAATACACGTGTTTCCAGTGCTCTCGAACTTCCTTACCCAATATTTAATTAAATTTGCGCTTGGGACATCTCTCATTCTTGCTATGTTATAATGATTTCTGTACAAACGACGTACAAGCACATAAGAATCCTTGTTTTTATAGAACTCGCGAACACAAAAAGCACGTTGCGGCCCTGTAAAACGCTCCATTGCAACTAAAATTTAACAATGTTGCCAAACGTTTGTCAACTGTCTCGTTTCTCCGGAGCATGCGTATTCCGCCAGAGAACTGATCTAAAAACGAAAATATTTCTGAGATACCCTTTATTAACGTCTGACGTCATACCATCTGTAAACAGCAGCTGAGAGCAGCATAACCTCACAAACTTAGTTTACCTAAAAAATATAGTAATTACCGTTATTGTATCGTTCCATAATCTAAAAACACATCGATAAAGACACCAAGAAATCTGTTAATTAGAGTTCCCAGAGATATAAATATACGCAACATCATGTATTGCTTGGATCATAGCTTATAATCGGGACATATTTTACATCTTACTGTGCAGATTTTATCGTCTCGTTTATGTTGGACATGAGCTTAGTTTTGAATGACTCATGAAAATGAAGTTCATGTAGTGTATTATTACTTATTATTTTTTATGTCTATCATTATATAAGATGTACTGTACTTAAATAGACCCCTTCTTGTTCCTCAGCTCATAAGAACAGAAATCTGGATTGAAGGTAAACAATTACCAACTGTCAATGTGTCAATTTTTGGCATATTTGTGTTTTCTGCTTATACGAATCCAGCGTACATGATTGTTTTTTTTTTCAATGAAACGGGAAAACGATAACTTTTTACGTTGATTAGATGTTTTTTAGAAATACTTAAAGAAGACAACCTTAGGCCCATATAGTCAGTTGTCCCTACAATTTTAGGGCGCCTTTATGACCTCCTTGATTGTCATAGTTTTCTGCTTCTCCGTGTCAGAACTCTATTTTGAGGTTATGTCACAAACATCTATTTGCATCAAATTGTGCTTGCTTTTGAGTTATATCATGTTTTATCACCCTGAAATTTCCTACAATTTAAAAAGAAAACATATCTTCACAATAGGAGAGCGCTGACGCTGACACGGGACAAGTGTAATCTAGAAATTTTTGAAGGAGAGAAAGGAGGATGGCAATCAAGGAGGCCATAAACGCGCCCTACAATTAGGGACGACTGACGATACGGGCCTTAGTCCAAGAGGGACATACGGTGACGTTTCTTTGCTTACAATTTGGATGAGGTCACATCATGGCCGATAGCGTTTCCACTGATTCATATTAAACTGTATTTTTGTTTAAATTGGACTTACATAGACTGTAACAAAAGTTTTGAACGAATAACTCATCAAATTCTATCGTTGGGCGCTCTATGATATACTAAATGAAAATAGTATTGATTTTTTTTTATTGTTTGTGGTAATAATAGTTACTTACAAATATCAAAAACGGACCTATGATAACGGCCCAAACATTAATTTTTGTGGATATTTTGTATCACATTTCCGTACCCAATGGGGATTTTCCCTGGCCCAGCAGCAGCAGTTATGACGATTAAGAGTTCCGATCAAAGAAAAACTTGACTCATCTGAAAACAGTATTTCGTACAAAAAATGTTCTTTTCTCTTACACATGTACATCATGGTCTCACAGAATTGTAAACGACTACCAAAATCATCATCTGATAGCTGTTGAAACAAGGCGACTCAGTAAGGATGGAATATTTATGTCTTTAAAATGCGTTCCCGACATGTGAGATGTATTGTTCTCTTCACCAAATGTTCTAGTAGCAAGGTAGGGGTTTTCAGCTATGCTCACTGAAATATTCAAAGCCTTATCTGGCTGTTTTGGGATGGACAGATCGTTTAACATCCTTTACAGGTCCTGCTATTTCAAATTTCCTCAACACTTTTCCAACAGTAGACCTTGTTATTGGACTCCCGTTGGGATATTTGTCATTAAAAATATCGCAAACTTCTTGCTATGTGTGTCGACGATCGCCATAACACAGATTCATTAGAATGTCAATTCTCTCGGTTTCAGTTAAATTCATTCTCAATAACTCTACTAACAGGCCACTAGCTATTTAACAAATTACTGTTGGTTTAAAATGCAATTAAATTGCGAGGATTAATCAGCTCTCAATCGAAACTTAGCCTTCGAGGGACGACTATAAATGTGGGCCTAAATGATGTTTGAGACACTGGTTTTCTGATTGCATCAAACTATTACTAATTTATTTTGTTCCAACTTTCCAGTGGCCATACGAATGCTAGCCCGAAAACGTTATTCTCGTTTTTCAAAGATGCTGCTCCACCAAAATACAAGAACATTGATGAAATAATGCATAACTGGATCTATCAGCCAGGATTTCCTCTCGTTCAAGTCGACTGGAACGAAACTGCTATCACCATCAGCCAAGTGAGTATCTCAGGACCATACTGGGTCAAAAAAAGGCGCTATTGAACTATACTACATAACTTATGACGGTTATTTTCATGATTCAATAACGACGTCCGACATATTCTTCATAATTTGGAAATTGATTAACATATTCAATAGACAGAGGAAACAGTTTACTCGAAAAGTTGACGTTAGATGATTATGGAAACTTGCGGTTATGGTAAAACTGATATGAGGAATTCGGCTACAATATTTTCAAAATGGCTTGTATTGGAAGTAGATGCCAAGATGCTTATTTTGAATGGAACACCCTTTATATTTTCCATTTTTGAAATCATCGCAAGATTCTAAATACCATCCATGTATAACATACGATATCTAAGACTAGCGTTTTTGAAGTATTCAACTTTGTGTAAAAAATCAAAAATGCAGATCCATAGAGGCCTGTTAATTTTTCGTATTGTAGCGTTTTTCTGGGTTTTTTTGGGTGTAGATTAGAACACTGAATTCCACAAAAAGAAATGCACTAATTTATTTAACTTGATAAAAAATTTATATACACCACCATTTATGTCTGATTAATTCTTATGTCACCATTGACTGCACTATACTTCACTCCGCCCGGCTACTCTACCGTATTCGGTACTCCCCTCCATCTCCCGGCCGCCGAGTTATATATAGTCCCAATTGGCGCTTCGAGAAAGTCCACAAAGCGACATCTAGAATATTGGAGATCACTTCGCGTCGATCTAGAAGGCGATCCACTGTCCTCACAGACGCCGCCAGGCGGCTTGTGCGGTCGTGTCAAAGCAGAGATCGGCCATTAAGCTCTGGCGAGTAGGAGACTCGCCCAACAGATGGCGCTATTTGTCGCAGTATATTTTTGTTCTTGTCGAACGATTTGTAACTTTTTTGTTATAGAAGGGGAACTAATTCAGTAAACTTCAGTATAATATTATAATAAAACAGGGTGGTCAAAAAATAGGGTGAAAATTAAATTGTAAGAAATTTCCCAAATTGCAAGTAACCCAACACAACTATTTCTTCTATTTTTCTATCTGTCCACGTGACTGCCAATCTTTCCGCTAACATATACCACTAAAATTGAACTCGAAACTAGATAACTTCAATAAGTTCCTTCGTGGTCAGCTTCAAGGTATACACTTAACAATGATCACGTGCATCGTCCACAATCCTCGACTGGTTCACTTTTTAGTTATACAGGGTGTTAATTAAGTATGTACCATAAATTTAACAGGCGATTTTTTGAGTAATTTTAAGACACAAAGTTCATCATGGCCCGCAAGTTCGTGGTTCTATATCCTTTATCTAATTTTGTTGTGATTTGGCGGTGGTATTTATAACAATAAGGGGCGAATTTAGCTCTAACTTGATTAAGTTTATTAAGTCGAGCGCAATCTGAACGAATATTTGTGACAAACATATGTACGCCACTAACTTTTGTGCAACTTGTATTATGTTCTTTGGATTAAGCAAATAGAAATACAACTTTTTTGTCTCCCGAATTTTTTTCTTATCTTGCTTAGTTTTCGAGAAAAAAGTGCATATCCCTGGATCACACAAGGAATATGGAGAAAAGTTCCTCTTGTAAATTATTTTTGACATTTTCTTATTACTAATTATGTTGTAACAACAACAAATACTAAATAAGATTAACCACTAACAACTAATGGTAAATTTAATTAAAATGTAAATATATGGGGAAATCAAATATTAAATATTACAGACAGGAATCTAATTGAATTTTGAATGTTTTCTGACTTCTGAAGAAATCCAACTTATTAGAATACTGATTTGCTAACCTTGAAGATCTAGACAGGAAGGAATTACTAGCATAATTAGTACGAAATGATCTCACATGGAATTGTTGATTCAATCTTGTTTTAGGAGAAAGCACATGGAGATGAATATTTTTGAAAGGTTCTGGAGCAAAACTAAGAGAGTGCAAAATATAGAATAATGACAGGTCCCTCTGATTCCGTCTTACCTGAAGGGTTGAGATATTGAGAAAGCTTTCAATGACGGAATAGACAATATCTTCAACCATAATGTTTTGTTTGAATGAAATGAATCTTAAGAATTTATGTTGCACTCTCTCAATTGCCGGAATATGAACATTATAGTTGGGTGACCAAACACAAGAACAATACTCTAAATGGGGCCTCACCAAAGAACAAAACAACGTTTTAAATGACTGAATATTATGAAAATCCTTAGCACATCGGTTTATAAATCCCAACAGTTGAAGAGATTTAGAAACAATCATATATATATGGGTAATAAAGGATAATTTTGGGTCAAGAATTACCCCTACCTTTCAAAGTATAAGTTCCATTCTATTAATTTGACACCCCAGACTTAATGGATTCAAATCATTTTGGATATTTAAACAATCATTATTATATTTGATTTTTAAGAATAATTTCACCTGCAAATATTAGAAACCTAACAGACTTAAAACAGTATATGATATCATTCACGTATATATTGAAAATAAGACTACCCAGATGGGAACCTTGACATAATAAAATAAACTGAAAACAGCGCATTTACGCATTTAATGATTTCAGGTTCTTTTGATTATTTTATTGTATGTATACTAAGTGACATATAAATCCGAACACCCAGTTTAAATGGTTTTATTTTAATAAAATTTTGTATAAGTACTTAATGAAGCATAATAAGTAAATGATAAAAATTTCAAAATAATTGCACTGCTTTAAAGCCGTTTGACCTTTAATAATGTGTGGATGCACCCTGATGTGCTACGCATTCTCCAACGCGCGTAGGCATGCTTCTGATCAGGTGGTCAATGTCCTCCTGTGGTATCTCATTCCAGGCAACCACCAACTCCTCTCGAAGTGCTTCTAGAGTCTGAGGAGGACGTTGCAAATTGAGCAATCTCCTACCCATCATATCCCACACGTGCTCAGTTAGGTAACGAACTAACAAGTCGCCAGACAAGCGTAGCAGAGTTAAGTTAGTTTAATTGAAAAACCGCAGTTGGGCAGTATCACATAATCATGCAAAGTGGATATGAAGAAATCCGTGAAAGAGGAAATATAAATTGGAATGCGTCTAAACCTTAATGTGGCAGTTCTCAAACTATTACAAGACGATTATCCCAAACCGACGGGTTTAACCTGGATAATATTTTCCAGCTTCCGTTCCACGGATATGCTGGCGACCAAACTATTTCAATTATTTATCCCTGGAAAGCCCGTCGCCGTTTCGAACATGGCCGTGGGCACGAGTTTTAGGCGGAAGGGTCGACAAACTTTCAAGTTGTACCTTCGTCGTGTTCATCATTAATCTTGCACTTAAGGGCTGTTTGACGGATTGCCTAACCGATATTGGATATTGACGATTGTATGAGCCTACATCCAAGATTCTGAACTGGGGTTATACAGATTTAAACAATATTATCAAGTAGGTGGACTCTGCACTTTTCACGTAGACCTGTCATAAAATATACTAAGTGACATATAAATCCGAACACCCAGTTTAAATGGTTTTATTTTAATAAAATTTTGTATAAGTACTTAATGAAGCATAATAAGTAAATTATAAATTCAAAATGATTGCACTGCTTTAAAGCCCTTTGACCTTTAATAATGTGTGGATGCACCCTGATGTGCTACGCATTCTCCAACGCGCCTAGGCATGCTTCTGATCAGGTGGTCAATGTCCTCCTGTGGTATCTCATTCCAGGCAACCACCAACTCCTCTCGAAGTGCTTCTAGAGTCTGAGGAGGACGTTGCACATTGAGCAATCTCCTACCCATCATATCCCACACGTGCTCAATTGGGGATAAGTCGGGAGATCTTGGTGGCCATGGTAACAATGTGACATCATTATGTTGAAAGAAGTATATTGTGACTCTTGCAACATGTGGTCGGGCATTATCTTGTTGGAAAGTTGGATTTGCCAGGGTGTCAAGATAGGGTAAAAGATGGGGTTCTAGAACTTCGTGGATATAACGCTGCGCGTTCATGTTACCTCTGATGAAGATTAAAGGTGACCTGGAACCATACGCTATAGCACCCCAAACCATAACTCCAACAGTGTGATGAACATGTCTTTCAACAAAAAACTGTGGATTCCTCCTTTCACCACGTCGCCTTCTAACCCTGGCACGACCATCGTGCATGCCTAAACAAAATCGAGACTCGTCACTAAAGACAATACTGTTCCATTCCTGATCCCAGAGTGACCGTTGTCTGCACCACTCAAGGCGATTACGTCGGTGTTCTCGAGTTAAAGGGAGGACAAAGTGTGGCCGGTATGAAAACAAGCCAAAACTTCTCATTCGTCGGTAAACACTTCGCATGCCAATAGGTCTTCCGTGTTCTGCAAACCATTCATTTGCAATGGACCTGGTAGTGGAGAAACGGTCCCTTAAGGCCAATAATCTTAGGCGGCGATCTTCACGGTCTGTTGTTCTACGGCGGCGTCCAGTGCCCCTTGCTCTTTGCGTACGGCCTTCTCGAAGCCATGCCTGACAACACCTAACCACAGTGTCTACACTTCTTTGCACTCTAACTGCAATTGCCCGAAAAGAAAGTCCAGCTTCCCGAAGTCCCACTATACGGCCCCTATCAAACTCACTAAGTTGACGAAATCATACAGGTCTCCGTACTATAGGCATCGTAACCGATCGTAAAGGATGTCAAGAACCAAAATCCGCCAACGTTGATTCTTTACTGCGGCTGAAACATTCATTTTCAGAGCGTTAGTGAATTAAAAAAAAGCAGTATAAAAACCGGAATGTCCAACTGATAAGGCTGAAAATTTTTTCACTTGTTATTTACAGAAAGATAAATACATTCACCAACTTTTATTAAAATAAAACCATTTAAATTGGGTGTTCGGATTTATATGTCACTTAGTATAGTTGTAGTGTCGCTGTTTTATTGTTAATTAATCAAATGCCCCGAAAAAGTGATGTATGGAAGTATTTTAAAAAACATTCTTCAACTTGTGAACAGTCTAAAATATTTAATGATCATCAATGCGTTCTTCATTTTGACAATCTCATACTTTTTTACTGAAGTATATTGCAGCCGGTATCCTTCTTTGATCCTATCGTGAAGTTGCTGTCGCGTTTTTCATTCTTACTTAATGGTTCTGAAATCGATAAAAAAAAAAACGCGGTGAAATTCCAACGGATAAAATCGATAGCAATCGATGAATTCGTTGCAGAATTGAAAGCAAAAAACGTTAAAAAGAAGAGTTGTTTCGATACATCGATGTATTTGTTCCGATGTATCGAGCTCCATCGATGTTACGATGGCGAAGTTTGTCGATGTCCAAACATCTATGTTTTCTAACAAAATTGCCATCCCTAGCTCCCAAGACATGATCCTGAATCCGCGCGTGGTCTGACGACCTAGACACGCACATAACTAATTTTGCGTAACTTTTTTTTACAGGAAAGATTCAACAGCAATGCAACTACTCAATGGTACATCCCTATCACGTTCGCTACCTCACAGGACCTGAACTTTACAACAGATGTCAAAATGATGTTGGAACCCGGAAAAAAAATAGTAATCCAAGATTTCAATTTCACTTGGATTATGTTGAACACACAAGTCGCTGGTAAGACAATTTGAAGACACACTTCCGAATTTAGGTAAAAGGCAGTAAAGTATAAAAATTGAGGTATGAGAAAATTGAGCTTAATAAAATACTTTTCTACTAAATAAATAGTATTATAGCGGCGGAACAAAAATGAATGAAAGCCATTATAGAGTCATTTAATTGTGATTTCGGATCATCATTTTTGTTGAGGCATAAAATAAATGACATTCCGTCTTTGATTCACGTAAATCACAAAGCAGTAACATGTGATTTACTACTTCTATTCTATGCAAGAACAAGTTTACTGCCAATTTTTGTTGATTTGATAATCTATTTACATTATTGTTTCAAGGAAAACGCAGTAATGCAGAATTCCATTTTAAGAAAATTTATATAAAATTCACATAAATAGCACTATTAATTATATAATCAATGCTTGGGTAAGAAGTGGCGTATGACTTCTGTTTTGCTCTTCAAAACAACCCAACATCGAGAAGATATTACTTGTGCTACCATTTTGAATAGCTGCGGCTGCATTTTGTTGGCACTTTCCGTATGTTAGTATTGTAGCATTTTTCTGGGTTCTTTTGAGTGTGGATTAAAACACTGGATTCCACAAAAAGAAATGCACTAATTTATTTCACTTGATAGAACATTTATATCCACCACTATTTATGTCTGACTAATTCTTATGTCGCCATTGACGGCACTATACTCCACTCCGCTCTGCGCTCTGGTGTAATCTGTACTCTCTGCTTCCATCTCCCGGCCGCCGAGTTATATATAGTCCCAATTGCTGCTTCGAGAAAGGTCGGGTGAACCACAAAGCGACATCTATAACATTGGAGGTCACTTCGCGTCGATCTAGAAGGCGATCTACTGTCACAGACGCCGCCGAGTGGCTTGTGCAGTCGTGGTTCGTGTAAAAGCAGAGATCGGCCATTAAACTCTGGCGAGTAGGAGACTCGCCCAACAGATGGCGCCAACAGAACTATTTGTCACAGTATTATGTCCACTAGTTCATTATTTTCGTAAATACGGGCCATTTTCTCACACAAAATAATTAGACAAATGAAAGTATACGCACTATTAAAAGACTGATACAACTGATCGAACCAAAGACTCGTATTGAAAACCCTACAATAACACAAACAGTTTGCCAAATTTAGATACGAGTATACGATACGAGTAGTAAACAAAAAACGCTAAGATTTTACACAGCAGTGGTCGAGAATATCAAAAAGTCTGTGTAATAACATTCTTATTTTTAAAATGTTTAAGCTTCTACTGTTTTTTTTTATTATGCAACTTTTATCAAGGTTATTTTTAGTATATCAAGTCCGTTTGACGAGTCAAACAAGCAGGCAAAATAAATGACTGAACTTTGAAAACTTCCTTTATATTAACGTAAATAATCGACAGAAAATACAAAAAAGCATGCATACTATTGCAACATTTTCAACATATATGTAATTGGTATTTGAATATTTTCGTTCCTAACATTTACAACTTTGGCTTAAAATTGCGTCTTTTCTTTATATAGGTTTCTACAGGGTTAACTACCACGAAAGACTATGGACCGAAATTATAAAATATTTGGAAGAAGACCATGATCGCATTCACGTTCTGAATAGGGCCCAGCTTATTGATGACGTATTCAATAATGCTAAAATAGGAAAAGTTAAATACTCATTAGCCTTCGCATTGAGTGGCTACCTGAAGAAGGAGAAAGATTATTATCCTTGGTTCACGGCCTTTAGGGCTTTCAGTTTCTTGTTGGGCAAACTTGATAAGGAAGCCGATGATTTGATTAAGGTAATTACTAATTATATAAAGTGGCCTAATATGTATACATAGTTCGGTATGTATAGATCGGTATTCAAACTTTGCACGTAACTTAAAAAGTGACATTATACCTTTGTTCGTACAGTGATGTGTTGCCGACTGTGTCTGGGATACGGCCGTGTGAATTCTGTCTAAATAGCGTAGCAGAATGAACGGAATTTGTGTGGCGGGTCCTTAGGCCCGTATCGTCAGTCGTCCCTACAATTGTAGGTCGCCTTTATGGCCTCCTTGATTGTCATAGTTTTCTGCTTCTCCGTGTCAGAACTCTATTTTGAGGTTATGTCACAAACATCTATTTGCATCAAATTGTACTTGCTTTTGAGTTATATCATGTTTTATCAGCCTGAAATTTCCTACAATTTAAAAAGAAAACATATCTTTACAATAGGAGAGCGCTGACGCTCACACGGGACAAGTGTAATCTAGAAATTTTTGAAGGAGAGAAACGAGGATGACAATCAAGGAGGTCATAAACGCGCCCTAGAATTGTAGGGCTGTTTCGCTATTAAGTTATATTTTTTTGCAAATTCGGTGAATCTTTTTTTTTAAACTTTTTCAAATATTTTAGAAAAATCGGTTAAGATGGAAATTGGTCGATAGTTGGTGGGTTTTCCTCTTTCTTCAGATTTAAATAATGGTTTTACCATAGCGTGTTTTAAACATGAAGGGAATATTCCTTTATTCATACATGAATTTATCAAATATGCTGTTATATTATCTACACCTGGAGATTTTCTTAATTTTAATTCATTGATTATCGTCTTTATTTCATGCGTATCGGTCGGTTCCAGATATAATGAGTTATATAATCTGGTCTTACTATAATTTAATTTTTCCACGTTTTTTATGTTTTCTGTCACCCTTTTCCCAATTTTTGAAAAATATTCACAGAATTCATTTGCTATATCTACATCATTACTCACTAGTTCACGATTTTCTTTTTTAATTGTACTAATTTTTGTTGTTTTGTTTTTTGCCTTGTATTTTATTGATAAATTGACACATTTTGGACGAACAATTTTGTAGATTGTCAAACTCTTCTTGGAGATATTTAATTTTAGCCTGTTTAATTATTTTTGTCAGTCTGTTTCGATATGATTTAAAGTCATTCAAAAGATTCACATCATAAGGATATTTTTTGGTTTCCTTATATAATTCTATTTTTTTGTTGATGCAGGTAATAATACCTTTTAATACCCATGCTTGTCTTTTTATTTGTGTTCGTGGAATATTTAGTGTTTCGGTGCATTCAGCAATATGGCCTTCAATGCTAGATATACAAAAGACAAATGCATTTTCGATATTAGGTTCGTTATATACTGCAATTCAATTTACATTGAGTAGGTTGTTGTTCAGTTTTTCATAATCAATGTAAATTTTTGTATTATTCACTGTCTTTGCAACCAATAATTTTATCTAAAGATATAGGGATAGTCAAGGGACAACTTAATTTACTAAATAAGTACATTACGTTCCTCTCAATACGGAGGTTGAAATCAAACACGGATCTCAACTATGAATAAATTTCGATTTCAGGACTTGGTGCGCGATTATATAGACAGCGCTTTTGGCGAAATACCATCTGGTGAGAGAAACCATGTTCAAAAATTGACGGATGGGCTCATTGTCCAATGGGCATGCAAAGTAGGCCATGAAAAATACCTTAGCCATGTAAAAGAACAGTTCGATTCGTACAAGACGAAGAAAATGTAAGTCTTAGATATAGCATTTAAATAACATTTTATAGTCATTTTTACTTCCCACGCCAACTGTCGATGAAGTAGATATTGTTTATTTGATGTTACATGACACGTACACTGAGAAAAATCATCGCACTCATTTCCGTCAGACTGTTCGGTAATCTGATTGGCCCTCTGTACTTTGGAGAGTGCTGCTCAGATTTTGAAAAACATTGCATCAAGATAAATACTTCACGGGCTTTGATGTCTTAAAAATCGCCCTCGTCACGACGGAGTAGTGAGCAAGAAATGAAAGAATTCAGAACGTACCTTATTTACTTTATTTTTCAATGATTTCCGTGATTCTGATCATTTTTGGGTGCAGCATTTTTTTACGAGCGGATATTAACAAATTTCAAACTTCGCTCTTAGGCGTGTTTCGAATTTCTGGGCACTTCTTGGCTTAGTCAAATTTCTAGAGTGTCCTTAGAATTTTATTCTTGTCACTGGTGTGTGCCGGTGCTATTAACATATTCGAAAATATTAATTTTATGATATTCAAGTGAAAAACAAAGATTGTGTACAGGAAAGTTTCTGTGATACTAAAGCAGCCTTAGGAATGTGTGCTATTTTCTATTTTATTTTCATAGAACTTATAATTCACCTATGGAAGTTTGATCGAATAGTTCAATTTCCTGTGAAAAGGAGAGTACCTAAATCTTTGTTCATGTGTTGAAAAATTAATGTACATCTCGGTAAATGATATCGAGTCGACAAATTGCTCAAAAAAAAACTGTCATCATAATTCTTTGACTTTTGGCTAATTTTCCGAAAGGTTTGATATGTTATAGATTTCAATACAAAAAAAAACAGTACCATAGGGGGTTTAAAATTCCTGCACGTTGTGGATGTTTCACGAGAAACAACATAGCATGCAAAAATAACTATTTTCTTTATACAAACTTCGGAATCTTTTTATTATGTGCGTTTTTGATGTCGGATACTATTGGTCTAATTAGAATCATCAGTTAGTCCATTTTAAAACATATCTCGTCCTCTGAGTTATAAAGAGCTAGAAATTATTTGTCGAAGTCGGAAATGATGATTTGAAAGAACATACTACATCCGGATTTTAATTTTTTTGTGAATATTTTTATATTGTCACAACGCCTCGTTTTAGGATTACGAATCACGATATCAGATCAGCAGTGTTTTGTTACGGTCTTAGACAAAGTAGCAATGTTGAACAGGATTATGAATTTATGTACGGCCAGTTCAAAAACTCATTGTCGTCTACAGAGCAAAACGCCATTTTACAAGCTTTGGGTTGCATCAACGACGTTACAGTGCTCAACAGGTAAGAACCAAATATTTGTTTCAATACAACTAATCCACTTATCATTAAGTACTTACGAAGCTGGAAAAAACTGTGTAACGTCCTTGTTTGTAAAACTACAGATTTGTATTAAAAACTTGCCCTTGGTGGCCTTAAGTTTAAGTTGTATAGCTTCATCAACGAAACTTTGATATCGGGAATTTTGATGGCATGACAGAGATGTCTTGAAACATCGCGAAGGTCACATATTACGACTTTATTGTTTCATATGATTATAGCCCTTCATATTCAATGTATTTAAAACCGACCAACAGTAATGAAATTATTGAACATATAATGAGTCTAAAAAATAGTTACTCTCCAGAATTAGATAAATTAACGACTAAAATAATCAAACAGCTACATGTATATCTCTTGGATCCCTTAGTTCATATAATCAATCTGATTTTCAAAACGGGAAAACTACCTAAACAATTTAAAACATCGGTTGTAACACCTATTCACAAAGCTGGAGATAAAGAATATATACGTAACTATAGACCAATAAGTATTATCTCAAATTTAGCAAAGATATTTGCAAAATGCCTTAAGGTTAGATTGGTTGCATTCTTGGATTCAAATAAGCGTTTATCTGAGAATCAGTTTGGTTTTAGGCAAGGTTTAAGCACTTCACATGCGGTTTACGAATTAGCGTCTAAAATAATGTGTCATTTAAATAACGGTGATGAGTGCATCGCTTTGTTTTTGGATTTAACAAATGCATTTGACACGGTATCTCATCCTATGCTCCTCCAAGCACTGGAGGGACATGGAATTAGGGGTGCTGTGTTAAGTGTATTTAGAGATTATATAATGCATAGGATTCAGTGGGTACAGTACTTGGACCGATTCTTTTTAATATATGTATATGTAAATTACCTCTGCAATCTTGCAGTTGATGGCGATGTAATTGCCTATGCTGATGACACTGTGGTGGTGTTTCATGGAGAGACATGGGAATCAACGGGTGAAAAATTGAACACTGATTTGCAAAAATTAAAAATCTTCTGGACAAATTAACTCTGAATATAAAAAAAACTCATTACATTGCCTTCTCTATAACCATGGCTAATAGACCAGCATTTAATCAAATTAAGCTTGATAGCCTTTGAAAGAAGTAAATGAAATTAAATATTTGGGGGTTGTTGTTGATAAGCACTTGAAGTGGGACCGACATATATATTTGATCAAAAAAATTAATTTTTCATCCATAAATTCTACACTCTTCATAACATACTGAACATTAAACTACTATTAATGATTTACAAATCACTTGTGGTGCCTCTTTTGGTATATGGCATAATTGTGTGGGGTGGGATGTACGGTTCAAATCTTGGGCAGTTAAAAGCGGCGCAGAACCATATTGTAAGGATTATTCTAAAAAAACCTAGATTATATCCCACTATGCAACTTTATTCTCAAGAAATAAACAATATTAAAATCGTATATATACTTGCAGTATGTAGTTTTGTACATGCAAATAAGGAACTAAATACAAATTATGTGTCCCACAATTATATGACCCGAGCAAATACAATTTGATTCCTGCTAATATCAGGAATATTGAAAATAATAAAAAAATTAGTGTTTCGTTTAAAATGTTCTGTTGGGAAAATCGTGAACAATTTATGCGTTTATTTTAAGTTGCTTTGAAGTAGAATGATCTGCGTATTTGTTTCTTTTCTTTCTTTTTGATATATAGTAATTGTGATACTTTTTTCTGTGATGTGATCTTTAGTCAAATCTATGACTTACAACAAAAATCTGAAATTTTCTTTCACTTTGTCCATACCGTGTTTCATGTTTTGTTGGTATTGTTGAGTGATTTTATACAAAAATATATATTGCACGATATTGATCAATCAATTACTGTTTTGGACTGTTTTAGCGCATACAAGTTTTTAAACTTAGGCGCTCATATATTATAGAGAAACCTTGTTTTTGTTTTGTTAATGTATAGACATATATTATTTTTCTATTGGTAAATTTGTGTTTTGCTGAATAAATGTGGTAGAGTTCAGGGCGTACTGTTCTCTCCAACAACAACACATTCTGTAAATAAGTTTTGGATATATTATTGTTTGATTGGTTTGAAAATTCATTTTTAGGTACCTAAATGAGACAATCCAAAAGGAGTCAGCGATAAGAAAACAAGATGCCGCGACAGTTTTTAGTTCGGTTCTGGGCAACAGTGATAATGGACTTGAAGTTGCACTGAAATTCTTCGAATCGAACTTTGACGAAATTGATGTTATGTAAGTACTTATATTTGCGGGAGTAATCAGAATCTATTGCTCTTGATGCACTACTACAATTATATATTTTTGCACCATCCCTAATGCTCCTTATACCAGTCGCGGTATCCCGGTGTTTAGGTTTCTGCCTACGCAGCTGATTCAGAATAAGAAAAATAAATACTATATTTTTCACTTATTTTCTTAGGTACAAAGGCTTGAACGCTATTACAAGATTATCTACTGAGCTGGCTAGGAACATAGTGAACCAAGAGCATAGTGAGAGGGTAAGTTTCTTTAAGTTATATTATTCATTTACATTGCTACTTCTGTTCATTGTGTAACATAATATCAATTTAATTTCTTCATTCGTGCTGAATACACTTGCGTGCGTACACATGTCAATGTAGAAGTTAAAATACAAAAGTGTATATTCAATAAACAACATTTGTTGGAAAGAACATTAAAAGAAAACTGTAAAATATTATGCATTTAAAATAAATATAAAACTATAGAACAAGCACATCTGAACAAACAGTAAACAAGCACACTACAACACCATTATGAGAGATCAGAGAAGTTATTACTTAAAAATTCTTCAGTGGCATAAAAAGCTTTAATTCTACACTTAAATGAGCCGGTGCCAGGTATTCTGAGTGCCTCGGGAAGAACATTATAAAAGTAGATTCCATAGTAGTTAGATCAGTTGCTATTTCTTTGTAGACGATGTTTAGGAATATCTAACTTAGGCATTTTACGTGTATTGTAACTATGTACATAACTGTGCATTTGTTGTTTATACAATATAAGCAGACAAATATATAGAAATGGAAGGGTAAGGATCTTTAGGTTAATGAATGCCTCTTTACATAGCTGCACATAACTCAGACCTGTGATGACTGATGCAGCGCCTTTGTAGTGCAAATACTTTGGGCATATGGATAGAATGACCCGAGTTCAAAAGTGCATATGACATTCTTGAGTGGAAGTATCCATAGTGGTGATCAGAAACAAACCTTTTCAGATTTCTAATTAAATAGATGGTCTTGGATAGTTCCCTGGGGATACTGTTTACATCTTCCTCCGAAGTGTGTATGTGAATACTGACACCCATAAATTTTACTGTGTCTATGGCATTGACGTTATAGTGACACAAACTTATTACCATGGACTGTGTCTTTGAAGCATTAAGTGTCAGTTTATTTGCTCAATTTATTGCATATTCAATATTTGTAGAGAAAAGTAGAACAATCGATTTGCTACTACAGAGCATTGTTGTGTCATCAGCAAACATCAGTATAAGGTTTCGGTTTGTCTTACAATAAGGAAGGTCATTTATGTTTATTAAGAATACAAGTGGACCTAGCACAGAACCCTGTGGGACGCCACATGAAATTGTCGTTGTATTGGAGGTAGTGTTGTTGAAGGTTACTACTATGAAACTTGTACCGACGCCATTTTTGTAGAACGTCATGTTGGACACAGTCGAAGGCCTTAGTAAAATCAAAAAAAATTAGCCAGGCAGTGAGCACCACTTCAAAAGCCGCATTTATTTTCTCAATGAAGCTGTCAATGCTTACCTGATCTGAAACCGAATTAACAGTCTGTAAATAGGTTGTTCCTTTCAAAATAGACAATCAGTTGATGTTTCAAAAGAATCTCAAGTATCTTAGCAAGTAGGGATATAAGTGAAATAGGTCTATGATTTGACAGATCGTTGGAATCGCCTTTTTCAAAGAGGGGAATAACTTTCAACAGTTTGAAAATATCAGGAAATATACCAGCTGAAATACACCAATTGGATAATTTTGTTAATGGTATAATAATGAGGTTTTGAATGGTTGTTATAATTTTTGCATTGAAAGAGACAACATCAAAACCTTTAGATTTTTTCAATTTATTTATCGCTGCCCTGACTTGATTGTAAGTAACCTATTTAAAATCAAAACCTCCTTATGAATTACCTTATGCATTGAAGCTTAAGGTGGAATTTGATCTACTAGACTTTTTGCAGTGTCAGTAAAATAAAGATTAGAGTCAGATATGTTGTCAATGCTTTTTCCACCGTTCATCCAGTTTTGAACATTACTTTTATCCCAAATATTGACCCTAAATAATTTTACAGCTGATCAAGCTCTTGGATGACCACAAGGACAATGAAGAAGCCAAGTTGGTATTCAAACAAGTGAATGAATTATTGAAAACTAACCAAGAATGGTCAACAAAATATGAAGATGAAATCAAATTGCTACTAACCAAGTCAAAGAGTGGAGCTGCCACTAGTGCAACGACAAACCTAGCCATTGTTGTGCTGTCTGTTATCTCTTTCTTATTTTTGAACAACTGATTTTAATTCTATTTTAGTTCATGAGAATCAATTATTGCAGTGATCTTTGTATATTTTAATATGTAAACCTATTAGGTATTTTTTGAAAAGAGAGTGTTCTTACTTTGTTATTACCAAATAAATACAATTTTTGTACTTACTAAAAATACATTTTTATTCTTTTTCAGTTTTTATTTGTTGCTCGATTTTAATATTCATAGTTTCTGGTCTTCCTCCATAAATGCTTGTATACTTGGTCACAGTTCCACCACGATATACCTTCCTCTTCCTTTTTATACTCTTTTCTTGTAGTGATTCTGGCAAAAGCCTGGAAATTTAATTCAATTTATGTTGCCTTATTCTCCAGATAGTAGAAAAGTCATCTTAAAATTATATAAACAAAGGGTCAAATGGTTTAACACTGAAGTTGATTTTTAAAAACACATTTAATCTCTTGCTAGATTCATCTATCATAGGTTTTGACAGTTATTAAAGGTTCTTCATAAACTGAACTTTAATATTCACACTGGTGATACAGTCATCTAGTGTATTCTTATGTAGTCAAGGCTCACAAGAATAACAATCACTTCTAGCTGTAAAAGTACTGAAAGAACCAGATTTTCTGTTTCTTTTTTAATACTTACACAGTAACTGGTGTTTCCATTTCATGGAATTGACAAATATGATCTATGAAGCTTTTAGACTGTTGAAATGTATTTAACAGTAATTTGTCACTAGATGTTTTTAACACATTCAGATCGAGTGGTTCTGTTACAAGATCACCTGGAACATGATTTAAGAATAATCATAGAGTTTTTAGATAGTTATGACATGGCTCAAAGATAAAATATGATTTATTTTTTAAGTGCAATGATAGATTTTGTTTACAGTCAAAAATGCAAATACAAATTACAATTGCTACAAAGTCCACATACCTACCTCTTGAAATAACCCCTTTTTCTAATCTATATTCCTCTAATTCACGATCCTTTTTACTGATTATACTGCACAGAACTTTTTGTTGAGTTTCCAAATAATTAATTGTTTGGATCATAGGGATAGTTATTAATTCCTTGAACTGCAATAATTTAAATCTAATAACATAATAAGACACATTAAATAGAGACAAACAAACATAACTTAGTTGAATGATGGCATTCAGAAAGTAGATATTATTAATAAAAATAACAGCATCTATTGTTAAACAGAATATTATAATTCGATTTACTGGACCAAAAAACAAAAATTAGCAAAACAAGTAAATGAAAACCAATGATACAAAGGTGCTAAATTCAATGAAATACAGAAAGATAAAAAGTGTATGTTGCATACAGTTATTTGAGATGTTGCCTTGGGACCTTGATATCAGGTAGAGAGCACAAAAAAATGTCACAATAATTGCATATGCTATTGTAGTTCATGCACATGACTCTTATCAATATTCATAAATATGAGTATGTGAATAGTCTGGATCAGGAAGTATATCTCGAATATGGTCATAGAGAGCAGTAGCAAATGAATCTCATAGTTTTCACTGTCGATTGAGTTTTTCTAACTTATACTTAAAATAACTGATATTTAATAAACTATTTGCAGCAATTTGCATGCTGTAAGTAATAGCATTAAAGACAAAACATCTACAAAACAAAGCAGTTAAATATTGAGGCGTAGTGAAGGCCACTTTACCTCCAATGTTTACAGAATGCGCTGAAGGGCAGGTTGAAAAATTAACACATAAGGAGTCGTAAGAGTAGATGTCATTTAAGAGTTTATGAGTGAATGTGACCAAATCAAGATATCTTCTATTTTCCATAATAATGGTATCTCTTGTGTGGTCATACCTTAAATCCTTCACAAATACACCCTTGTGATTTGATATTTTGCTCATGAATACATCAACTATACATAGCAAACTCTATCAAGTTACCTTTTCATCCTCTGTTAGGATAAGTTCAAACTCTAGCTTCACAGGCACCTTATATTCAATATTTTGAGATAAAAATGAGCTAACTTTCATTTCCAGAACTCTATTGCTATTTATTATGGTTGTGTCTGTGTTTTCTTGGTCTATCATATCCAAGATCTGTATCACTTGAGATGCTACATCTTCTACTTCTATGGAAGGGTTTAGCTTCTAAAATATTCAAATTTTAATAATTTTCGAGTTTATATAAGAACTTGTCTACCTCAAACATCTCGGATAAAGATTCTTTTGTAAAATTACCAATCCACAACAATTTCAAATTTGATAAAAATATTTCAATCGTGTTCTGATTATTCCAGTATTTTATTAAATAAGCACTGTCTTCGGTTGCAAAAGGTTTCCACATTATCACAGAAATACAAAAACAATATTTTATGCAAAATATCACATATAAAACAATTTTTGGAAGATTTGTTTTTTGAAAAATGAGGTTATGATTATCATTATCAAATGTCATGTTGACGTTGTCACCTGAGATAGAAGTTCAAAGCGCTGTTGCCAATTTAACGATAAATTGGTAATCAGACTACAGTCTGGTACCGAAACGGAAGAGCAAGTAGCAAGTCACGTGGTACGTCACGTCAACAGGTGTGTCTTTGAGTATAACAGGATCCAGTAGCGCACGTTTTGTTACGCTGGTCTCTTTTTTTGGTATCCGAGTATATTTCGTCTTAAAATGCAGCCCAAGGGGACAGAAATATTATAACCTAGTGATTGTTTGGCAGTAAAATTATTTTCATGATGACAACTACGACTGAGGTTGATTTGTTTTAACAAAACACATTTGGTCACTATTTATTTTTCATATCGAAAGTAAACACAAATACTGACTGAATTCAACGTAAATTGATAAGCTCTGTTTCAAAATTTTAACTTGCTTGGCCTCTATTTCAATATGTACCGCAGCAAGCAACGCTCGTAAACTATGACTAACAGAGTATTTGTGGTTATTTAAATTTTGAATTCCAAACTGACAATGCCATTTTGATACTGAACCGATTTGTCCAACAAAGTAAAGGAATGAATTTTTGAGTCTCGTGCATCACGGGTACTAGGTATAAAACGACAAAATGACATCTTACAGACTAGGTAGCTTTTAGGGTGCAAATAGTTCATTCCACGTCTGCTCGCTATCAGCGTCCATCTATGAAGGAATGACCCAACGACACGCATGGGAAGAAAGTTGGTTGAGTAGCAAGATCGCATCTGGATGATTATGTGTATTGGTCTGCATGTGTATAAAATCAGTGATATTTACTATGAGAAAAAATTATTACTACATATTTTCCCGTTTTATGTGTTTTCAAAACCTTTGACGAGCATTACAGGAAAGCGCCACCACGCCCGCGTTGTATGCAATTAAGGCGCGTCACAGAAAAATTAGCAATGACGCATCACACATCATTTTCGCAGTGCGTCACATCTAGGCGCTGATTTGTGTTTTCTATTGACATGCAAAATAAATTTCTATAAAATTTAAATGACTGGAAATAAAAAATAATGTAATAACCTTTTCACTTTCATAAATATTCCTATCAGAGGTATATTTTCTCACCTATTTCTTCACCAACCAGGGATTTGCATATGTAATGTCCAGAATGAATAAGAAAAAGTGGATGCGCAACTAATTTCTAGCTTTGAATCTCGAATAAGTGTATTTGAGACAGCAAACCAGTGGAATTGTCATCAACACATATTATTAGCACACAAATCCTCCCTATGCACTGCCATTTCTTTCCATATATAGTATACAACATACACCTCAAATAATGCAGATGTTACATCACATCCAAGCCAAACATTGATAACTGAAGCATCATGAAGTTTAGGCAACACGTACAACTACAAAACGAATTCACAATAAGTGTCCATCCGCTAGTGCTAACTTAACTTCTTGTAGAAAAACCTACGTTATGTCGAAAAAACGTCACAAAATGTCACTTTTCAAGATACGTAATACCCGTGCCGTAACGTATTTATATAGTGGGGCACATCAGTTCAGAACATAACTAGGCAACATCATGTCATCACTAATTTGTTTGGAGGACATTAATTATTGAAAATATAATTGATTGGATTATTCAGATTTATTTATGATACGTATATAAATATTCTAAGATTTAGTAACTTTGGTAGAAAGACGTCAATATCCACAAGTTCGGCAACACTGCTCTGAAATTAGTGTACGCAATCGAATTTGCGCCCTGTGCACGACTGCTTGCATATATCATGTTCTCATACATGGTGTCCAAAATTCATTCCCCAAAATCCCAAATGTAAACGATTATTTTTTTATTAACCTACACACTAATCATTTGGGAATATGTTTGTCGCAATATGCAGAAGAGGAGGGTCTTCAAATAATCCAACATCGCATTTGAAACGAGCACTAATTCACAACAAAATATGTAGACGATGTCTTATTTTAAATATTTTCTCAGAAAAAGTAAAGTCGTGCTTAGATTTTTTGTACGAATTTGATGAAAATTTTTCTCCAAAACATGAGCAATATGATGTTAATCGCTAAACTTTACACTTGCAAAACATACACATTTATCACATGTGGACACATTCATCAAACATAAGTGCTGCTAGTTTCCTGTTTGCACTAGTGAATCATAAAATGTTTGCTTGATCAAGTGCTAACTTCATCAGATATTTCTTATGATCTCCTGTTCGCAGCTTGCCACCAATGGGTTATGATGTTCTGATTCACGTCAGTCACCATAGCAATAAGAGGTTTGAAGCCACAACTTCATATCTTCAAACAAGCACATCTGCCAGTGAAACGTGGCATTTTTTAGTTCAGTAATAACTAGTACATATATATATATAACTTGAGACGTGGTTTATACTTTTTTTAATTCTCTCTAGCTTTCATCATCAGGAGCTGCAATTACATATGTCTTGTCATATTTTATATAATTTTGACCATTGTACCATGTATCAATTAGCAACATCCTCACATACTACTGTAAGTTAAGTCAATTTAAATTCATTTTACTCTTTTGTTGCTACTGTTATCATTGTAATTGCAGCTCCTGATGATGATGGCAAAGTCCATTGAAAGCTAGAGAGAATTAAAAAAAGTATAAAGAGTCCTCTTTGCTTAAATTTTGTCGAAGTACCCAACAAAAGGCGGAAGTTTTAATTTTTCACCTATATATATATTATACTAAGTGACATATAAATCCGAACACCCAGTTTAAATGGTTTTATTTTAATAAAAGTTGGTGAATGTATTTATCTTACTGTAAATAACAAGTGAAAAAATTTTCAACCTTATCAGTTGGACATTCCGGTTTTTATACTGCTTTTTTTTTAATTCACTAACGCTCTAAAAATGAATATTTCAGCCGCAGTAAAGAATCAACGTTGGCGGATTTTGGTTCTTGAGATCCTTTACGATTGGTTACGATGCCTAGAGTACGGAGACCTGTACGATTTCGTCAACTTAGTGAGTTTGATAGGGGCCGTATAGTGGGACTTCGAGAAGCTGGACTTTCTTTTCGGGCAATTGCAGTTAGAGTGCAAAGAAGTGTAGACACTGTGGTTAGGTGTTGACAGGCATGGCTTCGAGAAGGCCGTACGCAAAGAGCAAGGGGCACTGGACGCCGCCGTAGAACAACAGACCGTGAAGATCGCCGCCTAAGATTATTGGCCTTAAGGGACCGTTTCTCCACTACCAGGTCCATTGCAAATGAATGGTTTGCAGAACACGGAAGACCTATTGGCATGCGAAGTGTTTACCGACGAATGAGAAGTTTTGGCTTGTTTTCATACCGGCCACACTGGGTCCTCCCTTTAAATCGCCTCGAGTGGTGCAGACAGTGGTCACTCTGGGATCAGGAATGGAACAGTATTGTCTTTAGTGACGAGTCTCGATTTTGTTTAGGCATGCACGATGGTCGTGCCAGGGTTAGAAGGCGACGTGGTGAAAGGAGGAATCCACAGTTTTTGTTGAAAGACATGTTCATCACACTGTTGGAGTTATGGTTTGGGGTGCTATAGCTTATGGTTCCAGGTCACCTTTAATCTTCATCGGAGGTAACATGAACGCGCAGCGTTATATCCACGAAGTTCTAGATCCCCATCTTGACACCCTGGCAGATCCAACTTTCCAACAAGATAATGCCCGACCACATGTTGCAAGAGTCACAATAGACTTCTTTCAACATAATGATGTCACATTGTTACCATGGCCACCAAGATCTCCCGACTTATCCCCAATTGAGCACGTGTGGGATATGATGGGTAGGAGATTGCTCAATTTGCAACGTCCTCCTCAGACTCTAGAAGCACTTCGAGAGGAGTTGGTGGTTGCCTGGAATGAGATACCACAGGAGGACATTGACCACCTGATGAGAAGCTTGCCTAGGCGCGTTGGAGAATGCGTAGCACATCAGGGTGCATCCACACATTATTAAAGGTCAAAGGGCTTTAAAGCAGTCCAATCATTTTGAAATTTTTATCATTTACTTATTATGCTTCATTAAGTACTTATACAAAATTTTATTAAAATAAAACCATTTAAACTGGGTGTTCGGATTTATATGTCACTTAGTATATATACATATATTATAAAATCACCTCATAAACACTGCAAAAGGTAATCAAACTGCCTTATTTTTTAATCTGAACAAACTTGCTTTGCAAGTTAATGCCGTAATCATGTAACTGCAAAATTTCCAAGTGCATATTTGGTTATATTATAAATTGGTTAACTGAATTTTGACTTTTACCTGCAAGGTGATATCGAATTGTTAAAAATACACTTTCTACTGTGACATGTCCAATTTATTAAAGTATATACATTTAAAAATATAGAGGACATTTACATTTTTATATTATAAATAAAAATTGCTGTAATGAAAAATGAAAGTTTTAGTCTTAATACAATAACTTTAAACATTTACAAAAACTCTTCACACCAGTCATTTAAACACTGCCAGCAATCCATTGATTGTTTCGAATTGGCAGAACAGGTGTCCTTCATCCATTCTTTGAAAAGCTCTTGGTTCTTCTTTAAAACCAAGAATTGTCCAAGGACCACATATGCCTGAAAAAGATATTTATTCACTTTCTTTTATTCCCGTATTCAAAACACAAATTTCATTATAAATGATGTTTGTACAAAATATGACTAGAATAGCATGTACAAAATAAACAAAATATGTTCAACTCAGCACATTTTCTGAATTTGGTCCTTTACTAACAGCAATAGCCAACCAGATACTATATTCCTGCATCCAAAAAATTGACTGACTATAGTTGGTTTACAGCACCATCCAAGACATATTAATCTTTTCAAAGTGAATTTCTAATTGGTGAAGAGATGAGAAACATAGTTGTAACAAATCCTCATAGTATTCCATTTCTGACAATTTTTTTAATGCTGGAATATGATATTATCTTGTCTGCACATTAATCAGTGCTAATAGTCCACACAATCTGACACAAGTTATAGCAACATTTGGCTGGAAATTATAAGGAGACAATAAAATTGGTGAATGTCATTGATTGAAAATGGCCAACCTCTAAAAGTTTTTATGGGCTCTTTGGTGTGGAGTATTCTGGAGTACAACACAGTCATATAGTCACCAAACTTAATTGGTGACATTAATTTCATTGAAGCAGTGCAAGGTAAATTTTTAAAAGCAGCTATTAAAATGGGTCAGAGTCAGAATGCTTCAGAACCAATGACTATGTCGCACATAGACTCCTTGATACACTGCTGGAAAATTTTTGATTCACGTTTTCTGTTCAAAATAGTTAACAGTGTCACAGAATGCCCAGAGGTGCTTGCACAAATAAACTTTAATGTTAATGAAATATCAACTTGCAATACAGAACTGTTTACATCATTCTTGCAATTATAGTATGAATTAACCAGTTCCTAGAATTCTTAGATCTGGCAATGATGCTGTAAGCTACAATAGAGATGTTTTCAGTAGCTATATTTATTACATAAATAAGCACATTAAAATGTTTCTATTTAACCTGAGTTTATTAGATTTTAATTTGCTAGGTTGGGTATCACATGAATCTTTAGTTCAATATCTTATCAAAAGATATTGTAATCTGTCACATAAGTTTAATGGTTATTTGTGTACGTAAGGGGAATCATAAAATAAATAAAGAATAATTGCACTTCCAGAACATTATGCACGATAAAATGAGGTATCATAGTGGCAATTTTTCATTCACTTGATAAAGAAACTCAATACATTTCAAATGAAAGTATTTTCAAATTTATTTGTTGCAATTTTATTGAAAAAATAGCACTCTACCTTTTAAAATCAGTTCTACAGATCAGGAGGGTTCTACAGTTACCAGTGAGTGCTTATTCTATTAATGAACTTTATAACTTTACATATTTTTGACAGTATAAATCAATGTGAACACTATTTTTGATAAACAAAATATTTTTTTCCAATATACAGTATCTTAATAGAATAAGCACCGACTGAGAACTGATGACCATCTAGAGCTGTATAGTAGAATATTTTTAATGAATATGCTTTTTTTAGTAAGGAAAATGTACATATATTTTCATTTGAAAACTGTTTTTCTTTTTTAGTGTTTCATAAGTAACTTATGGTCTAAAAATAGCCGTCTTGCATGCTGTTACCAATAAGAATATGTATATGAAAAAAAAGAATAAGAATTGAAATTTATGCTTATTTTCCACTAATAACAAATAGATGCGGGACTTTTTTCCTGGCATGACACACAAGTCTTTATAATTACTCATCTGTTGCCGAGTTTAGGCAACCTAGAGCAGCTCAGTAAGATACTATTTCTACGATTTTTATACGAACTTGCGTCATAGGTGCGAAACATAAAATACATGTTTCTTAAATAATGTTTTTAGATAAAAAAACGAAACTTACTTTATCAAATCCAGCAGCTATTAAACGTTCACCTAGAACTCCTCCGATCCCCGCCAAATCTGTAACAGGTTTCTCGCCCATTGGCTCAGCTACAAAGTTCCTGTGTTTCTGGGATGTACTCGACATTGTGCTTGCGTATTATCAGAACTTTATTCTTGAAAAATCTGATTTTCGTATGAACACAATCCAAACTTTGAAAAACAAAAAACTTTCAAACTAACCTCTAACATCAAGCTATCAGCATCAAGCCACATTAAGCACAAAACGACAAAACAGAAAACATACACGCAGTGTTGCCAGATCCAACATTGAAAATTCCCCTACTGGTTTCGAAAAACTCCCCTACTTTCCGCTACATAGGGGATTATCGTCGGGGGGTGGGGGGTTTGAGGCACTATCATAAAACAGGGGGGCATTTATTATACAGGTTGTCTCAAAAAAGAAAAACAAAAACCAAACAGCGTGATAAAATATAACATAAAACTGTAATCAAAAAACATTTGACTATAAAAACCAATACATAGGTATTACAATCTGTCAAACAACAGAACATCTATCAAGCAGTCATATTAAAAAAAACACAGGAAACTCAAAAATAAAAAGCATATGATTAAAGGCCATTTCTGTTTTGCATAAAAAATGAAGTTTTTTGCGCCACTGCCTGTATCAGATTCTTCTTGTTGCATTTCTATACTATATAAATTATTTTTGTATTTTTTTAAATGTTTTCTCCAAACTCGAAGCCTAAGCAGCAACATTTTTTTATTACATCCAGTTTGATACGTATCGCGAACAAAGTTCAAGGTAAAATACGATTCCTTTTCTTTGTTTTGATTATCTCTATATATGAGAAGGTCCACTCGACATCTGCATTACCATGTTGCAAATGTTAAAATTATTAGATATACTTTGGAAATACACTTCACAGGTTGTGTACTTACCACCTACTATCATCTATAGGCGTCTTCGTTGAATAAGAATTACCGACCGGTGGTTACCACTGTCATTTGTAAAGATACCTGTGTTTAGATTTGGTTACTAACTGCACTCATTTTTTTTTTCTGGTAAAAATATCCATCATGTGTACCTAAATTGCAAAATTCCGCTACTTTTAACAAAAAATTCAATTCCGCCGCTACCACTTGAAAATTCCGCTACGAGTAGCGGAATTCAGCTACTGCTGGCAACACTGATTACACCAAAAACATGAGATGGAAAAGCAAACTATATAGAACTGGACAGTCAATGCACTTCTTGCCAAAAAAAATATGGTTTTCGTCCAATCTCTTGCGTCTGGCTGCACAAATGTGATTGGTTAAGGAACAAAAAACTGACTGCTCAGCCTTGATAGATTCCAAGTGGTTGGTCAAATTGTAAAATTTCAAATTTCCATCGCATGTCACGTTGGCTCCTTCTGGATGCGTGTAGTGTGGTGTGGTTATCCTCACGGTTGTCAGGTGGCTGACAGTTCCTCAGTTGTCATTTCTGAATTTCCATTTTGTACGATAGAGCTGCAACTTTTCGTTCCAGAATTTTGTGGAGAAACAATAAAATCTTGGGAAAATTCGATGAGGAAATCATCTGTATAACGCATCAGTTTTATCTGGACGGAGCCGCAAGCAACAATAGCAAGAATGTCCTTAAATACTGCGCAATTGAATGGTGGAGTGCTGATTCATAATGGGGAACAGTATGTTTTGATTACACATTTAACAACTTTCTCCTAATTAATGCTTCTAATCTTTCAGGATTCTTCTCTTCTCCGAAGACGTCAGCTTAGAATGGTCAGGACAGGAAGGAGGTGCCTTCAAAGGCACCAAGAAGGGTAGCATATACCTGACAACGCATCGGGTTATATTTCTCAACAAAACTACTTCAGATGAACTGCAAAGCTTCAGCTTTCCTTTTGTTACACTCAGTGAGGTAAGTGGCAAAAACATTCTCACATTAAATTGCATTTTGCTGTTGATCAACATTCCCTTTCTGCATGCCAGTTAGAATTAATAGGTATACCACTTCGAGGAAATCAAGTGTTATCTAAAAGTGGACTTTTTTATATTTATAAGGATGTGCATGCTCAATGTGTTGTCATTATTTATCATTGTGCTTTTATTTAACTCTGACACATTTTAATATTTGTAGGTTGAATCACATTTATTTATAACTAGTTTTTATTTCCATTACAGGGTTGATAAAAATGTTTTTTTTTATATTTATTATAAATATGACTGATTCACAATAAATGGAAGGTTTTGACTTTATCAAAACTATTATTTTTTGCATTCAATGCAAATTACTTAATATTTATAATTCATTTTTTATGGTTTAAAGCAAATAATTTAAATCACTCAACCTTGGTACATTATTCATGAATCTCTGTTTTGAACAAATAAGATGCAACTTTATGATGTTTAGTTTACTTATCAACAAAAACCACCAAAATCAGTTGCATGTATTTGATTCATAAGTTTTTTCATGATTAGTTTTAATGCATGACTGTGACAATATTCCTAGAGCAGAAAGGATATTGAAGGATAACAAGATTCCATAAACACATTATTGTACGAGGGATGTCTTTTAAGTTTTGCATATAGAAACATAGTAGGCCTCGCGAATCGAACGTCAGTACTGAATCTTAACTTCACTCTTTAGTAAACTTAAATTCAAAGTTTCACAACAAGTATCGCAACAAGAATGCCTTGCTGAGTTACTGTTTTCGGCAACGAAGCGCTACATCAATCTACAATTTCCCGTTGGTATGGAGAATTCAAACGTGGACAGGTGAGTCTTAGCGATGATCCCAGGGTGGGTGTACCAAAAATGGCAGTCATCCAGGAAAACGTCGATGCTGTGCGCAAACTCATCATTGAAGATAGACATGTGACATATCGCGAGATTGAGGCGTCCTTGAAGATCTGAAAGACCTCAATTCAAAAAATTTTACATGAAGAATTAGGAGTAAGAAAATTAGTTTCTCGTTGGATACCCCACCTGTTGACTGAAGAGCAGAAAGCAGCTAGGGTTAATTGGTGTCAAAAAATGCTTGACCGTTTCAATTCCGGAAACTCAAAAAATGTGTACAGCTTTGTTAGTGGTGATTAATCGTGGATTTACTGTTATGAACCAGAAAATAAACGAAAGTCGGCTGTTTGGTTGTTCCAAGGTGAAGAAAAGCCAACAAAAATTATCCATTCTCGAAGTGTTTCTGTTAATGAGCAACGAACTGTTACTGCAGATTGGTATACCACCATTTGTTTGCCAAAAGTCATCACCGAGCTTCGAAAGATCAACCCCGAAATAAGAATCATCCTCCACCAAGACAAAGCAAGCTCGCACACAGCCCAAAAAACAAGGCAGTTTTTAACGGAAGAAAACGTGGAATTATTAGACCATCCTCCGTATAGTCCCGATCTAAGTCCTAACGATTTCTTTACTTTCCCGAAAATTAAAAACAGACTGCGTGGTCAAAGGTTCCAGTCACGAGAAGAAGCAGTTGACGCACTCAAAAATGCAAGTGGAATAAGTGCTCCAAAATTGGTTCGAGCACCTGCAGATGTGGAGAATACTTCGAAAAACAGTCATTTAAAACTAACTACCGTGTTGTTTTATTTCCATAAGCAAAACTTAAAGACATTCCTCATATTATTTTTTTTTAAGGCACATGTTTATGGGAACTTTTTGTATTTTTCCCCTAAAAAAATTGCAACTATTTTTTTAATCACTTTGTGTTTTTCTTATTATACATAGTTTCAGAATTTTGAATAATTCGGAACCTATAAAGGGGGCGATTGATTCAAAAACAAACAGTATTTTTTTGTTCATACTGAATACAAGACTTATTATGTGATTTCATATTTCTCTTCTGAATTAACTGATTATTTTTGATTGAATAGGTAGAGATAGAGCAACCTGTTTTTGGAGCAAACTATATCAAAGGAAAAGTACGAGCACAACCAAATGGTAACTGGGTTGGAGAAGCGAAGTTCAAGCTGACTTTTAAAAGTGGTGGGGCTATAGAATTTGGACAGTCTATGCTGAAAGCTGCTCATCTTGGTATGTATTTTGGGAAATTACATGTTTACTTATGGAGCCTATAATTGCATACATTGTATTTTTTTCTTTGAATTAGTTGCTTTGATGCTGCTGAAGATATTGAACAAAATGTTACATACTATTTTGAAGCATTAAACTCTTCAACAGGCTATGCTAAAGCTTATGACAGTAACTTTCTTTTAATAGTCTTCCATTTTTAATCAATTTTACAATACATAGTTTATATTTTTATTATTTAGACATACAGTAATGGACAAAAGTATATAGACAAATATGAATATTTACCTAAATACCTTTAGAAAACGAATTCATACTTCATTGCTCCATAAACAAATGCGTTAGTAGTAGAAAAACACTAATTCCTTGTTTTATTATCTATTATCTGCAATGAACACAATACAAGTCTGATTATAAGCACTTTTCTATGAGGGACAAAAATATGTAGACCAATTCTTTTCAACATTAGTTTAGTACAGTTTCGTGTCAGAAGAGGATTAGTTAAGACCATGTCGCGTGGTCCAGAAATTTCTTTCGATGTGAAAACTAAGATCATTGAGTTATACAAAGATGGTCAACATCAAGTCGACATTGCCAAAAATTTGAAGCTGAAGAGTAAAGCAGTTTGGGAAATATTGAACAAATATAAACAAAAAATGTATCTTGGAGCCTCTAAGAGAAGTAGTCGGCCTAGAAAAGTAAATGCTAGATCAGTTAGATTAATAAAAGTAATTTCGTCCAAAGATCCATTTAAAACCCCAAGACAAATAAAAGCTGAAATGGAGACAAAAGGAATTGTCAGTGTTTCTACGAAAACTGTAAGTAGAAGATTAAATGATTTAAAGTTATTTGCACGTCGCCCAAGTAAGAAGCCGCTAATCTCGAGGAAAAACCGTAAGGACCGATTACAATTTGCACGGTTGCATCTTGATTGGAGCATCTGTGACTGGAAGAGGGTATGTTTCAGTGACGAATCCAAGTTCAATATGTTTGGATCAGATGGTGTTCATTACGTTAGACGTCCTAGTGGACAAAGATTGAACCAAAAGTACACTTTGCCGTCTGTCAAACATGGAGCCGAGTCTGTGATGGTTTGGCGGTGCTTTTCGGGGTTTGGGATGGGACCTTTACATAGAATAGATGGCATTATGGATAAGTTTGTATACACAAACATACTAAAGCATGTCATGTTACCCTATGTGGAAGACAATATGCCCATAAGATCAATCTTCCAGCAAGATAATGACCCAAAGCACACTTCAAATCTCGCAAAGAAATTCTTTCTGGATGAAAAAATATCAGTTCTCAAATGGCCTTCACAGTCTCCCAATATAAACCCCATTGAAAATATGTGGGAATACTTAGATAAGCAAATTATGACAAATTATGTATACAGGTTGGTGTATTAATAAAACAAGTTAAAAAAGAAATACAGCACAATATTAATTTATCTATATACTTTTGTCCATTACTGTATGTTGAGCATCTTTTATTATGTACTGGCATACTCTTGAGTCTTGTATTTAAGAGAAATTTGAACTTAATGGTCTTTACATCTCTTTCCTTGTTATTAGAACATTTTAGCAACAAAATGGGGATTGAATCAGTATCACACTTAAATAATTGAGTTTTTGAATAATAAGCATATTCCAATACTCAACAGTTGTACAAGAACAAGATTCTGTAGTAAAAATTGATATGGTACCTAAATATATCATCGCTTAACATTGTGTAGAGTGAATGCCTAACAACTACTTACTTTTCACAGCATTGAACCTTGATATATCAGGAGATGGTATGTATTGTAGAATTGTGTTTAGGAGCAAATAATAGCTATGTACTGAATATAATTTTTTTATTACAGCCACTAGAGGGGGAATGCAAGCGCCACCTCCACCATATGTTCCTCCACAGAACCAGTGGTATGCTGCACCACCTCCAGCTTATGCACCACCTCCTCAAGGTAATCATTGGATCATTACTATATCTTGAATGTTTGTTTTTTTGGTGTAGATATTCCTGAACAGAAAATTGACTGCCAGTAAATCATTTCATATAATTTTTTTTTCAAACCTGGCCAGTCTAGAATGGCATTCAGGCAACTGGCTCACTTTAAAGACTTACAATGTTGAAGAATTTTTATAGTAAATGGAAGTCTGATAGGAGGTTTAAAAGAATTCTAGGATAAGCGCACTCTAACTCTGTGCATAGTAGGAATTGTAAAAACATTTTAACATTAACATATTCTACCTGAAAATAGCCAATCGTATTTCGGCGTCCAAAATGGTTCTGAAAGATATTAGGGGCAAAATTGTTTTGGACATGGTTTCTACAATGAAAATATTGCCACGGTTTTCTGAATCACGGGGTGTCCTGAAAGTGGGAACTTTTCAGAAACAACTATGTTTGAAATAAAGCTAACATGTGGTGAAATAATAAATTAAAGTAAAAAAGAAAAATTAAAAACTAGTCACTGTTTATTTGCAGTGAAATTTCAAGTACGGCTCTGTCTTTATATAAGTATTGCTCACCATTGCTAAAATGTTTCGTAGAAAGACTAGGCATTGTTGAAAATGTAACCGACGGACTACGTCAGGATTTTCCAATGACCACAAATTAATATTTCTGAAGTTATTCACCCCATTACGGATGAGGGTTGATTTGTCGGTAACTAATATGCGTTGCAACAACCACTCACAAAAGCACACTCTCGCAGGAAAATCCTCAGTTTGTATAAAAGGGTATAATCTATCATCACTTCAGTCTTGCTCTTATCTAGCCACTTCCCTAGTGCTTGTTGAAGGATTTTCTTCTATAAATAAATGTTTTGTTTACCTACGCTGCCGGTTTTTATTTTGTTACTCAAAAACGGCGCATCGAAGGAAAACAATTCAAGAGAGATCATCTGTTTTAAATTGAACGGGGAGTTCAAAAATAATTTTTATTTGGCAAAAACCATTGGCGTTCAATTTTTTTCTTAAAAAATATCGAAGTCAATACCCGTACGTACGCAACTGTTAAAGCTAAAAATTATTTTTGCATTGAAAAATATGCAACTTTATTAACTTTCACTACGTACTAAATATCAGTGAAATATCTGAAGCGGTTCTGAAAATATTAATTAATTTCCATTTTTTTCCTAAAACTTCAACACCCTGTGGAAACATTTTTGGACCATAGTTTATAAAGTAAATTAATTTCTCATCTAGATTCACACTCTTAAATATTCACATATCATTAAGGAGCAACCTGTAAATAAAACTACCGTGATCGCAACATACACCATACTGTGATATCAGCGATAACTATTGTTTCTGTATCCGTTCCAGGTTACTATGGCTGGGTGCCCCCGACCAATGTATTTCCATCATCTCCACCAGCTGGTGCAGTCTTCATGACTGACAACCCACCTCCGTACCCGGGTATAGTTCCTGGATATCAGGGGGGTCCTCCTGGATACCCAGCGCAGGCTCCTCCCGGGTATCCTGGACCACCCGGTTACCCTGGACAACCGGGACCTACCACAAACAACTTTCAGCAGGGAGCGCATGGAAACACGAGTGCTGCAGGTTGGTATCACTGATCATGGGATTTGGCATTGTAGTTGGAAGAATATGGGGTATTTTCCATCAAGAGAAAAATATTATCCGTAGTAATAAAATTTTTGGAAAATATCCTATTGAAGATTTGAGAATTATTTTGCATGCATTTTTCTTTTTTTTAGATGCTAAGGCAGCTGAAGCAGCACAATCAGCTTACTATGACCCGAATCGGCCACAAATGGCTTATGTACCACCACCAGCATACTATGTGAGTTTTATATAATACTTTATTTCCTATATAGTTTGATACGCATACTGTTGGCAGATCAGTTACCTACACTGGACAAAATTAGTTGTTTATGAAGAATTCAGCAGACATTTTGCAGGGTAGTTCAGAAGAAGTGTTAAAATCTTATTAGATGTTTGTTTCACTACGATAGAATTTATGAGCTGAAAAAGCATAGCATAACATTTTTTAGTGTCCATTTCCCAAAATTGAAGAAAATTTTCTCTTGGATACCCATAATTATGTCCTGAAATATTTTTGCAATGTTACCATATGAGCTACAGACAAAGGTACAGATACAAATTTTCCGCACAAATTTGGCTTAATGCCGAATCTATAGTCCATTTCATACTATGAAAACCAAAGTAATAATATGGTGCTGTTTAGAAGTTACAGATTTACAAAAAGAAGCCATATTGAATTTTGCTTTGCTGCCTGAACGCCGAACCAAATTTGTCTGACAGCTTCAGTTCAACGTGTATGCGAGAAGTGTGTGTCAACACCAGAAAATATTGCCACAGGCACAATAAGGTTACTGTCAAACCTAAGAAGGAGGTCTGTTTGAACGTTTAATTTAATATACTAAGTGACATATAAATCCGAACACCCAGTTTAAATGGTTTTATTTTAATAAATTTTGTATAAGTACTTAATGAAGCATAATAAGTAAATGATAAATTCAAAATGATTGCACTGCTTTAAAGCCCTTTGACCTTTAATAATGTGTGGATGCACCCTGATGTGCTAGGCATTCTCCAACGCGCCTAGGCATGCTTCTGATCAGGTGGTCAATGTCCTCCTGTGGAGGACGTTGCAAATTGAGCAATCTCCTACCCATCATATACCACACGTGCTCAATTGGCGATAAGTCGGGAGATCTTGGTGGCCATGGTAACAATGTGACATCATTATGTTGAAAGAAGTCTATTGTGACTCTTGCAACATGTGGTCGGGCATTATCTTGTTGGAAAGTTGGATCTGCCAGGGTGTCAAGATAGGGTAAAAGATGGGGTTCTAGAACTTCGTGGATATAACACTGCGCGTTCATGTTACCTCTGATGAAGATTAATAAAGGTGACCTGGAACCATAAGCTATAGCACCCCAAACCATAACTCCAACAGTGTGATGAACATGTCTTTCAACAAAAAACTGTGGATTCCTCCTTTCACCACGTCGCCTTCTAACCCTGGCACGACCATCGTGCATTCCTAAACAAAATCGAGACTCGTCACTAAAGACAATACTGTTCCATTCCTGATCCCAGAGTGACCGTTGTCTGCACCACTCAAGGCGATTACGTCGGTGTTCTCGAGTTAAATGGAGGATCCAGTGTGGCCGGTATGAAAACAAGCCAAAACTTCTCATTCGTCGGTAAACTCTTCGCATGCCAATAGGTCTTCCGTGTTCTGCAAACCATTCATTTGCAATGGACCTGGTAGTGGAGAAACGGTCTCTTTAGGCCAATAATCTTAGGCGGCGATCTTCACGGTCTGTTGTTCTACGGCGGCGTCCAGTGCCCCTTGCTCTTTGCGTACGGCCTTCTCGAAGCCATGCCTGACAACACCTAACCACAGTGTCTACACTTCTTTGCACTCTAACTGCAATTGCCCGAAAAGAAAGTCCCACTATACGACCCCTATCAAACTCACTAAGTTGACGAAATCGTACAGGTCTCCGTACTCTAGGCATCGTAACCGATCGTAAAGGATGTCAAGAACCAAAATCCGCCAACGTGGAATCTTTACTGCGGCTGAAATATTCATTTTTCGAGCGTTAGTGAATTAAAAAAAGCAGTATAAAAACCGGAATGTCCAACTGATAAGGCTGAAAATTTTTTCACTTGTTATTTACAGTAAGATAAATACATTCATCAACTTTTATTAAAATAAAACCATTTAAACTGGGTGTTCGGATTTATATGTCACTTAGTATATTTTGTTTTCATTTTGATTAGAATTATCCATTTCTTTCAATTTTGATGCATTTAGTGTTGAAATTTATCTTAGAATTATCATAATTTCCACCGATTGTGATAAAATCAACACATCCTGAGTTGTTGTATTTTGCGACAGCGAGCGGTCTGAAAATATAACAAATAGCATTACGCAATATAAATTATCTCTGCCTGCGTGTGCGCAGGTGGAAATCTATGATCATGGAGGTGGAAATCTTGCCTTGGAATGTACGAGATGCGGTGTTGCCAAGCGAACCAATGACGCAGTGTTGCTGAATTTGAGGCGACCTTGACTTTAAAATGAAGCGCCGTTAGGACCGATCCGGAATCGATCCTAGACGGATTCGACACAATTGACAATTCAGAAATGTGTACGCTCAAAATAAAACCATTATTTGGGCGTAGAAAATAAACTAAAGCATATTTTCAAGATGCATCGTAATTCAAGAAACTGCAGTAACACATTGACAACGCGGCAGATTACCGCGTCGGCGTTGCTATGAAACGCGTTGATGAGCTTCTCTATCCAGTCGGCTTCTATCTCTTTCTAACATATGTGTCTATACAGACTTCTCTCTGGTACACATTGAACTCACGCTGCCAGAAAATTTGGCTTTCAGTGTATATAGTGCCCCTATAATAGTGTATAAACTTCGTACATTATTCCGAAAGCATATATATATGACAATTTTATTTGCACTTCGTCGACCTATTCGTCTACAATACCATCATTTTCGCTTAGAATTCCAAAATAGACGTACAACGTTTTTTAAAAGAAATACATCTGCGCTGGATGTAGTATTTTCTTTGCCCCTGAGTATATACTTATACGACTATGAGTTTTGAAGTACTGGGTGCGTCATCTATTACTTTTTTTTACCTAGTTTATGTGTTACCATGTGAGTAAAAAGTGATGTGGTATGCATAAATGAACTGTCAAAGGTATGCCATTTATAGTCATGGATTCGTTTACAACACAACGCATTTTGGTTATCCAAACTTATTACGAAAACTGTCGAAATATAAAAAATACTTTTCGCAAACTTCGCACTAGTTTTGGCCGACATGGACGCCCTACAGAGCCTGGAATTCGTTGGATTGTTAATAGTTTTGAGGAAACTGGTTAAGCTGAAGGTCGTAGACCATACCAACATGCTCGTCCAGCTCGTACTCGCGAAAACATAGCCGCAGTGAGTGAAAGTGTGCGAGAAGATCCAACCACCTCGACTAGGCACCGCTCGCAACAATTTTGAATTAGTGAGACCACTTTACACCGGATTTTACACATTGATTTACACCTCCATCCATACAACATCCAACTAACACAATAATTGAAGCCGGCAGACCATCAACAGCGGCGTGTTTTTGTTAATTGGATGCTGGAAAGAGAAGGCGGATTTTCGGCCAAAGTGGTCATTTCTGATGGGGCTCATTTTCACCTCAATGGGTACGTAAATAAGCAAAATTGCAGATTCTGGGGGGCTGAAAATCCACACCAATATCAGGGACAACCTCTCCATCCTGAAAAAGTGATTGTTTGGTGTGGATTACGGGCTGGTGGCATCGTTCTTTGAAAATGCCGAAGAAAAGGCCATTACCGTCAACGAGGAACGTTATCGCGGCATGTTAACAGATTTTTTGTGGCCACAATTGGATCGTATTGGTGCCGACGATCTTTGGTTTCATCAAAACGGAGCAACGGCTCACACATCTCGCCAAACAATCGTTTTATTGCACACGAAATTTCAAGACCGCATAATTTCACGAAATTCAGATGTCAGTTGGCCAACGAGATTGTGCGATTTAACACCTCTTGACTATTTTCTTTGGAGATTTTTTAAAGGAAAAGTGTATGCGAATAGTCTCCGGACAATTCAAGACCTAAAGCGCAATATTCGGACTGAAATTGCGGCCATAGACCCGATTATTCTGGGAAGAGACATTGAAAATTTTGATGTTCGGATGTTGGCCTGTAAACGAAGCCGCGGTGGTCACATGACTGATGTTATTTTTCATACATAAATGGCATCCTTCATTTATGAATAAAAAAATCGATTTCACCTCGTAAAAAGCGTGTTGATTTTTCAAACAGAAAAAAGTAATAGATGACTGTATATTCTAGAAATACTAAATGCAAAAGTAGTTTTATTTCGGCAAAACAGGTTGAGAAGGGTGATGTTTAAATAATTTTACTTATTTGCAGGAGAATCCTCCCAGCTATAACCAGGCGACTCACAAGAAAGATCAGTAATACCTGCTTTTCTATGACACACGGTTTTGCTTGTAGCTTTGTTTTATCATAGTAAGATATCTACATATATTGTTATCATTCCTTATATGGTTACTAAAAGTATTATATGATTTATAGTAGAATCTTTTTGTTGTACTATTACGATATTAAATGTATATTATATTGCTTAATAAACTTGTTACATATTCACAAATCTTGGGTTTGATTCCCCATCGAGCTTGTATAAAGATTAGTTGATTAAATACGTCAAAACAATACAACTTTTCAAGTGTTGTGATCAAAGAACTCCGTGATGTGACAAAAGATGACCAATAGGAGAAATTGGCGAGTTTATGAGGGAAAATCGCTGTTAGTACATTATTTGTTCTGTTTAACTTTCATTCATATACTGAAATTTTATCCAGTACTGGGATCAGGTAATTTTTCCTCCTGTGAGGTTTGAGTGAAACATGATTTTATGCCTGCTTCACAACATTTATTTAGGAAACCATCATAGGGTATACATTAGGTGCATAAGCTTTTATAAATCATTGTTCCTGTGGGTAGTCCCACGGACTATTTTGTTTCTGGGTCCATGAGTTTGGTATGTCGAAAGGATTAATGCTATCCTGCTGCTGTTTGTCCTAAAAAAAAAACTCGAATTTTAACCCAATGAAACTTGGAACGAACAAAACTGTAACGCAGCATGAAATGAAGTATTGTATAGTGTTTTCCTTATTTTTACATAATTTATATTTTGTGACAAGTACCGGGTGCGCCATCTTTTATGTCGGTATTGAAACATCGAATGATTTGGCTATACGTGTTTCTGAAACGTTAATTTACTACAATTTTAGTCATGAATCGCTTTACACAGAAACAACGCGCCGAAACAGTCACAATGTACATTGAAAATCGTCGTTCAGTGGTGTTAACGCAACGTGCATATTGTCGAAAATATCGTGGCAAACGGGCACCAGCTGACAACACTATCCGTGGTTTGGTGTTCTTGAGTACGGGACAGTGGGAGATCGTCAACATACCGTTCATCAACGACCAAGGCGTTCCAATGAATTGGTTGAAGTGGTCAGAGACAGCGTTGCCCAAAACCCAAAGGTGTCGTATCGTCACCGCGCTCAGCATTTTGGCATCAGTGGAACCACGTTGCGGCGCATTTTGAAGGATGATTTGTACTTGTTTCCTTATAAGGTGCAGTTAACACAAAAAATATTGCCAACTGACCGTCCACGTCGCTTGGAATGCGCCCAAACAGTCGCTCGCATGGTTGATGCTGCACCTGATTTTTGGAAGCAAATTGTGAAGACCGACGAGGCCCATCTCACGGTCTCTGGCGGCGTTAATAAGCAAAACTGCCCCATTTGGGGAACGGAAAATCCACATGAGATCCACGAAATGCCGTTGCATGACCGAAAAATGACTGTTTGGGCCGGCGTTTGCGCCAAAACCATCATTGGTCCATTTTTCTTCAACGAAAACGAAACAGTCGATGGAAATCGATATCGGTAGATGTTGGCTCATTAGGTTTGCACACAAATGCGTGAAAAAGGTTGATAGATGTTGTGTTCAAAAACTAGCCCCAATAAATTGTAAAGAACCATATTTAATGAAAATACCCGATATATAGAAATCAGTTTTTCGTTTTCAAAGTTATTTCATGTTTACATTCCGACATAAAAGCTGGCGCACCCTGTAGTAATTTCAAGCATCATATTCATAATAAAAGATCAATGAACCTATTTCCTGTAAGAAACGATGTATCTCTTCAACAAGATGCCTCATTCTCAGAATGCGTCATTTGTTTTTACCTTGATAGTTGGGAGTGTCAGGTGTCAAGGTTGTCAAGATAAGGAGGCCTAGAGACCTCATTATTTTGTAAGTTGAAAAGTAGTTTATCAAACGCTAATTAATTTGCTGTGAAATGTATTTTCTATAGATACGAGGGATGTCTTTTAAGTTTTGCATATGGAGGTAAAACAACACGGTAGGTAGTTTTAAATGACTTTATTGTTTTTCGAAGTATTCTCCACGAAGATTAATACACATCTGCATGCGCTCGAACCAATTTTCGAAGCACTTGTTCCACTCGTTTGCTGGCAGATCCAAAACGGCATTTTTGAATGCGTCAACTGCTTCTTCTTCTTTGACCACGCAGTCTGTTTTTAATTTTCGGGGAATTAAAGAAATCGATAGGACTTATATCGGGACTATATGGAGGATGGTCCAATAATTCCACGTTTTCTTCCGTTAAATACTGCCTTGTTTTTTGGACTGTGTGCCAGCTTGCATTGTGTTGGTGGAGGATGATTCTTCTTTCGGGGTTGATTTTTCGAAGCTTGGTGATGACTTTTGGCAAACAAATGGTGGTATACCAATCCGAGGTAACAGTTCTTTGCTCATTAAGAGGAATTGTTGCAATATGACCCGCTTTTTGACACACATGTAGCGACCATCTTTTTCGAAACACTTCTAGAACGGATGACTTTTGTTGGCTTTTCTTCACCTTGGAACACCCAAACAGCCGACTGTCGTTTATTTTCTGGTTCATAACAGTAAATCCACGATTCATCACCACTAACAATGCTGTACACATATTTTGAGTTTACGGAATTGAAATGGTCAAGCGTTTTTTGACACCAATTAACCCTGGCTGCTTTCTGCTCTTCAGTCAACAGGTGGGGTTATCCAACGAGAAACTAATTTTCTTACTCCTAATTGAGGTCTTTGAGATCTTCAAGGACGCCTCAATCTCGCGATATGTCACATGTCTACCTTGAATGATGAGTTTGCGCACAGCATCGTCGTTTTCCTGGGTGACTGCCGTTTTTGGTGCACCCACCCTGGGATCGTCGCTAAAACTCACCCGTCTACGTTTGAATTCTTCATACCAACGGGAAATTGTCGACTGATGTGGCGCTTCGTCGCCGAAAACAGACAGTAACTCAGCAAGGCATTGTTGTTGCGATAATCGTCTCTGAAAGTTGTAATAAATTATGGCGCGAAAATGTTCTCGGTTGAGTTCCATTTTTCTAATGACTTGGTGACACTTATAAATTCACTGTATTGAGAACACTGCACGTATTGTTGTGAAACTTTGAATTTAAGTTTAATAAAGGGTGAGGTTAAGATTCAGTACTGATGTTCGATCCGCGCGACCTACTATGTTTCTATATGCAAAACATAAAAGACATCCCTCGTATAACCAGATAAATGTGTCCATGCATTTCTTCAGAAATGGGTAATAAAAAGGCTGCTTCCTCCTTGAGAGAGCTTTTTGACAACTTGCCTGTCTCTCCGAAGCATCAAGACTGTGAAAGCAAATGAGACGTCCTCAAAATAAAAAGGCCTTAATAAAGAAACAACTAAGTAATACCTAATTTAGTATAATGCATACCTCGTCTCTATTTCCTCGTTGTTGAACATTATCGAAGCCTGGCGGCGACCTAGTTGGCGTTGTATAAGGCGTCCATGGTTGCCACACAGAAGATGAGCCCCACAAATAACCCGACGAAGGGTTGGTTGTTGAATAATCAGGCGTTAGCGGACTATCGTTTGATAAATGAGTTGAATTCGCCCAGTATGAACTTGAATCAAGCAGATTCTGTTTCCAAAGATCTAAAACATATTTGTGATTGAAAAATCATTTTTTCGGATGAGGCCATTTTCACGTTCGTATAACAACAAGCAAAATCGCCATATTTGGTGCTCAGAATACCCAAATTAAATTACCTAGCAGCCAATGCATCCCCAACGCGTGACTATTTGGTATGGTTTGTGGTCTGGTGGCATTATTGGCTCTTTTTTTCGAAGATCACGAAGGAAGCGCAGTTACGGTCATAGGTGTGCGCTATGAAGCATGCTGACTGACTATTTCTTTCCGGAAACCGATAAAAAGACTTGGATGGCGTGTGGTTCCAGTAAGATGGCACGCCGCGAAACAATCGCTCTTCTTCAAGAACAGTTCGACAATCGCGTAATTAGCGGTTTTGGTGATGTAACTTGGCCACTGCAATTTAACTCCGCCGGATTATTTTTTGTGGGGAAGCGTAAAAGATGAATGCTATGCGGATGCCCCAGCGACGATTGAGCACTTGAAGACCAACATTCATGCAGCCATTGGTGAGACAATGCCGCAGACATTGGAAATCCATAACACTCATACGTGAGCCAAAGAAAATCCTCATACCATAAGGTCATTTCCAACAACGTTTTAAAATAAATTTTGGGCGGGTATTCTTGACGATCAGGTAATTGGCCCTTTCGAGTTACCCCCAAAGCTGTCAGGAGAAGGATACCTTAGCTTTCTAGAAAATAACCTTCCAGAACTTTTGGAACAGACCTTAGACAACATGCCATTACAACGGAGACAGAATTTGTGGTTTCTTCATGTCGGGGCACAACCACACATTTTTAGAGGCGTCATTCAGTATTTGAATGAACATTATCCAAATCGCAGGATCGGTCGAAATGCTCCTGATCCTCGAAAATGTCCAACAAGATCTCCTGACCTCAATCCGATGGATTTCTGGTATTGGGGAGAACTTAAAGGGATGGTTTATGGGGCTGGTCCAATAACAAATGAAGCACAACTCACATAGCAAATATCATTGATTTTATAAACACGCAGACCAATACACACACAATCATCCACATGTGATCTTGCTACTCTGCTACTCAACCATACATCTTCTCAGAGCATACTCTACAGACTATATCAGCAAGATGGGAAACTCACTTGCCGCTTGCAGCATGGTCATTGAGCGTAATTAGTTGATGTTTACTTATTTGCCGACCACTGCGGATTGACATAAATGGGCGCATACTCATTGGTCATTTAGAAATACTCGTAAAAAGGAAGATGCATACTGTAAATGCATGAGAGTTTGTACGTTAAAGATTGTTTTGCATGCAATTGTATAAGGTAAACCATAACTTACCTTCTAAAGTCGATTTGGTACTTTCAATAGGCTCCATCATAGTATTTGAATAACTCTGATGATCCCAGGTAGTTTCCAATTCTCCCACAAAGTTGGCTCTAATGTTTGTGTCAGGCATGGCAACATCAGTAGCATTGTTGTAAGCTGGTATTTGTCCAACATTTTCTGTTGGCCATCTGCTATCACCACTGCCACTTGACTTCAGTTGTCTCTCCTGCTTGACTTCATCCAACAGTCTCCCATACTCTAAGTTTTGCCAGCTGTACAACTCGTCAAGATCTACGCTCTTTGGAACCTCTCGCCTTTGGGCCTCTCCGACCACTCTACCTTCATTTCGAAACTTATTTGTCTGTAACTGTCTCTGACCGATAAGATCACCTACCATTCGCATGTTACTGAAACTGTCAGCTTCATTGGGCGTTTCTAAGTTAGTTGGTCTCACTGGGCGAAAGTCTTGGTTATCATCACGATTTTGATCGACGCGTCTCGAGCCAATTGGCCCTAGGTCTGTAAATGTTTGTTTGTATGGCTCAACAAACACCGTAGGTTTCTGTTTGTTGTGAGTTTTACTGGTACCAAAAGCTGAGGACATAGAAGGAATTTTACTGGGTTCTGTCTGGCCTACCACATATCCTAACTTTGGTTTACCGTCCGTCCACACTGGCAAGCTGAAGTTGCTGGTACTCCTGCTTTTCTCAGCAGCAGTCGAGTCGTTTTGTTTCAACTTTTCAACGTGTTTGATTTTTTCCGTTACTTTACTGGTGAATTTCACTTTCTCCTTGCGTTCTTTAATACATCTGTCCTTAACTTTGACGTTCTTAGCTTGCTTTTGGCTGTGTGATGTTGAATTCGTTGAAAAGTTTAAATCCTTTTTGACATTCTCCAACTGTTTTTGAGGATATTTTTTCATTCTGCGTACTGAAGTTATCTCAGTTGATGGAACATGCTTCTGTACTTCATACCTATCATTGTCCTCGTTTTCATCATCGCTAGTTTCACGTTTCTCAACCTTCGATTTAAATCGTAACTTTGAACAGGTCTTCCTCTGTTTTTCAGTTTCCTCGCCATTACTGCCAGAATCACTAGTGCCTGATTCATATTCTTCATCGTAAACTTGGACGTTGTTTCTGGCACTTTTTCTTTTAGGAGTAAACGATTTCTTGATTTCTCCATGCCTTTGCAAACTGTATTCTTCTTCCTCTGCTCTTTCCACTCTTTCTTCTTTGGTATCTGTAGTAGTTTCATCAGTCTTAAAAGTCTTGTCCGTTACCTCCTCATTCGGCTCGTCTGTATGCTCTTTGTTGCGCCTCTTTTTCAACTTCTTTTTGGTTTTTCCTGTTGCAAAAACTAAAGTCGTCTGCTTCTGACAAGGCGTCTTATCAATAATTTCATCGTCTTCTTTGGTCCGTTGAGATTCACTCCCTAAATCATTTTTTTCTTCATTTGTCGTACGATCAACTTTCGGCGACTGTATTTCCTCTCTGACTTGCTGCCCAACCAATCTTAAATCCAAAACAGATTGTACAGTTGATCCGTTGGGCAAAGCAAATGAAGTGATAGCAATTTTTTTCGTTCTCTTCGCATCGATCATGGCCAAGCAAATACATAATATAAAAACGAAATACATTATATTGCTTGCTATATAGCTGAGCTTACTCTCCCAAGATGGACCTTTGATGGCCTTTATGCACATATCTAAATATGCCAATGGAATTGTTGTATGTAACGTGTAATTCACTTGTATATTGAGACTGGTTTCTAGAATCAGTGTTCTGAATACTTTTGTCAACGTTAAATCAGGGGTGAAAGCTATGTCGATTTTCTTTGTTCCATTTGGAGGCAGAACGAATGGCTCACATTCTATTACCCTGAAACCATATCCTTCGCATTCGAGATCATTTATATGGAAACTGTGCACATAAACGGGCAATTCTCCTGTATTTCTAGCCGTAAATGTTCTCTTAACAGTCAAGTTAGGTGATGTATCTTTTTCCTTTTCACAGTCTTTCATATGTTTATCAGTCATATCAAACGATAACGGTTGAACTGAGCCCGGTTTGCGATTACCGAATTTGAAAGAGGGTAACGCACTTTGAGCTGTAAGTTTGATAGCTTCCAAGATCGTTAGATTATTTCTCAAAAATAGAAGCGCTGAATGTATGTTCAGATCTGTGGCGTGGAATCCAACCTGAATTGTTTGACTCTGACCAGGAGGTAATAAAAGAGCAATACATGTTGGACAAACTTTTATGGCTAGATCGTCAAAAACAGAATAGTATCGGATATGCCTAGTATCATTGTGGAAGAAGAAATTGGTAGAAGTTTGTTCAGGCGGGAATGGTATCAATTTTGAAGGTAACGTTTTGGATATAATCTCATATTCTGGATAATATCTATCCAAAACTATCTGTATCATCACACTGTGACTCGCTGGGTTGTGCAGAGTAATATTTTGATAAGACGAATTCCCCAACTGTGTCAAAGGCAGACTTACGGTTCTATTATGTTTGTTTTGCTGTGTCAAAAATAAAGTTGGCCAAATCATTTGGATTCTAGTTTTGAATATGTGGCCTTTAATTTCTGAGGTGTCAAGCCTCAACGTCAAGTTATGCCATTTTTGCATTCCACTAGAAGTGAGTTTCGAGTATCTTGTGTACAATAAATTCAACAACTTGCTGTCATATTCTGCAACAAGCCTTGGAAGTGAGAATGTTTTCAACCACTGGGCTGCAACAAAACGCTTACGTCAAAAATAACGTGAAAGTAGAAATGGTGGTATTGCAGACTGACTAGGAACTTTAAAAAAATAATAATTAGTTTTGTTTTAATTAAGTACTGGGTCTCTGCTTGTAGGATATATTGGAATTATAATAATTTCGAAATACTGGGGTTTTTAATTAACTTTCACATAGTCATAAAACGGTGCCTGGTATCTTTTCCTAACTTCTGAATTTTAGGAATCAACTTTGTGTCATATCTAAAACCGCACAATTGTAGTTTTGTAATCAATATTTAAACTAATACAGAAATAGAAGGATCAGTCATTTTTCAATTTCACCTTAAACATTTTTAAATTCGAACACTGTTTAACAGGATTATTCAATTTATTAAATTAAAATACTCCCTTTTGAAATACAAATTTGCTAGTTATGCTACTATTACAATTTTGCAGATGAAAATACATACTGCCTCTAGTTTCGTAGTTATGATAATGATTATTTAATTTGAATATGAAAATGAGAACTATATAACATTATGAAATTTTTCCCATTCAACCTCTGTAGTTCTTCTAACATAGAATTAAGCCTAGCATATTTATTTTTATTTCAAATGATTCTCATAGCTATATTTTTTAGAATTTGTAATTTTGAAAATATGTTTTCATTTGCTGTAATTAAGATGGTTGAACAATATAAAAAAAGGGAAGAATTATTTTTTTTTGGAATACATTTAAGATTATGAGAAACTGAATAGAAGTAATTTATCTTTTTTGATATATTGTACTCATAATGCTCTTGAAACAGTGGTTTACTATCCATATATATACCCAGATGTTTAAATGATTCGACTACTTCAATTTTTTCGTCATTAATCATGAGCCTAATTGTATTGTTACCTAAGTGTTTCCCTTTTGACATACATTTAGTTTTATTAGTGTTTAATTTAGGTTTATTAACATTTAAACAATTCATAATTTTTTAACATCACTATTTAACAGTTCTAAAGCAGTGTTCAAACGTTTATGTGTTATAAAGGGTGGCCGATATGTAACTGACTGGTTTGTATCTTGAATATTTGTGAAATGAAATACGTCCATTTTTTTTTAGATTTCAATTTTGAGATAGCTTTTCTTAGATGGTGGTTGTTTATTGTTCTAAATTGATTCATTGGTGAATTATGATATGCTTATAATGAACATAAGTTGGGATCACCGTTATCAATCGTAACCAGATTTTTTACCCCGGTCTTTTCGATGTTCATCCGTTTTGGCCTGATGGAGACAATAAGCAGAAACGCACATCGCTCGGGTTATCAATCCTTCTATTTCTGCTCCTAATCATTTATTGCGTACATGCCTACGAATGTCCTTTGTTTTTCATTTGTTTCTAGTCTTTCTTTATAAATAAATATAAGAACAAACAACTAAAAGTTAAAGCCTTTTTTGTAATCTGGCGACAAAAACAGGCTTATTCTAAAAGTTGATTCTGTAAAACATTGTAATGTAAATTACTTACTTGACATATTTGCTGGCAGGCCCGTGTAACAATTCGGCTGACAATCTGAATCAGGATTCAAAAATAGATGCCCAATAGTCTTTGATGACTTCCCCAATATATGACCCGTGTGTCTGCTTGTGACCCTTTTGTCACTAGGTAAGGTAAGTATATCCTCGATCACCATTGATTCACTGAACGTCGAATGCACATGTAAGGGATGTGTACAAATCTTTGCCTTTAATATTATAAATGTTAGTATAGATACAGCCGCAGTGATGATGTTATACATACTGGAAAGCACTGGTCAAAAATGAGGTCTGGACCAACATCCAACTTTCCATGTGCAACTTTAAAAATTACTGGAATTGACAACAGCTCAAACTGAGTTTCGATGAAGATACTTCCCCACATTTTACCCTCCGCATTTGTTGCATTCAGTGTTACTTTTACAAGAGCGTAGTGATTAGGCTTGATATTATTCTGAAAAAAAGTGAAAAGGATATTTTATGACATTAAGTCAAGCAGATACAGTGTTGGTCGTTTTGCCTTTTAGATCTCCATGTGCACGAGAAGGAGAAGTGTGTTAATAAGAGTGCGCCATACAAGCGTCATCATCGTTGCCTAGCAACGACAGTGGGGGAGGAGGTACAGCCGCGCTCCACTGCCTCCCCCACTGCCGTTACCAGGCAACGTGGTGGCGACGCTTATGTGCCGCACCTTTTCTAATAGTAGGGGAGCTAAATAGGGAATTTTGGGGATTTTCTTGAGCGCGTCAGATTAAGATAAGAAGTTACAGGTGCTCTTCGCGGCCTCCCCCACTGTCTTTGCCAGGCAACGTGCTGCCGACGCTTATATGCCGCACCCGTTCTAATAGCCCGATAGGGGATTTTGGGGATCTACTCGAGCGCGTCAAATTAAGATAAGGAATTACAGGCGCTCTTCGCTGCTTCCCCCACTGTCTTAGTCAGGCAACGAGGTGACGATGCTTATATGCTGCACCCTTTCGAATAGTAGGGGAGCTCAAAAGGGAATTTTGGGGATTTTCTCGAGCGCGTCAGATTAAGACAAGAAGTTACAGGCGCTCTTCGCGGCCTCCCCCACTGTCTTTGCCAGGCAACGTGGTGACGACACTTATATGCCGCACCCGTTCTAATAGCCCGATAGGGGATTTCGGGGATTTACTCGAGCGCGTCAGATTAAAATAAGGAATTACAGGCGCTCTTCGCGGCCTCCAACACTGTCTTTGCCAGGCAACGCGGTGACGACGCTTATATGCCGCACCCTTTCGAATAGTAAGGGAGCTCAATACTGAATTTTAGGGATTTTCTCGAGCGCGTCAGATTAAGATAAGAAGTTATAGGCGCTCCTCGCGGCCTCCCCCACTGTCTTTGCCAGGCAACGTGGTGACGACGCTTATATGCCGCACTCTTTCGAATAGTAGGGGAGCTAAATAGGGAATTTTGGGGATTTTCTCGAGCGCGTCAGATTAAGATAAGAAGTTACAGGCGCTCTTCGCGGCCTCTCCCACTGTCTTAGCCAGGCAAAGTGGTGACGACGCGTATATGCCGCACCCTTTCTAATAGTAGGGGAGCTCAATAGTGAATTTTAGGGATTTTCTCGAGGGCGTCAGATTAAGATAAGAAGTTACAGGCGCTCTTCGAGCCCCCCCCACTGTCTTTACCAGCCAACGTGGTGACGACGCTTATATGCCACACCCTTTCGAATAGTAGGGCAGTTCAATAGGGAATTTTGGGGATTTTCTCGAGCGAGTCAGATTAAGATATGAAGTTACGGATGCTCTTCGCGGCCTCCCCCACAGTCTTTGCCAGGCAACCTGGTGTCGACGCTTTTATACCCACCCTTTCTAATAGTAGGGGAGCTCAATAGGGAATTTTAGGGATCTACCCGGGCGCGTCAGATTAAGATAAGAAGTTATAGGCGCTCCTCGCGGCCTCCCCCACTGTCTTTGCCAGGCAACGTGGTGACGACGCTTATATGCCGCACTCTTTCGAATAGTAGGGGAGCTAAATAGGGAATTTTGGGGATTTTCTCGAGCGCGTCAGATTATGACAAGAAGTTACAGGCGCTCTTCGCGGCCTCCCCCACTGTCTTTGCCAGGCAACGTGGTGACGACGCTTATATGCCGCACCCTGTCTAATAATAGGGGAGCTCAATAGGGAATTTTAGGGATCTACCCGGGCGCGTCAGATTAAGATAAGAAGTTATAGGCGCTCCTCGCGGCCTCCCCCACTGTCTTTGCCGCACCCTTTCTAATAGTAGGGGAGCTCAATAGGGAATTTTAGGGATTTTCTCGAGCGCGTCAGATTAAGATAACAAGTTACAGGCGCTCTTCGAGCCCCCCCTCACTGTCTTTACCAGCCAACGTGGTGACGACGCTTATATGCCACACCCTTTCGAATAGTAGGGGAGCTCAATAGGGAATTTTAGGGATTTTCTCGACCGCGTCAGATTAAGATAAGAAGTTATAGGCGCTCCTCGCGGCCTACCCCACTGTCTTTGCCAGGCAACGTGGTGACGACGCTTATATGCCGCACTCTTTCGAATAGTAGGGGAGCTAGGTAAAGAATTTTGGGAATTTTCTCGAACGCGTCAGATTAAGACAAGAAGTTACAGGCGCTCTTCGCGCCCCCCCCCCACTGTCTTTGCCAGGCAACGTGGTGACGACGCTTATATGCCGCACCCTTTCTAATAATAGGGGAGCTCAATAGGGAATTTTGGGGATCTACCCGGCCGCGGCAGATTAAGATAAGGAGGGATAACTTGCATCCTGTTCAATACCTCTACCATATATTTGTATAAGCCCTTTATAAAGAGAAGTCCGTCTAGGCGATCGGCATTGTCAAAAAAATCGATGGTTGGAAAAACTCGTGCCCATCAGACTGTAAATTAGATGTCCAGAAGTGTGTATTTCAATAATCTGACGATTTTAATGTGACGTACAAGGGTGGGAGGGTCACAAACTTGCAAAAAAAATATTTGAACATTGCAGAATGAAAATTGTTTTCCTTTGATTTGTAAAGTAGCAATTTGACTTACACATTTGAAGATGTTAGGAAAAGACGGCTGGAACAAAACCAATCTGTAATCATCTGAACCACATCCGTAAATATCAGCGGAAGCACCTGACGTTGCAGATCTAATTTTCTTCAGGTCTATAGGTACAGGATTCGGGTTGAAGATTGAAAAATATACTTCTTTCGTCGCATTGTAGCTTAACAGTCCAACATTTAGAACATCATCCTTAGAGCTAAATGGCAAATGCTGGAAAAGAAAAACAATGTTCAAAAAAACTAGAAGATTAGAAAATCGGAAACGTGTTCTTACAATTTTCACTTTACCATTGTAGCTCAACAAAGATACTGCAACATCTGAAACATCCGTTTCTAAAGTAATAGCCGAGTGTAGCTGAATATCGGTGAGGTTAGTAGTAGGTTTCAGCTGCAGCCTAAACAGATCTGCTTCCTCTCCTAAATCCAAGACCTTCGGTGTCAATATATCAATCTAAAAAAAATTCATGGCTTACACATTTTGTTAGAAATGAATGAGAGTGTGATGGGGGATGTATTCTCGATTGGCATTATAGGTCTATAAGTTGAGTGATGAGACTGATTTTTTTTTCAAATTTTTAAAAGGTCGGAAAAACTGTTCCTAACAAGAAAGATGATCAGTGGTATATAACTTGAGCAAAACAATAGCATTAATCATATTCTAGATTACTTACTATTGACCGTTAGACTTGAATATTGACTTATTAACATGTAACATGTTTTAATATTTTTAAGGTACATAGGCTAAGCCCGGGAAAATCGAATTTCCCGTTTTACGGCCACCATAAATCGGCCATCGCGAAAAAGTGTTCAACTTTCTTCAATAACCGGCAGTTTTAAACGTATTTATTCAAAAAAAAAACTTGATTTTGCAAGACATTTGTGTGTGTGACTACGTTTTTTATCAACCATATGAACAGCTTTTTAAAATATTGAGCATATATTCAAAGAAATGTTTGACGTACAAAAAAAGGAGGAACCAATGGTTTTGGTACGAAACAAGAGCACCCCTTAAGGACCGATTACAATTTGCACGGTTGCATCTTGATTGGAGCATCTGTGACCGGAAGAGGGTATGTTCCAGTGACGAATCCAAGTTCAATATAGTATGTTTGGATCAGATGGTGTTCATTACGTTAGACATCCTAGTGGACAAAGATTGAACCCCAAGTACACTGTCAAACATGGAGGCGGGTCTGTTATGGTCTGGGGGTGCTTTTCGGGGTTTGGACTGGAACCTTTACATAGAATAGATGGCATTATGGATAAGTTTGTATACATAGACATACGAAAGCTTGTCATGTTACCCTATATGGAAGACAATATGCCCTTAAGATTAATCTTCCAGCAAGATAATGACCCGAAGCACACTTCAAATCTCGCAAAGAAATTCTTCCTGGATGAAAAAATACCAGTTCTCAAATGGCCTTCACAGTCTCCCGATATAAACCCCATTGAAAATCTATGGCAATACTTAGATAAGCAAATACGAGATAAAAATTATTCAAACAAGGATGAACTTTTTGCCGCTTTAGAGCAAAAGTGGAGACAGATCGATAAATCTTATATCAAGAAACTTTTACAATCTGTGCCGAGACGATTCCAGGCGGTGATTGATAATAATGGTTATGCTACAAAATATTAACACAAACATGGTTGGTTATAATTCAATGAACTTTGCTTCTTTTTTCTATAATTGTTTTGCTTTGTCTATATATTTTTGTCCTTCACAGTTCCAGTTTTTTTCAATTAATTTTTTATTGAAGGGAATCTAATGAATTTATCTATGTATAAGTATTATGCTATAACGAGTTATGTATACAGGTTGGTGTATTAATGAAACAAGTGAAAAAGAAATACAGCACAATATTAATTTGTCTATATACTTTTGTCCATTACTGTAAGAGATTTCAGGCGAAGATAAGGAATAGTGGATACTGTATTAGCTCCAATCTTATGTTTGTAGTTAATATAAAATTCCTTTAAAGCTAATGGCATGAATATTTAAAAAACAAATGCAGATTTGAAATGACCTATTCAAATATCAGCTTGTAGTACCTCATGCAGAAACAACATGCGACTTCACTGTTTTTGAAATGAACGTCTATTACGCGCTGTGAGTTGACGGAGAAGAAACGTATTGATATGCGTGGATTATGCCTAAAATACACCTATTCTTTAAGGAAGCGTTTTCAGCAAAACAAAAACTATTTTGAAAAAAATGTGACTTGGGCGATTTATGTAGTGACTGATTCAATTCATCTCACTAGAGATACATCTACTGAAAGATAGATAGGATTCTCATAGATCAACTGTACAATATCATTCGAATTTATCCTACAAAGTCGGACATGAAAGAAAGATGGAGCGATTTTCCAATCTCTTAAGTCTGAAAAAGGCAAGGAAACTTAGAACAATAAATTTAATGGACCTATTAGTTAAAGAACCCTTCTCCTTATGATATACGAAAACCGATAATTATGTTTTTATCGAAAAATAAAAAAAAAATATAACTTTTTTTATCGATTATATCGGAAACTTCGATAATTGCATGCCTATTTCAAACCTGTCTCATTATTGCAAACACTACAGGCTTTAATACAAATATGACCTGGTCATCAACTGTTCAGCTCAGTAGACGACAAAACATAAAGAAGTCTCGTGAAAAAGACCATATTGCATGGTCTGCAGCAAAGTAAACAGGACAAAGGAAAAAAATGAACAAATCGAATTTAGTTTATTCAGAGTTAATACACGGACCAAAATATTTTCCAATGATTTTAGCTCATTGACTGGGATGTCCTTCAAAATGGTCGTCGACGCCTTTTGGATGGTCTCTACTTCGGCATGCCGCTGCCCCTTCATGGCCAAATGTAGTTTACTGAACAGAAAATAGTCACACGGTGCCATATCAGGAGAATATGTGGTTATGTGGTGATGGTTAATATGCCATTTTTGTCAAAATTATCGTGCAACAAGCGCCAGCCTCCTTCTCCGCAACATTCTGGCAGAACACGACGAATTCGCGATAGCAAACGCCTCATAACACCAAGATAAAACACAACATTAACCGTTTGGCCCGGTGGAACGAATTCTTTGTGAATAATTCTCTTCGAATCGTAGAAACAAATCAACATTGTCTTCATTTTGGATTGTTCCAAACGTCTTTTTTTCGGATATGGCTCGTTTTCACAAACCGTGAACACCGTTTTTCATACCCAAATTCTTGGTCAAACCGCGATGGATTGAATGTTTAGAGATATTTAATTCTATTTCTATGTATCTCAATAAAGATTTTGGATCATTTTTGATATATTCATGCACTTTTTCGACGGTTTCTGGCGTAATTACAAATTTTGGCTGGCCAATATGTTCGTCGTCTTCCAGTGACTCACGACCCTCTTTAAACCATGTAAAAGGTACTGTCACTTTGAGCGGGATAACTCCGCGTGAAGTGATTGGATTGTCATAAAATTTTGACAGGGCATCAATGACAGATGTACCTAACCAACACTAGTCTCCGATAATAGATTGCGCTACATATATCATATATCTTTCAACAGTCAGTTGTACGATAGCTTATTACCTTGAAATACTTGTGTGCCACTGGTGGAAAGACGACATTTGTTATTTTGAGAGGAAACTCATATTCATTTTTAGCCCTGAAAGTCCTCTCAGAAAAATCTATCGCTTTGTTCATGAAATATGAAGTAGTTGTTTGGTTGAAACTTAATCCTCCTTTTAGAACTGATACGTAGTATGGTATCTCAGATGAATTTTTTCCACTTGGATATTTTATTACTATTTTTCCAGAAAAGTCTTTGGTTTGGTAAGCAGCTCTCCCTGTAATTAGAAAGAAATATCGGTACGCAAATAAATATATATGGCGGATTGTAATACTAAGGTATTATAGACTTTTGGCGAACACATATATCACATAGGTAAACTTAAAACTCAGTGACTCACTTTTCAAATAAGGTTAATGTTTTCGAATAAGGCATTTGTGATTGCCAAGACTCTTCAGTTTTTGTTAACCAGATATTTGAACGGTCTAAGGTTAGTAGAACAGAGAAAAGCCTGCTCAGGCAGATTTCTCCACAATCTCGATACTCTGCACCCTATCAAATGGCAAGGTTCATGAAAAAACCAGCTCCGTAGCTGAGAGATAACATTCAATTTCAACAAATTCACTGCTTATAGGAAATCAAGCTGCGGTCAGCAATAGGAGGAATATAAAGAGTTACGTAATATAGTAAAACTAGCAATTGATAATGCTAAAAAGCTTCATTTTGAACAAAAAATTAGCAGTACGAAGATTTGGAAGCTATCTCACTTTGCCAATAACACCCAGGTCATTTATCCCAGTAGATTTAGCTGATGTTGACGAAATGACCCGGTACTTTACGTTTTTATCTAGTGCAGGTATAGAACCTGATGCGAATACATTTTCTTTTAATAAAAATAATGTCAAACCTAATGTTTACCTCTTTGATTTCGTTCTGGCATCCGCAGATCAGGTGAAAGGTATACTCAGAGATATTAGAAGTGTTACATCCAGAAAAAATAATTTCAACTTGATTTTTTGGCAATGAGTTAGTCCTACATCAAAAATTAAACGTTAACATTTTCACGAAATTCTATTGACAAGTAATAAGAAAAAAAATAATAATGTGTTGGGCGACCCCGCAGTTGGACAGTGAAAGTGGACAGTCTTCTTCCAATCATATCCCACACATGTTCGACGGGATTTAAATCCGGTGAACGGGGTGGCCACGGCAAAACATTAACGCATTAGTAACAAGTAAGATTGTTCTCCAAACCATTGGTCAGCGATCTGACGTCTAGTAGCAAAACGGTCTCGTAGGGTTAGTTGCCCGAAGCGCTCTGTTGTACACCTCGGTGGACCAGTTGGCCTTCTTCGTGTTCCTATGCCTTCTTGTATTCACACACGACACACACGCATTACCGTCATTGCAGTACAATTAACACGACGACCGATTTCGCGATAGGACAAACCAACATCTCGATAGATAATAATTCTACCCAGTGGCGGCTCGTGGTAAAATAAAACACGTGGTCTGCAAATCCGAACTTACCTATTTTTTATATGTCAGTTCGATCCTGCGCTCCTTCTTGGCAGCAAATTTGACGATCACCTTCCTGTTGGAATTTTCCATGGACGAAATAAATTCCTTTTCAATGGACAGCATCGACAACGCTGTAAGGCGATCCTGGGTCATAGTATTTCGAAGAAAGAGTCTTGATTCTTTTCAATGTTGAGAAATTTCGCTCAGCCTCTGCAGTTGACATAGGAGTCTTACAATAATTTCCAATAGCTTGTTTGTTTCTTTTAGTGTTTCCTCCAAACTATTTTGTATCAAAAATTTCAAAAGAGACAGAGTTCCATGTAAGTCTCGGCAATCATTCCGTGCATAAATAACAGACAACTCTGTCTTTAAACGACTTTTTTCTAATTCGGGATAAGCCAAGCAGGTAGTTTCCAACTTGTCATCAGAAAACTTACCACAGTATTCCACAAAGTGTTCTGAGAAAAAGGGATGCGGCTACCAAATGATCTTTGAAGTGAAATCTGCCATTTGCAGAATTCACTATATTGTCGCATACTTCTAATGCGGCAACTCGGTGATCGTGACTGCTATTATTACGTCGTCTCCTTTTGTTGCCTTGGGGTTCAGTGCAAATACTTTTGGCTTGATTTATTATGTCATCAATCTTATTTCTCACACCGACAATACATTTTTCAAAATTATCGATAGCCGTTTTAACTTGCGCTGGCTCGGTTTTTCTCTGCTGCAACTGGTTGAACAAGATGTCGACGTGAGGCATGACATGATGAAAAAATGTCAACCAAAACACGAAAACAGAATCGTTTAACATACAGCGAATACCGCAAGCTGCCTTGCAAACGGTTTCATTGGTGAAATTTTCTTCTATTTCTTCCATGCATTCAATGAGTTATTCTCTGTTCTCAAACACTACATTTATTGTTCGAATATTAAAATTCCAACGAGTTGTTGCTCCTTGGGGAATTTGATTCCCCACAATTCTGTTCAGTACCTCTGCGCGTTGAGAAGAATTATTAAAAAACCCCGGAATATAGTTCGAATCCCCAAAGAACACCCGAACTTGAGCATTTGCGGAAGCAGCTTGGGACATAATCAGGTTTAACTGATGCGCATAGTAATGCACATAGTGAGCAAATGGATATCTTTGTTTAATTTTTACCTGTACTCCAACATCATGTCCGTTCATTACCGCGGCTCCATCATAGCTTTGTGAAATCAGTTTGTTAGGGAAACTTAATATTAATGGATCTACGACGCTCAAATTATGTCTTGTGAGAGTATCAGTGTTACATTTTTCGGGATTCATATAATTCCAAAAATGTTCTACTGGTTCGCCGTTAAATGCGTATCTGAACATTGTTACCAAGTGGGTTTTCCCCGTCCGTTGTTTCATCTGCTATTATCGCCAAATACGAAGCTCTGTTAATCTGTTTTATTATTTCTTCATGACAAACTTCAAGAATACAATCCAGAAGATCGTTTTGTATTTCTTTCGAAGTTCCTTTAAATATTAAACCATTTTTATGTGTTCGCTTAATGTTGTATCAAGCTCAGCAGAAAAATTAATCAGTCCACGAAATATTCCCGGGTTTTGAGAGCTCTCGGTTTCGTCGTGGCCCCGTAGCGCCAATCCAAATGCTCCGCAAAATTTTATACAATCGATTATTTTTTTATAGGACGTACCTGTTTTTTGTAACGGTATCATTATACTGTTGTATATGTCTCCAATATGCTGAATCTAACTGAGCTCTGATGTTAACAGTCCCCAATAAAGCCAATTCCATCGAATTATGAAGATGTGTTTTAGAGTTTTCATGCTTCTTAATTGTTTCACTCAGGTGCACTAAATCTGTAACACCTACCTACGTCCAAGCTTTGTCACCGCCGAAAAGTATGCACGGAAAGCAGAAAAGGGTATTTTTCCTGTTGCACCCGCAAATCCAGTCATTTCTGGTGTAAATCTCCCTGCTGAAATGCCGCGTATAGCCCTTGCCCCGACTAACGCCCTGTTTTTCTATAAATATGTCCGGCAGCGGTCGACTTAACACCTTCAGCTCAATTTTTTCTTCAAATGTGTATTTCCAGAATCGTTTCACGCTGATAAGTCTGTAAAAAACATCCATTGTCTTGCACTACCCTTCTACACAGCCACAGTCAGTCAGTGAGTCACTAGTCACTCAACGTAAGACACAAAATACTTAAATAAAAAAAATTCGCATTCAAATTTTAAGCCACGTCACGTGATAAGACCAATATGCCAATACCGCCGAGGACCGAGCACCGACCGACCAATCAGATATCGTACTTCGCATTAGATCTGTATGGATCTGTATAACTTGCAGCACATGCTTAAGCTTAAATCGCGTATTTGATTTTGTAGAGAGAGACAAAAGCAAGCGCGTGCGGCTTGTGTCGTAGTAGTGCAAAGACACTTTTCAAGGGGCCCATGAATAATGTTACGCTGCGGTCGCGACAAAAATGACAAGTACACAATTGGTCGATTATAATGCTTTCTCGATACAAAACAGACTCGACGCCGTGTCTTGCGGGGGCAGCGTTGCCGGTATTGTTTCCATTTGTGTGATAACATGGAAAGTAGATAATGATCAAATTACTACTGCTTTTTTTCCTGTTAAGACAAAAGTGTTGGCAGTTCTGCAGCTCTGCAGAACTTAAGGGCCAGCCGCCCCTGGGGTAGAATTTCTACCCCTGTCAAAGTGGCTGACATGGTGATAATTTGGACGTCAGCTCTCAGAAACTGCATTCTTCACCAAAATTAAGAGATAACATTTTAACAAAGGTAAACAAAAACAAAGATAAAACGTTGACATTGTTGCATGCTTTAAGTTGCCAAAAAAAACAAGTTGAAGAAATTATTTTTTTTCTGGTTGTAACACTTCTAATGTCACTGAGTATATATATATATTAAGTGACATATAAATCCGAAGACCCAGTTTAAATGGTTTTATTTTAATAAAAGTTGGTGATTGTATTTATCTTACTGTAAATAACAAGTGAAAAAATTTTCAGCCTTATCAGTTGGACATTCCGGTTTTTATACTGCTTTTTTTTAATTCACTAATGCTCCAAAAATGAATATTTCAGCCGCAGTAAAGAATCAACGTTGGCGGATTTTGGTTCTTGACATCCTTTACGATCAGTTACGATGCCTAGAGTACGGAGACCTGTACGATTTCGTCAACTTAGTGAGTTTGATAGGGGCCGTATAGTGGGACTTCGGGAAGCTGGACTTTCTTTTCGGGCAATTGCAGTTAGAGTGCAAAGAAGTGTAGACACTGTGGTTAGGTGTTGTCAGGCATGGCTTCGAGAAGGCCGTACGCAAAGAGCAAGGGGCACTGGACGCACAACAGACCGTGAAGATCGCCGCCATTGCAAATGAATGGTTTGCAGAACACGGAAGACCTATTGGCATGCGAAGTGTTTACCGACGAATGAGAAGTTTTGGCTTGTTTTCATACCGGCCACACTGGGTCCTCCCTTTAACTCGAGAACACCGACGTAATCGCCTTGAGTGGTGCAGACAACGGTCACTCTGGGATCAGGAATGGAACAGTATTGTCTTTAGTGACGAGTCTCGATTTTGTTTAGGCATGCACGATGGTCGTGCCAGGGTTAGAATGCGACGTGGTGAAAGGAGGAATCCACAGTTTTTTTTCGAAAGACATGTTCATCACACTGTTGGAGTTATGGTTTGAGGTGCTATAGCTTATGGTTCCAGGTCACCTTTAATCTTCATCAGAGGTAACATGAACGCGCAGCGTTATATCCACGAAGTTCTAGAACCCCATCTTTTACCCTATCTTGACACCCTGGCAGATCCAACTTTCGAACAAGATAATGCCCGACCACATATTGCAAGAGTCACAATAGACTTCTTTCAACATAATGATGTCACATTGTTACCATGGGCACCAAGATCTCCCAACTTATCCCCAATTGAGCACGTGTGGGATATGATGGGTAGGAGATTGCTCAATTTGCAACGTCCTCCTCAGACTCTAGAAGCACTTCGAGAGGAGTTGGTGGTTGCCTGGAATGAGATACCACAGGAGGACATTGACCACCTGATCAGAAGCATGCCTAGGCCCGTTGGAGAATGCGTAGCACATCAGGGTGCATCCACACATTATTAACGGTCAAAGGGCTTTAAAGCAGTGCAACCATTTTCAAATTTTTATCATTTACTTATTATGCTTCATTAAGTACTTATACAAAATTTTATTAAAATAAAACCATTTAAACTGGGTGTTCGGATTTATATGTCACTTAGTATACTAGAATGTCCGATCCACGTTAAAAATAATTATGATGATTACAGAACTCCAAAAGAGATTCATAAATATAACACCTGGTTCAATAATGAATCAATACCAGAATACACAAGACACGGAAGTAATTATTTCGGTGTAAAATTTGTTAATGCTTTGTCCGGGTTTTGTCAAACACTCAACCCAACCATTTTTAAACAGACTGTGAACAGATATTTAGTGATGAAAGCTTTTACCACATAGACAAGTTTTTAAATAATTAGTTTAAAGACTTTGTTCCATAATAATTATTGACTTTGTGTTTTATTACTTAGTGTTTGTTTTTTTCAGTGTGTTTTATTTTTTTATTGTTCAAATGCCGAGATTTTTCAGGACGTGTGTAAGTACTTCCGTGTACAAACACGAATAGATTATTATTATCTGTATAATTTTTTTTCTGATCTAGATTTTCTTATTATCTTCACTGTATTTTTTTTGTATTTGCATGTACTTTTTGTATTTTTTTGCCCTGGTTGGTTCTGTAAAAAAGCTTTTGCTGATGTAACCCGCCATTCCATTTATTATTATTATTATCTCTGAGACGTGTAACGCGAATACTCACAATCCACCCTAACTGTCGCTATGTCAACACACTTATTCCTATGTACGCCTTTGTCATGGTCATTCGTCATCCGTGGAGGTAAGCTGATGTTTTTATAGCTTACACTGATACCACGACCTTCACCCGCATTCGGATGTACTTCAACGGAGGCGATCCGCACGTGTCGAGTGTGTGGGTTTTGCACACAAAGCTGAAATAAATGGTTTCAATATTAATTCCGTACTAAGAGCGAAGAGTGCAGGGCACGTTTGATTAAGTGATGAGACTGGTAGACATGTGGCGCACCAAACGCTTGCAAAATGGTCTTAGGTGGCCAATTGTGGATCAAAATATCGAAAATTACAGTACAAAATTCTATTTATACAGGGTATCCAAGATGATGATCATATGCACGGGGATCTCAATACCTGTGGGAGGTACAGCTTAGGTTAAATTCGGAAAAAGCTGCATTCTTTGGGACCTATTTACATGCCGTTGAGAAACATTTCAAGTCTTACTGAGGTACTTGGGAAAGCTAAAATTTGGCCAACTCGTTTTTATTTTTCCTGACCTTATTTTAAGATATATAAAAAACCAATGGAACTTTTACATTAGCAGCTTTTAGGCACTACATAAACATACAGTAATGGACAAAAAAGTATATAGACAAATATGAATATTTACCTAAATACCTTTACAAAACGAATTCATACTTCATTGCTCCATAAAAAAGTGCGATATTAGTAGAAAAACTAAATTCCTTGTTTTTACATTATCTGCAATGAACACAATACAAGTCTGAATATAAGCACTTTTTATGAGGGACAAAAATATGTAGACAAATTCTTTTTAACATTAGTTTAGTACAGTTTCGTGTAGGATTAGTTTGTGTTCATCAAGTATTGTGGAATAAGTTGGTCAACGTCAAGTCGACATTACCAAAAATTTGAAGCTGAAGCGTAAAGCGTTTGGGCAATATTGAACAAATATAAACAAAAAGGTATCTTGGAAGCCTCTAAGAGAAGTGGTCGGCCTAGAAAACTAAATGCTAGATCAGTTAGATGAATAAAAGTAATTTCGTCCAAAGATCCGTTTAAAACTCCAAGACAAATAAAAGCCGAAATCGAGACAAAAGGAATTGTCAGTGTTTCTACGTAAACTATAAGTAGAAGATTAAATGATTTGAAGTTACTTGCACGTCGCCCGAGTAAGAAGCTGCTAATCTCGAGGAAAAACCGTAAGGACTGATTACAATTTGCACGGTTGCATCTTGATTGGAGCATCTGTGAGTGGAAGACTGTATGTTTCAGTGACGAATCCAAGTTCAATATGTTTGGTGTTCATTACGTTAGACGTCCTAGTGGACAAAGGTTGAACCCCAAGTACACTTTGCCCACTGTCAAACACGGAGGCGGGTCTGTTATGGTTTGGGGGTGCTTTTCGGGATTTGGGATGGGACCTTTACATAAATGACATTACGGATAAGTTTGTATACATACTAAAGCATGTCATGTTACCCTATATGGAAGACAATATGCCCTTAAGATCAATCTTCCAGCAGATAATGACCCGAAGCACACTTCAAATCTCGCAAATAAATTCTTCCTGGATGAAAAAAATACCAGTTCTCAAATGGCCTTCACAGTCTCCCGATATAAACCCCATTGAAAATCTATGGGAATACTTGGATAAGCAAATGTGAGATAAAAACTATTCAAACAAGGATGACCTTTTGCCGCTTTAGAGCAAAAGTGGAGACAGATTGATGAATCTTATATCAAGAAACTTCTACAGAATATTAACACAAACATCGTTGGCTTTCTGTAATTCAATGAACTTTGCTTCTTTTTTCTATAATTGTTTTGCTTTGTCTATATATTTTTGTCCTTTATAGTTCCAGTTTTTTTCAATTAATTTTTTATTGAAGGGTCTAATGAATTTATTTATGTATAAGTCAGTATTATGCTATATGTCTATATACTTTTGTCTATTACTGTATGTATTAGATACTTTTTTCGAACCATATAAAAAAATAAAGATAATGGTTTCTTAAAAACGAACCGGAGGGTATAAAATTTAAAATCACCATCATGTAGTGCCTAAAAAGTGCCAGCGGAAAAGTTTTATGGTATTTCTTAAAATAAGGTCAAACAAAATAAAAACGCTTTGGCCAAATTTTAGTTTTTCCAAATATCTAAGTAAGCCATGAAATTTTTACAAGTTACTCAACGGCACATAAATACACTCCAACGAACGCAACTTTTTCCAAATTTAACCTAAGCTTAACTCCCACAGGTTCTCCATGCATAGGATCCTATCTTGGAGGATTCGCTGTTTCATCTCCTTTATGAAAAAAAAAAAAATGATTTTGAGCATGTTTTGTTTCGGGAGGCATCCGATTTGTCAACCCAATAAACCAGAAAAAAAATTCAACAACGGATTTTGACTAAAATTTCTGACGAACGAATTGTCGCATCGCAGTTTTGAGTTCATTTTTGCTTTCCAATGACAGTAGCGAGAAAACGGAAAAACTGCCAAAGCGCACATTTTTGAGCGCGCCTCCGACCTTAAACCACCGAAACACCTGGGCTCTCGACAAAGCACTACCTCCGTGGACCTGTTTAGCAAGAGTTTATGTTGTACTGTGCCCAACTCTGGAGCAAAACCTGATAGCGTACCGTTGCGTGAAATTCGCCACGGACAACGAAATGATTCGGGCGAGTTCAAACTTGTACTAAAGGCGGATGATATGTTCCACTGTCGCCCCTCAAAGGCCGGCGCCTAAGATTGAATGCTACGTTGCCAGTCTCATGACTTAATTTACAGACCTCGTACTTTCCTACCACCCTGCGTTTAAAATTTAAAAGCGAAATTAAAGACAAAACTTTTATTTAAAAACGCTAGTAGATAGCTAAATTATGACCAATTCAGTTGGTATACATTATATCACAGCACGTGTCTTGTGACCGAACATGTTATGAAAGCCTCCAAAAATACATAACTGTTCATTCCGTGTGAAAATATGGAATATGATTCAAATAGCAACAAGAAGTATCCTGGCGTTAATTTAGACAAAATATAATTATAATATATATATATATATATAATATAATAAAATTGCAAGCCACATAAGTGTCGTGATGGGTGATATTGAAATTATTTACAATTCAAACAAAAAATGGTAGTGTATCTTGTAAGTTTTTTACTTCACACGCCTACTGCTTTAGCAAATATATTTTTAGCTCAGAGGTAAATAGTGGTAAGTCGAAAAACTCAATGTTTAGATTAACAAAAAAAGTAAAAATATCAACAGAAGTCAATTTAAACTTTTATAATTAAACATATCAGGTACAAAACATCTGGATGCTTACGATTTTTTGCTACAATATCAAGCCAAAATAAAGTAATTTAATAATGGTATTAACTCAAAATTGTGTCAAGCTGGAGTGGTTATCTCCGAGCTAGTTATAGATGTTTGATTTTTGGAGAAAGCACGTTGCTACGAAACACACTGTATTATTAAGATTCATGTGATTTGGAACAATGGAAGCAATAATTTTAAATGATTTACGATAAATATACGAATGATTTGACCATGCATCAAAATTACAGCAATTTTTATACATACCGGAATCTCACGTGGCATGTCCTTGCTACCTCCCACGCCTAAGTCTAATACACCTTGTGGATGAAATACGCCTACCTCTTTATCAGGAATCACTTCTACTTCAACAGGCACAACTAATGTCTTGTAAGGGCAATTCAATTTGATCCTTCAAAATGAAATGGCCAGATTCAGACAAGGAGACGGAAAATTTTAAATAAAATCAGTTCATTGTCAGGGACGCTGGTGGCCCAAAGCATGAATTTAAGTGAGAAAAGTGAGATTTTCAAAAGAAGTAGCGAATTTAAACATAAAAAAGTGAGTTAATTTTCTGAGAAGTTTAAACAGATAATATAAATAAGAATGTGACAAGAGACGAGAATAACTCATATGAGGTCTTAGTTACTGTTTCATTGACGCCAGTAAAAATAATTAATCATACTTATGCATATTATAAGATCAAATACATACGATGCATAAAAGAAACATAAAAAATATAACAAATTCTTATAAAGCGAGAGATGCACTTATATCTGTCGGGTTCTCCAATAGAGACTTGACGACTTTGAACTTTTACTGTGAACGCACCTTTAAATCAATTAGCGAACTGTCAATGTCAAAACATTCAGTAAAGAAAACATTTTCATCATGGTGAAGTGCATGAACGAACTACGCTTACAAATAATAAAAATTTACTACCGAAATTCCGAGTCGGTGACTGCAATTTTAAGAGCGTTAACGGCAATTTTTGGACGTAATTCTCGTCCCAGTAGACAAGCAATTTATATTCTAGTGAAAAAATTTGAGTCCACATATTCCCTTCGTCAACAAACACAATGTGCGTTATTGGCCAGGGGAAAACCCTCATGTGCTTCAAGAAACAGCACTTCATCCATAAAAAATAACTGTAGGGTGTGGTTTTCCTGCCGGTGGTGTCGTCGGGCCGTTTTTTTTTCGTTGCTGAGAATGACCGTCACCTTATAGTCAACGGAGATCGCTACAGAGACATGTTGCAACTTTATTTTTTTGGTCAATTGGATGGGCTAGACATTAATGATATGTGGTTTCAACAAGACGGTGCCACAAGCCGCATAGCGCGTGAAACAATCGACATATTGAAATCAAAATTAGGTGAACGTGTTATATCGAGAAATAATCCTGTCGAATGACCGCCTAGATCGTGTGATTTAACACCTCTAGACTTTTTTTGTGGGGCTATATTAAATCATTGGTCTATGCCGACTGGTCCTTGTATCACGATATTTGACTCGACTTTCGCCAATACCATAATTTATAATTGCTTTATCCACTATTTACCTATTCCAAAAATGATGAAAAACATTCAGTGAGTATTTCTTGTGACATCTTCTAACAAAATTAAAATCTATGCAACGAGCCCATGCTCAATTTGCGTCTAAACACGGCGGATCTCTGAGAAGTAATTTTTATTGCCACAGCATTGATGTCGATGAGAAAATTATGGAAAATGTATACAAACCTTATGTAACCAGTATGATTTTGTACCAATTTAGCTTGAAACTGAACTTTAATGACAGCCTTTGTTTGATGAGGCAGAATTTCCCACAGTTCACTGGGCCCTTTTTGCTCTCCAGATGGCAACTCTAACTGAAATCCACCACCACTGCTATATATTTCAACGATCTGGAAATAAAATACCTAATATTATCTTGTTAACTTGAAATTATTTACAAGATCGAGCTGAAAGATCAATTCTAAATTTTACTAATATGACTATCAAAGTAAAACAAGCAGGTGGGTTTGCTCAGAACCTAATCGCGATTTATAAAGGTAGGTTAAAAAGTGACTATCAAAATGAACCTGAAGTTATATCAGGAGGCACTTAATTCAGAAAAAAAATAGAAAAACATTTTCTTTTCACTGTTTGGTGAATAACATACCTGAATAGGTTCAGAAAATGGATTGTGCAGATAAATAAGGGGTGAAAAAGGCGTGTTCATCTTCATTTTAATCCCAGTTAGAGGCTTTATTCTATAATGATTGAAAGTACTTGTACCTCTGACCTGAAAAGTATAAAAAAATAGAATTAATCTTTTAAGTTATGCTGATTTTTTAATACATTTGTTTTTGTTAAAATTATTCTTATATAATCAGCACAAAGAAGTTTCTTAGTATGCTTAAAGATTTATGAGAATTGAAAGTATAGGAGAAAAATATTCGCTATTGGTAGTTGCCACTTCCTAAAGTAAAACAGGAAGTATTCACGTAGCTAGTCACTTGATGGATTTTCTCCAAATACTGTTAGCAGTGGCAGATTCTGGTCGACTTTGTGCTGTCTATTTCAATCAACTCTCAAACTTCTGATAGAGAGTATTTTGTTTTTGTTAGTTGTCTCCCTTAGATTGTGCTGATGATTCCCAATAACGATGAAACTGCCCTAATATATGATAGGGCCAACGAAAGCAATATTCACCTTTGAAGAGTAAATAACGGGTGTTTCAAATTCGACTTTCACCACTGGGATCTCGGAGACGGTACCATTAAGAAAATCTTACCAAGAATACTTTTGGCGACAAAAAACTTATTTTCCCAAAATCGTTTTTATTTCTTCCTGCCTTTATTTCAAAATACATACATACATTGTCACTTTCACAAGAAGGCATACATAGAATTTTGTTATGACGTGTCGTCTCCAGTCTTTGAATTCTGATTTCAAAAATGTATAACATGTCATACCAGAATATTATAAAACTATAGTTATCAAAAACAGTATTTTTGATACATGCATATGATGTATGATGAGAACAAGGGATAAACCATCATATTGAAATTCTTATTATGCCACATTGCCAGGGTAATAAGAGAAAATGTGCGATTTATTTTGCAATCTTACCACAAATACTACAAGGAAAAAATCGGAGCGATTTTGGGAAATCTCATCTTGTTCATCTCTTTTCTTTGCCCCTATTTAACCAACTTGTGTTTCCTTACTGTTTCTGAATCCCAATGGTGCAATATGTATGTTAGAAAGAGTGCGCCGATGGCATCTGTGACCTTTATACTCGGGTTGCTAGGCAATGATGTGCTTCTATCTTTAGAACACACGTATTGCACGCTACGTATGTGTGTGACTGGCATAACACAAAGTTATCACGAAACAGCACAATATAGGATCTGTGAATACGAGTTTTTAACAAAAATTATATGGTAATAAAATACATACATTATACTTCAAAAATCCTTCTGAAGTGTGTATGAACAGGTTGCTTTCTACATGCCCTTCTTCTCTGCCAAGAAATACTACATTGAATGATGTAGTCCCATTAGGCGATATTTTCTGTCAAAAAGGTGCAGAGTAAAATTAGAACTATTATAAATATTACAATCAGTTATAACTCACTTTGTCTTCAAAGAATGAGCTGTGGAAATGAACACTACTTCCTGATATAGATGTCATATAAATGCTTTTGTTCTTATTCATGTTGCGTAAAATAACTTTTTCCATATGGGGAAGACCCAGTGTCCTGGAAGAAATTAAAATTGCCCTATTATGGATCAATACTAGCATACATCAGGAAATAGCTGGAGAAAGCATAGTAGATTTTCATCCTATCAAAATTATGAGATACTTTCACCATGTTTCAGTGAAGTGTTGTCCTATCAGCTTACACTTCATCTACAGCATGTCAGTATGGTGCACACTGACATGCTGGTGTCTACAGTGGCGGATTTAGGGGAAGGTGGCGTATGCGTCTGACACTTGCTTTTGTAATCTAACACCATTCTGTTACTTTCTGACACATCATGGCGACAGAGGCATATTAACTATAAGTTATGGCACAGTATAGCTATAAGAACTGAGCATTGCGATTTTTTTGTATCCTTTGGTATTCCAAATGCTGTCCCTCTTTGACATCACTTACGTTTACAGCACAATTCTTAAGAGTAGTGTGACATATCTAAGTCTAAGTAATATATTAGCTATACAGATTGCACTTAAAAAGTGATTTATGTTGTGTTTGTTGCTCAATAGTAATTTGAATGTGTGTAAAGCTTGACTGATTTTGTTCGGAGTTGGAGTTGCAGCGAAGCACTATGTTAGATGAACGCCTAAATTCGAAATAGACATTTATGAGATTTATTTAGCGGTGCGCCTGTGGCCTGTCCAGAAAATGCGTCGATTGATGCTCAAAGTCAATACCATACGTCCCGCATCTCTTCCCGCGTATGTGTCTATTTATGTTGCTTGATTGAATTCGTTTATCACAGAGCTTCTGCACTACGCATGAATATGTGCAGCCCTGTATTCCTGTACTTCTTTCGTACAAACATATATTATCAAAATAATTATGATCTAACTGATATAGTTTTTTTCGAAGATTTCCAACATTTTTACATGCGACCAACACCGATGCGAAAACTGAGAAAACAACAACTATGACGTAAATCTAAGTTCGAGAACGAAAGTCTGAAGAATAACTGTAACATTGAATTTAAAAAAATAATATTTTTAGCACCTGCTGATATAATAGAGAACTGTTTGATAACCATGGAAGGGGAAAATCTTCCAAGGACAAGGGCTGATTGGGAGCTATACAAGTCGCTCCTTAGAGAGTTCCCCAATATACCAATCATAGATGATGAGAACGATATAGATGCTGCTCAAGCGGAGTGGACAAGATCCGTTCACAGAGCAACGAATCTTGTTCATGAAGAGAGAAAAGCTCTACGTGAATTCCGTAATGAGCAATGGAGCGACTTTCTGTCGGGGATGCTTGACTCAAGTATTCCTCTCTGGAAAGTTGCAAAGTCGCTCAGAAACGGAAGGCGAGAACAACTCCCGCACATCCACGGTCCTAGGGGCATATTCTGTAGGACAGAGGAAAAGCTTTTCGCTGATGCAATGAAAAGTCAACTATGACCTTGATAATGACCTCGACGAGGAGCAACATATTGTAAGATCCGTCAGGAGGTATTTTAGGGCCAACGGCGTCAGTGGCAGAAGTGCCTCCCTTAGTGATTTTTCCTCAGAGGAATCTTCAGAAGATTCCTTAACTGAAGAGCTGCACGGCACATCAGCGGAATCTCCTGAGACTCCGCATTGCACACCAGCAGAGCTCCAAGGTCATATTAAAGACCTCAAGGTGCGTAAAGCACCTGGAGGGGATCGAATCACTAATAAGGCGCTGAAGCTACTTTCGTGGAAGTCCTTAACTTATCTCGTGGCAATAATCAATGCCATGCTAAGGACCCAGCACTAATGATTCCAAAGAAGGTGGGTTTGATATTCCCCCAGGATTACCGCCCCATTAGTCTACTGTCAGCTCTTCTAAGCTCGCTGAAAAGGTGATTCTACGTCACCTTGAAAATTTCTCGGCAGACCACAATGTGATTTCTGACATGCAATTTGGCTTTCGGTCTGAGCATAGTACAGAGCTACAGGCAATAAGGCTTGTTGAACGAGTAACCAAGGGGTTCATCCGTAACGAAAGTACTGGCATCTTGCTTCTGGATGTCTCAAAGGCATTTGGCAAGATGTGGCACAAGGGCCTTCTCTACAAATTGATCAATAAGGGCTTCCCCTCCTAGCTCCTAAAACTTTTGAAATCCTTTATCAAGGGTAGGAAATTTCGAATCAAAATTAATAACGTTCTGTCAACAACACGGCACATCAAAGCCGGTGTCCCTCACGGTTCGGTTCTTGGATCATTCCTTTATTCACTTTTTATTCATGACGTCCCTTGCCCCAGCAACTGTGAAACCTATCTCTATGCCCTGGTAGCCCAGTCGTGCTCTGGGGATCTAGTTCGCGACAGGCTGCAAAGTGCAGTGGACGAGGTATTGGAATGGGCGAATCCGTGGCTGATCAAAATTAGTCATTCGAAAACGCAGGCAATCTATTGTACTAAAAAACGTAGCGGCGATCACTTACGCAAGTGCGGCTTGGAGTTTTCTCGCCAAAATGCAATTGCGTAGCCTGCAGGTTTTGCAGAACAGAACCTTGCGTAAAATCACTAACGCCCCATGGTATGTTACCAACAAGACCCTTCACAGAGACCTTGACATCCCTTACCTAAGGGACTACATCAAACAACAAGCGCAGCTACGTTATAGTCAAGCGGAATCGCATAACAACCTTTTGTTGCGCGAGTCAGTAGACCACACAGTCGAGCAAGTTCGCAAGCACACAAGGCCGCGACTCGCACTGTGAACAAAATTAAATCGTGCGACTTTAGGTCCAACCAAAATTATAATTTTTCTTCAACAACTAATCCCAAAATTAATTTTAGGATCAATTTAAAATTGCCGAACACTAACTAGCACTGCCAAGGCACTCCTCAAATTGATGCACTTCTTTTTTCTTTGCTCTCACTCCTTCCTTCCTTCCTTTCTTCTTCCCTTCTTTCTCCCTGACTTTGTTTGGTATCTGGGCAACCAGACCTGACAGACCTCTGACTTACAAGACTTCAACCAAGAGCAAAGGTCCTATGGACCGCTCTGACAGACAATGACGAATAGAAAGAAGTGCTTGATTGTGCCAGTATTTGCACCAATTACTTGATTTGTTTAATGGGCAGTTCAGAGTCTTAATCCTTATGCTTAGTACACACTAGTAGACTTTGTTGCGCAATTTGTCTATAGGCAGACGGTCTCAAAACATGATCTAAAGACATCCTCCTTTGTCTCATCTACCATCTATACGATAATGTGAAATTTTCAGTCTCATGTTCGTCTTCACCATCAAACACATTGTTTTGAGTGTAATGGACTGGGATATGTCTTGGAGTCCCTCAAAATGTTTTATTTTTTTTCAGTTAACAGAGCAATAAAGTTTTTTATGTTTTAATCTTTAATATTATTATACTAGTTAATCATGAATTTTGTTCTCATATAATAAAATATTGCTTTTCTGAGGCTTTCTGCGCATTTTCCATGGGTTTTTTTCAAGCTGGCACTAACCAGATAGAACACAATGGATTTAAGGAGCAATAATAGGATACATTCTAGAAGTTCCACTGAGATTGAAAAATTACCAGCTGGAAATATTGTTTGTGCCCCCCTAGACGAAATCCTAAATCCACACTTGACTTGATATACACATCCCTTTTTCAGGTCAGGAACATGCTATTTTTCTCTGAGAATCCATTAACATAAGATATGGTTGAGAAGGAGGTTGATCAGTTTGGGAATCCCTATGCCCGTTTCATTGCTCTTATCAATTATTAAAAGTTTTATCAAACAGTTTCCCTTGGTAACCATTCTGGTGCAAAACATTTCTAATACTGTTTAGTTCCGATTTCAAGTCATCTAGGTTATTACAGATGTCTAGTGCCCGGGAGTGAATAATTCTTCATTTGGTTGCACCAGAATGGTTTTCGACCCATGGTTTAGGTACTGTGGTGACTGGCCTGAGGCAACAGACAAAAGTAGCACCTCTAATAATGATTATGAAGAAGGGAACACATATTATTTTGACACATATTTCTTATAGCTTCATTCCTGGTTTATGCTTGATGCAGATACACAAAGTAATTATATAAGATACTGACCTTTGCTTAAAATCTAAATAAGGTGGTTCAAATCTCAACTGAAACTTTAATGGCAAATCACTCATTATTGAAGATATTTCCTACAAGAGAATAAGGAGTTTAGTCCGAGTGTTAAGGTTTATTTTCAATGTTATACCTCCTGAATATGTGATAAGTTCTCATCAAAGAATCGCATATTTGTATTGACCAAACCTGAAATATAAGTTGTCAGAGAATGTACTGTTTGAGACTGCCTTAGTTTAGTTGTGGCACATCTTTTGTAACTTACCATGATCGCTGTTATGAATTGTTAGCTGGATCTTGTTAATAAATTCCAATAAGCAAAATGCAAAAATATGTTTTGCTGACCAGCTTCCTAACATTTTAATTCATGTATTTAAACTGCAAACCACTACATTTAACCCATAATATAATGTATGTAACTTGTAGTGCTTGTATGACTGGTATTTATTTTGTGCGATTTGCTATTCTTATAAAAAAGTTAAGCAAAACAAATGTTTTTATCGATCACCCAGATGTCAAAAAAGTCAAGGTGGTGTGGTAGAGTACAGCAAAGAATAAAGTCATACGGAATGCTAAATACGGGTAAACATTATTATGATTGTTCTATTTCCAGGTCGATCGATTGCAGAAAATGTGTTGCAGTCCAGCTCTATATCTTCAGTCTAGTTGAACTACCGCCCGAAAGGCGGCCATCTGTACTAGCCATCTATAGTGATTTGAAATAAGAGTAGTACAATTTTGATAAACCCATCTCTAGTTACTAGTTAAAGACATGGTATGTGTTCCATGTTGCATGACATTTATTTTCAAACACATAACCTCTTTGAATTCCTTGTTTTTGTTTTTGAAAAAGTGAATATTTTCAAAAAGGTATCTTTCAATTTCCATTTAACTAAATTAGGTAAGCATTCTTCTCAGATTAATATGCTTTTTAACGTATCTGTATAAATGCATTTGTAGATCACGATGTTTGACTTGGACGAAGATTCAGAAACAAGAATTGATATCAAACTGTTTAAGGATGTTGAGAATATAAAATCTTTAAAGCAGAGGCTCATGAAGGGTGAACTCAACTGCTGTATCGTGAAACCTACGTTGATTGTAGATCCATTTCAAATTGTGGTAGCAGCAAATAAGGCTCTGATTAGTGAGAAAAGGACTACAAAGTCTGTGTTCACCGAAATTCTATTTAACCTGTCTATATCAAAGAATATTACAAATAGTCTTAAAACTTTTGGAATAGAGGATAGTGATAAACACATTTTAGTTGTTATTGTGAATGAAAAAGGTGAAGACAATAGTAAGATTTGTAGTGAGATTCACGGTGAAGAACTGGAGTTGATGCAGTTGAAAAATTTTAGTGATGTAAAAGCAATTCAGAAAGTATATAAGATTCATGAGGATGAGTTATCGAATGTGCCACTGTTAGATTCTGTAGTCAGTAGGATAGCTGTTAAGGATTTCTTATAAAATAAAATATGTAAAGCATAAACACTTTGATGCTGAATGTTTCCTATATGTCTCTTCCATTTTTTTTTGAAATGTTCCCATATCCCAATAACAGAATATGATGATGCGTGTGAAGGTAGCTCCAAAAGCTGTCCTACGCGCCGCTAGATTACAGCGGACCGAATAAATGCTGTCCGCCTGCCATACGCCCTGGCCGTAGCGTTACTCATAGAAGCCCGTGACGCGCATACGAGGAGAGCGCGGTAATTATATATATTCTATCTGTGCCTACGAGTCTTATGCTGTTGCGGTATTGCATTAACTGGTTCTGCAAAGTTTGTAGGTTCGTATCTAAAGCTAGTCGTACACCTCAACTGATAACAAACAGGCCTGCCGTGTATTTTTTTTTCGTGAAAACCTGCAGAAGTGCGTCGATGTGCTTTTCAGGGTTTAAAGTACACTAGAAGAGCTATTATAATCAGTTATCAAAATGTTGTTACAAACGCTCTTATACCCCAGCTCCAAAGAAAGAAGTCTGTCGGGTACGGTGCGCGATGCTCCCTGCAGATACAGTAAAAAATTCGCTCTCACTTAGTATCTTCTGAAATAGAGTCAAATCCCATGTGAAAAGACTACAATACTTTTATTATTGTTGTATTAATTACATACATCTATTATTAATCTGTAATTGTTAGTATAGTATTATTTACCGGAGTTGCATGGAAGAGCAACAGTGTTGAATGCCGCCTCCCTCACCAAATGAGTCTTTTTCTTTGTTGTTGTTTCAAAACAAAAATAAAGACACATTATTATTATTATTACTAATATCATTTGATAAGTCCCCGTTGAGGTTGTTACCCAGCAAAGCTTGTTCATGAACTGGCCAGCAACGAATGACATGTGACAAATGTGTGGAGAAGAAACAATAGAGAGCCAAATGCTGTGAGATTTATTTAATGAGGTTCTTACAGTAGCAGACAAGCAGATATTAGTTAAAAAAATCAGCAACTTGCTTGGTGGTTGTTTCTGAAGAAAGTGCTTATAGAACAAGTATTTCCTGTGTAAAACTACCAGAATTTACTTGTTAATACTGAAGACAAAAAAATATAGTCTCAATGTTTTTAAAATCCTTAAATATTAAAACCTTTCCAGGCTTAGCGCCCCGGACGGTGAGCTGAGTTGACATTAGACACATTCCTGACAGTACATTTTCCACATTTGCTATATCATCAGATAGCAACCTTTTAAGGGCGCGTAGTACACCGCTTTGGGAACATGTTAGGCCACATAGACTGTGAACAAAAAAATTGTCTGACGGCTTGAGTTCAATGTGTACGAGAGAAAAGTGTGTATAGACACATATGTTAGACCAGTTGGATAGCGAAGCTCATCGCCGCGTTGCCAATATATGTATGTTACACCAGTTCCTTGAATTAAGATGCATGTTGAAAATATGCATTAGTTTATTCTCTACGCCCAAATAATGGCTTTATTTTTAGAGCACACATTTTTGTTTAGGTTGAAACAAAATGTCAGGTTCGCCACAAATTCTGCAATATTGCATCATTGGTTCGATTTTGGTCAGTACCCATCTAGTACGCATTGGGGAGTGTCAACCAGCTTGCTGAAAAACGAAATTCTTATATACAGGGTGTCCCGAAAAAAGTGTGTAATATTCTACCAGCGGTTTATAGAGCTTAAAATAGGAAGAAAAGTTTATATAAACATAGGTCGACAAACGTACCCTAAGGGCGCTACGGTCTTTTAAAGGGGCTCCCATGAAGATGGTTTTTCCTTAATATTTCCGAAACGTGTTGAGATAACGACTTAAAATTTGGTATCTTAGCCTAGTTTTTTATGCTGGATTTAAAAATATTAACAATTTTAGACAGTTTTGTTTGGAAGCATATGTAACAGGGACGGACTCAGGTTATTTTAGCCCCAACATTTTTGTGTAATTCTATTTTTGAAATTCAATCTTGAAATTTGAAAATTTAGGCTTTTTTACATAAAAAAGGTAGTCTTATTGAATATCGATAAATTGTCCCATTTTTGAATAAAATCAAACTAAAACATTTGTCACATGATAGGAAATGTACTGCGAGTTTAAATGAATTGTTGAATAATTAGCCATGGCAACGAAAAAACTAAAATAATAATTGGTAAATATTACATAAATACATATTTCTATTGCAACATAGCTAACATTTAGGCAAAAACAAAAGAAATAAAGTTTTTCTACGATCGAAATTGAAATTTGTTTAAAAAAGAAGACATACAGTTGGATATACTTAAAACTAGCTTTACAATAAGTGTTCAAATAAATTCCCATTTTGTTGGATACAGAGTCTCGCTCGACGAACTAATGATTGCGTAGCCCGAAAAGTGGAAAACCTTTTTCTTCTTATTTCATTTGCAGCCTGATGGATTCTTTGAAGTAAATCTTCTTGAGTATTTACTTCAGTCGAGTAAACTAGGTCTTTTAATGACCCCCGATAATAGAAATTCAATGGATTTAGGACAGGTCATCGTGGCGGCCACGTTATAGGACCTTCTCGGACTAACCACCTGTCTGGAAAATTTCGAACATTGCGTCCAAAATGTGCAGAGGCGCCATCATGTTGAAAAAACATATTTTCTTGAAACTGCTGGCGCACATCCAATTCTATTATGAGCTCATTCTGAAGAAAGTTCAGATACACCCCTGAATTAAGACGATTGGGAAGTACTATAGGCCCAATTACTTGATCCTCAATTACTCCTGCCCATAAGTTCAATGAAAATCTATGTTGGAAATTTGTACGGCGAACAACTTTTGGATTTTCATCTGACTATTGATGCATGTTATGGAAATTAAAAGCACTATTCCTAGTAAATATTGACTCATTCGACCATAATGCTGCACCCGTTTAAAATGATAAGCATGTAATCCTTGCATTCTTGTCATTCTTCCTATCTAAAATTATTATTTTTAGGATAACTATCAAATAGGTATTCATAAATTTTTCTTACTATTGATCGAGGTATATCCATAATTTTTGAAACAATTCGTATGCTTATTTGCGGATTATTTTCAAATATATTTAAAGCAATATCCATACGATGATTTCCCAGTGGCCTTACTGAGCCACGCATGCGCTGAAAACTTGCACGGTTTGACAAATTCCGATGAATATCAGTAAACATTCGACGTCCAGGTACTATGCGATTGGGAAATCTTCTTTGATATTCTCTTATGGCTGTCAATGAACTGCCATTGCAAAACCCGTACACAAAATGCATGTCAGTCAGTTCTCTGTCTGTAAATCTTGGCATTTAATCTAGTAATTTTACACTGCTAACAATGTCAGCTTAACGTCAAAATAAGTCATAACAAATCAAAACAACTTTTGTTTGCAGTCATGGCTAACTATGTATAATCAACAATTCATTTAAATTCGTAGTACATTTCCTATCAAGTGACAAATTTTTTAGTTTGTCATTTTATTAAAAAACGGCACACTTTATCGAAAATCAATAAGAGTACCTTTTTATGTAGAAAACCCTAAATTTTCAAATTCTAAAATTGAATTTCAAAAATAGAATCACACAAAAATTTTGGGGCTAAAATAACCTGAGTCTGTCCCTGTTACATACGCTTCCAAACAAAATTGTCTAAAATGGTTAATATTTTTAAAACCAGCATAAAAAACTAGGCTAGAATACCAAATTTTATGTCTTTATCTCGACACGTTTCGGAAATATAGTAAAACCATCTTCAGGGGAGCCCCTTTAAAAGACCGTAGCGCCCTTAGGGGACGTTTGTCGACCTATATTTATATGAACTTTTCTTATTATTTTAAGCTCTAGAAGCCGCTGGTAGAATATTGCACACTTTTTTCGGGACACCCTGTATATTTATACGTCCTCGTTAGTGGCGAGACAAACATAGAGGATTATCAGCGTGAAAACCACATGATAAGTTTCAGGTGTAACATTACAGTTGTTGTTTCAACGTCGACATGGACTTATTCAAAAACTATTTATCCTATCGCATATTACGTCAAGTGGAATCGTTTCAAGAAGCCTTAATGATAAAATGAGGTGTTCATGTTTCGCATACTTACTAGATTAGCAAGATGACACTGGAAATAGGTGGCAAAGCCTTCGTTGAGCCACAAGTTTGACCACCAATCAATTGTAACGTAATCACCGAACCATTGGTGAGACAATTCGTGAGCTATTGTCTGGATGATATTTTGTTTGGAATTGGCTGATGTAGCTGCCCCTTCGTCCAATAAGTCGACTTCCCTGAAAACATGCCGCTCCAGTAAATAAGGATATAGTTGAAAAAAATAGAGGTATTTTTTCAAATTAATGGTTTACTTCTACAAATAATTTTCCTGCACTATCATAAAATAAATACAGGCTGTCCGCAAAGTTGGGGTTTTCCTTTTGAGAAACAACTACCCTTGAAATAACAAAGGTAATGTGTAGTGAAACGAGGGCGACAAAGTAAAAAAAAATAAAGGAAAAAGTACTCACTCTCCAGTTGACGAGAAGGGCTAAGTACGTCTCTGCCGAAATCATACTGCTCCAACAGAAAATGAAATCAGCTGATGCGCTACCGAGCAGACGCAGGCAAACAAGGAAGGCAAAATGTTGCGTAAAAAGTCTAGGTATTGCATCCCGTCCAATCGATTTGGGAGAATAAATGGTCCAATGAGCCAACCATGCCAGCCCAAACATTCACCGAAAATGTTTGTTGAAAATGTGCACGACGGACAGCGTGCGGATTTTCTACTGACCAAACATGAGTGTTGCGAAAGTTATTCACCCCATTACGCGTGAACGTAGATTCGTCTGTCACCAATATGCACTTCAAAAAGTCCGGATTATTGTCATGTTGATGCAACAACCACTCACAAAACTGCACTCTTGCTGGAAAATCGTCATGTTGAAGGGCTTGTACACGTGGGACGTGAAACGGATACAGCCCCTCTTCACGCAGCGTTTGCCACACTTTAGTTTTTGATACTTGCACTTCTCTAGCCACGTCTCTAGTGCTTGTTGAGGGATTCTCGTCTACGCGATTACCTCTACATGCGTGACCGTAACCGTCGGTTGAAGGTTGCATACTGACCTGACACACTATCCTCCGGATACGCTTAAGTGGCCCACCCTCTATGTATTTGGAGATCCTTCACTTACATAGTGTCTTAAAAATAGGATCGATTGCATCTCACAGTTAGTGCGGAAGCAACAACTCAGAAGCA